GGTCAATGATGTCAGAAATATCTTGATCTGTTACATGAGAGTCCGGTTCCGGGGCTGGGTGTTCCTCAAGTACCGGAGGGAGGCGGCGGGCGGGTCCCGAATCCTCAACAACCATGGCATCGTCGGGTAAAACAGTAGTCTCCTCGGACACTCTGCCAGTACGGCCCGAGATCCGTCTCGGTCGAGCCTTCGAAGTTATGCTCACCACTTCTTCGTCTTCCATCAACTGGTCTTGCTCTTCAGCACCATCAGTCTCCTCGGATATACTCCGTCGAGCATTCATGCCTACTGTGTGAAGACGGTCTTCAGTCCGATCTCCAGAAGTCTCGGCTACCTTGCTTCCAGCCCTCGCATACTGACTCAATGTAAACCTAAAACTCGCCCTCCCATCCCGTTCGGCCAAACGCAGTCTCTTTCTGGGACCATCGTCTTGGATATCATCACCCCCAGACCGTCCACGGTTCCACGAAGCGCCCTTGGTGCTTAAAACCGTCTGTGCCGATGGTGCTTGGCTCGTGGACCGTTTTCTCGTTTCGTCGAGCTCCCGTGACGCACGTATACGATCAATGGCGCTAACGACTTGCTGGCCGGCAGTCTCGTCTTCTTGATCGGATCCGTGATGATCGGCCAAACGAGTGGCCTGTCCGTTGTCTCCGCCCACCTGCACATCGGGATCAGGAAAAAACAATGGCTGTGCCGGTCGGATCTTGTCGGACTGTGCAGAGGGTGATACCGTTGCTGTCCGGTCTGTTTCGCTTTGTGGTGGCCGCTCCGGCTCGGGTTCAAAAAGTAGGTGGGGGGCGCCGATCGTGATGGACTCATCTTCACGGCCCCTTTCAGCTGGTTGGTCTTTTTCTGATGGTGGGTTGATGTCGGCCATAACGGCAGAATGACTAGTGGCCCTCGTGTGTTTTGTTTGAGTGAGCGAAGCTTTTGGCGTAAATGATGGGTGCAGTGTCGGCTGCTGTAACGATTGAGCACCGACATCAAACGTCGAGCGAGACGAAGCAAAAGCCTCTTCCAAAGCTGCCTTTGACAATAATGAGAAAACAAATGTAGAGATGAACCTCCCGTGTACCTTCAAAGCTTGAATTAGATTCTGCTCGCTGTGGAGAAAGATTGTTCGTTTATCGGGACTAACGTTGACGTCGCAGGCATCTGTCTTCGAGTGAAGATGAGCTGTACCGCCGGACTGAAGGACTCACGAGTGGGTAAAATGAAGTCTGCTATGATAAAGGGAGACTGGCCGACGTTAAATGACCTGTATACCTCATTGAATGCCTTCTGGATCTGGGAATGTTCTCAATCAGATGTAGATATATCAGTGGCAACAGTTTCACTACCTTTCCAGGGTTATAGGGGCGCCCATTAACGAAAAAAAATTGCCGGTCACTTCCTGTGCGGCCTACGCCTACAGCAAACTTGGAGATAAGTCCACGGACTTTCACTGTGGTAACGCTGGCACTGAAATAGGCTGTATTCAGCACCACTGGTTTCTGAAAAGAGATAAAAGGAACCACCTCTCCTGGTCAAGACGCCGTAGGACAGTTTTCTCCGTTAGGACATCAAACGAGAGATCAAGGTCAACAATGTTCTCAAGCCCCTTTGACCCCCACAATGCTGTAACCGACGCTTTGATGGAGGGTGACCCATCAGTTTTGAGCTGTACAGTTTTGCGGCTGGTAGAGCGTTGAGCGTCTCTACGGGCACAAGGAAGCAGATGACGTACCCTCCCTCAAGCTGATTACTCACAGCCAGCCGCACACCTCTATTCTCGCTTGCGCACGGAACCAGCGCGTATCCATACAGCAAGTTTAACGCCTTACCAAACTCCCTCTTTGCGTTTCTTTCAAGCTCCTTACGTCGCACTGGCAAGGGCTTGAAAAGAGAGGATACAACAACTGTAGTTCCTCGCTGCACATGGCACCATTATGCTAGGAAAGATGTAGGAAAGTCCTACATACCTGTCTTGCGACCTTGGAATTGGAATTCCTAAGTCTACCGTTCCGATCCATTTCAAGTATGGTACCCATCGGAGCCTCATTAGCGGTGGCAGTCGTGAGGGTGACACTATCACTCAAAGCGCACAGTGAGGACAAGGCTTCTCCGCGAAAACCAAAGGTCAAGACAGTTGAGAGGTCCTCAAAGGCAGCAAGTTTGGATGTGTGGTGTTTCAAGGCTGAGCGGCAATGAAGTGACAACATAGATACCAAAAGGATCAGGCTTACCGACACTTTCATAATCTTTTGGGGCTATACCGCATCCATTGTCGATAACTTCGATAGACTTGAGCCCATAGTTAAGAAACCGGACCTCTTCTAGGCGTCAATTGCGTACACAGGCGTCAATTGAGGATGTGACGTACCTATATTCGTAGCACGGGCATCAAGACTGTTTTCGACAAGTTCTTTTACTGCTGTCTGAAGGTCGATGACTACCTGACCAGAGGTGATCCTATGCACAGAGTGACTGTCGATTGCTCTGATGGAACCTGGACTTGATGCTGTGGAATCAAGGAAACTAATACCTGCCATGCTACTACAGCAGTATGCTGGTTGGCATAGAGCTTAACTGTGACAACGCGGAATGCCGGGAACTTGATGAAACAAGTTAAAAATGACGATGCTATCCACTGCCAACTCACTATTGATGGAAGTTGAAGCTTGAAGTACAGTACCCCATTGTGTTACCCGATTTGGTCCTCATTATGAAATGGGCGTATATATTAGACTCGGTCCTCGGATGATCTGTCCCTTTGTCTCTTCCTAAAGAGCTACTCGAGCGATTTGAGGGCAACGTTAACCAGTCTGGTTCCAACAACGTTCATCGATTCGTGCTACTGAATTAGCGTGGACAACCTCGTTGAATTTAGCCCAGCTCAACTCCGACAGCCAGCTTACTAGCACTGCCCCCGAGGCACCCCTTAGTCCCTGGCATTGACTTTCGGCGATATCGTGTGGGACTCACACGAGGCAAAGGCGTGTAGGCAAGTAATTTCGACACCTTCGCACAGCTGCCGAACTCAACCGAAACCGAATTTTTGGCAGTGTAGGCCACACAGAGTTGCGAAGGTAAGCGTTCGTTCCAAAGCGGACTATGACCGATGCGTTAACAAAAGGATTGCTTAGTGTTCAAAGCGGGATTCATCCATCCCTTTTCAAGTTTTTGGTGACACACGAGGCTCCGTTCACTCCGTAGAGCATACACTCATGACATCCTCGTCGTCACACAATGAGGTTCAGCTCTCAAGAGAGTTCCTCCTCACCCTTCTCGGTGAACTCTCCTTACTCGTCTTGCAAGAGTTCGGTTGCCAAATCCGCCTATTCATTCATGGTGGCGCAGTGATGATTCTACACCCAAACCTCTCCACATCCAGTTGTCGACGAACTACGAGAGATATTGACTATATACGCCGGGCATTCGGGCATGAGTGGCGGAAGCGAGGAGTCTATGACGCTGAAGAGCGCTTACAGCGTTGCATTAACGCTGTTGCCATCAAGTTTCGCATTGGGTATGTGAATCCTTCTCCGTATCTCACACAAGGCATTTATCGATGCATACACCTCATAGCACCGACTGGATGAATGCAGACCCTGACGTTGCCCTCCCATTCGCCCACAAGTGAGTCGCTCCGCAGCTCCCCTCCACACATCTCACGCTCTTCCTTCAGCACACAAGGGCAGTTATATGACCCCATCTACCACGACTCCAAGCAGGCGAACAACGTTGATATGAACACCGTCTACAACTCGCCAGGTCTCGTTGTCATTAGCGTTACCATGTTTTGGGGTGTTGCTCTCAAGCTCGTACGCTACAAGAAAGAAGATCCTACTGACATTGTAGCCATGTTACGCCACGGCACGAAACTCAATGGTGTCCAGTGGACGCCCCACATCATGGAGACATGGATTAAGACCCTATGCTGGCCCATGGGCTACAACACCTACAAACCCCAGCAAGCGCAGGAACTACGAAACCGTATCCACGATGCAGTGCACCATCTGCAAAAGTTATCTGACACTTTGCCAGAGGAGTCATCCCACATGGCGCTGACCCAATCAGCCGCGCAGTCGCCTCCTGTGTCATCAACCACACGCTCTCCTGCTGTGCTCTCCTCGTTGCATACGATGTCAAGCAGCTTAGCTCCACACTCGTTCTCACAGCCGGCGTCGGCGTCCTCGTTGCATTCTCTTTTCATGTCGTCTCACAGCGTTTCGCCTCCCGCATTTATGGGGGAGCGTACGCGCCGGTCATCGACGCACTCCGCACGACATCAGACCTTTTCACCGCCCATGCCATTGACATTTTCCTCGTCACAATCATCGCATACTATCTCTCACCCGCCCTCGCATCTTCACCCAACCTCGCATCTTCACCCCCTCTCGCATTCTCATTCAACCTCACATTCTCACCCGCCCTCGCACTCGCAAAGCTCTCTTCGTATGCCGGAGCCCTGGGTAACACCATTGCCATTGCTTTTTCAGCCCGTGCCATCTACCGCCTTCTAAATGGACCAGCATAAGTACCTAGACTGCAACGGAACCCGGATTTGTGTCCGATGTACTAAGTACCGCACAAGTCATCTGCATTTTATTAGTTCTATACGTCATCCTTTAAGTTTAAAACGCTTCCTTGTCCAAAACTTCGTTCTTCCATATTGCTATCTATACGTCCATATGTTTGAAGTTAACTGATATGTACGATATGGTATTCTACCCTGTAGGCTGTAGCTGAGGTAGCTTAGATAGCTGCAAAATCGGTCGTTGACGACGGACGTTTAGCTAGATTAGTACCTGGATCACGGAGAGCGCGTTAATATGTTTTCGAATTTATGTAGGATCCGGAGCACTTTGCTTATGTCAAAACTTTGTCTCGAAAATCGTTCTGAAGGCCTTTTCACGTTCGATGTGGCAGTGAGACCGATAAGTGTATCTTGCCCTCTGCGTGGGACAATGACGCGGGTACGTTATCGCACCAGACTAGTAGTTACACCAATATGAGTGATAGGTGTGTTATTCCGAGAACGTGCATACACATGTCCCAAGCTCAAGTAACTGTAAAGTACATAAAGAAGATTTCCGAGTCTTAAGAAGTACAACCAATCTCCGTACATCGGCGCATTACTCCATCGGCGTCGTATCGCGCTCTTCGTACCTATCCGTAATGAGTGTGACCTCTGCCAGAGATTTGATGTACTGTTCATCGAGGAATGTCAGCATCTTCTTCCGTGTATCTTTGCTCATTTTATCGCTTTTCTGAATGACTGATGTGAATGTCAGTCGATGTTTGTTTAGACTGAGAGTAGTAAGCAACTTACAGACAAACCTGCGTTCGATGTGAGCACATAGTCGAGGAATTGTTTCCTCGAGCGCCCTGTCCCCTGCATTTTTGGCGGAGCGAATAGCCAACATAACATCATCGACAAGGCCAGAATATAGTTTTTGCGCGTTATCCGTACGAAAGTACTCCTCATTCATGTCCTAATGCAAGAATGGCCTGAGCATTTGTTACGAAAAGTCAGGATGATTGTACTCACCTTCATTCGTTGGAGCATTCCTTTGCCACGCTCACTTCCAACGAGATCGTAATGAGCTTTAAGCTCGTTACGAATGAATCCTTTGAAGGATCCACCAAATTCTCTATAGCGAAATAATGATATGTAAAATTGGTGAATAGTGACAAGAGGCCTTGCCTTTGCATCTTCGAAATGGCAAATAAATAGCGCTGTTTTGCGGTATCTAAGATGTCTTCTGCCTTGATGGCATCTTGAACGCGTGTTGCAATCTTTGGTTTTGCGTTTTGTTTCTCTCCGTCCTCTGCACAGCAGTCAAGGTCAACATCGCTTCACTGGCAGTTAGTCCATGAGTACATACTGATAGAGCCTATCGCCGCACGATAGTGACCCAGAATTGACTGAAGCGAAGTGAATACATGATACAGTATGGCGAAGAATGATCCTTACATAGATGAGCAACTCCAGTTCTGATTTCCAGGAATCATTGAACAATTCGTGCCATATCCTTCTCTGAAGATTCAGAAGAACGGATCTACTGTTACAAAACGACGAACCTTGAAACACTCCCTTCCAACATATCGCGTACGAGGTCCTCATTTAGATCGATCCGTTGCCATTCACCCTCTCTGCGCATGGCAGCACGGTAGGTCTGATATGGGTAGACTCCAAGCGACGTAATGATGTCGAGACTGCAGTCAGCGGCCTATGCAGTCAATATTCAATCAGTGTTGGCCGCTGCATACAAAGATTGCGAGGTAGACATTCTCAGCTTCATCTCGAAGAGCGTTCTCCAGCTCGTTGATGCTGTCGTCGATTTTACCTCCTGAATCCTCGCATGTGTCCTCGACAACCTTTCACACTTATTGAGTTCATGTTACTATCAAGTGACATCATCTTACTTACGCGTTTGAACTTTTTCAATGCAATTCTTGCTGCTTTTTGATGGGTTGTTGACATCGAATCGTTCCTGGCGGAGAGAAGCTTGAAGAAACTATTGACTTCGGCGCGTAGCAAGGTACATTGATCTATATGGGCCTTGATGTCGGAAAGTGCTCTTTTGCGGCCAAAGTCGTGGATGTGCCGACACAATTGTGGTATACCAGTCTAAAAAAATCAGTCAGGATATTCGTCTGGTCAAGCAACACATATGGTACATCTTCAGGGTTAGTAAAAACCGAAGGAGCTTTGTTGCGTCCGCCCACGCCCAAAAGTTGGTTGAAATCTGTGCTCCCAACACAAAAAACGGGTAATGGAGGGGGTTCTTTAGCGTTATCCTAACACAAAGAAAGACTTGACTACAATGCCCTTACGAAAGTTAAGTAAAGTACCTGATTACTGATGTTGTGGTATACTTGACGATAGAGATGGAGAAAGACCTCTCGTACACGAGCAGCCCGTTGGTGCTGATGTGATGCAAATGAGCAGATGTAAGATCTCAAAAACGGGTATACATACTGCGATGTATGTGCTCTTGTCAGCCTGCTTGGTTTGCAACTTACTAGTTATTTCATTCCTCTGTGTAATTTTGTAAATTCGGTCGACCGATTGATGATCTTGACATGGATGGATACAAACCCTCTGCTGATGCTCCATATGTTCTTTGAAATTATTATACGTTGGAGCACTGAGTTTCTTGCTGCTATCCTCGAGTTCTTTGAGGCTGTCGCTGAGTCTGTCGATAGCCTGCTGTATGTTTGAATGGCACGTCAGTATCAACTTGGAACTGGCTTATGCACCTGACACATTTCCTGGATTACACTGCGTTGCTTTACATCGAGATGATGTAATTGGTCCTCGTTAATTGGCACCTGGCAAATGATAAACGTGAACTAGACCGGTTAAAGAAACAGGACTGGTGACGTACATCTGCCCCAGTAAGGACTATTAAAAGTGACTCCATGCTTCCGTCTACTCTAATCATTGTTCGCAGGCTATGGTGATCAACTGATGCGTGTGCACAAAGTTTTAGAAAGTTCTTCGGGACTCACAACTTCTTAAGGTAATCGCGCATGGTCTAACAATCAATTTGAGCAGTCAGGTCATACCGGTATTTTTGTCAAGTTTACCTGGTCATCAACTGCCCGCTTGATATCTGCAACTGATACACATAATTAACGCGAGACGAGAGCCCGTCCGAAACGGCAAACCTAATACAACAACCTCGGCGGTTTTGAGGTATTCCTCGGTCCGATTCGTTCTGCCACGAGCATACTGTCAGTGTGACAAAATCCTGAGAATATTTACACTGCTCATCAAACCTCGTTTTATTTGCATCCCCAAAGCCAGGGACGTCTACGAGCGCAACTGCACGGGATGCGAGTACCTCGAATGCTCCATAGATACGAACCCTATAACAAAAGTGAGGCAAGTAGGTCAGGATATTGCAGAGATCTCCACCTGTCTACTAGATGCCAGACAGATGACTCCGGCTAGAGGACCTCAAATAGTCAGCAGTCATCCGCGATTTAAAATTTGTGACGCACTGGCCCCCCCGCTGCGATGTTTGAGTACGAAGTCAGATACGGCCGAAGCTGTGCATGGTTCAGATACGAATTAAACTGTGATTTCCAATTACAACTTTCCTGTAATTCCAGTTTGTCGAAGCCTACGCCACATATAGAGATCTCAGTTCCGAGCTTGGACGCTACAGCCTCATGCTCAAGAAGTGTATGTATATCTTGTTCAGGCGGGGGAAACGATAGGGTACGAAGGCTATGGCAAGAATTGAGCTGTGAAGGGCGAGATTGAGAATGAAGTCAGTGCTCACTGAGGATACACCTGTGCGGTAGTGCCGGCAGAAACATCAGCCCCCAGGTGATAGTACCAGAAAATAACTAGGACTTTCCTGTTTCAACGTTTCCCATGCCTCCATCGCAGGCCCGCTATCATCGTGGGTACCACGTCCGTGATTCGAAGGGCCTTTGTTACGGTATACTTCTCTGCACGCAAAGATAAGCTGATGGTAATGCGGAAGTGAATCTTTCGAAAAATCATACGTACAGGTCATCTAGCATGTTCGATAGAGTCTGTGTACCAGATATGCACGTGAACCGCTGTATTCCAACAGAACGTCATGAATACTTACAGTTTCCCAGTCATGCTCTTCAATGAATTGGACGCTGACCCTCCACTCTGAAGGAGGCAAATTTTCGTAGATCACTTCCGTCTGAACGGATGTACATGCACTGCATAACGAAAGTGTCAGAAACGAGATAGGTAAGGTGAATTTGCTTCTGACCCCTGTCAATTCAAATTAGTTTGATGCTCGACAGGGTCAACAACCATGACATCATGCACTCACATCAGCTGCCGTTGATAATACGGGCGCACCTAGTATCGCATTAATGGCGGTACTCTTGCCAACTCCAGTTCTTCCTATGAACGCGAACTTCCTTGGCTGGAGCTCACTGTCACCGAGTTTCTGTGCGTCTATCTTCCATCGTCCCAGGTCCTTGTCATAATCCTCGCGTCCTCTAGAATCAGCTATCTCCAACTCCTGCTGCAGTTTGTGATTCGCAGCACGTATTAGCTCATAACACCTGTGGATGTCATCTGGCAATATGTGAGCAGTCTCGGATGGATCATGAACTTGACCTTCAAGTTGTTCCAAGACTGGGTTTTCCATGGAGTTTGTTGTTGGAAGTTGGAACCAAGCGCTTCATCCGCATTGTTGCCCAAGGCCGCCTCGTGTTATGCACACATGACTTTCGCGACAAGTAATGGATACCGTGACTATTTGCATGATGCAAAGACGTTAAAAACCAAATTCCTCGAGGCCTCATTGATCCGAGTCGTCCACGCGACGCACATGCTTCTTGAAATCCACACTTGAGAATCGAATCGACTCGAACATATGGAAACCAGCGCTCTATTTGTCAGCAAGAATCATTGCAAAGACCTGTAGATGAATCTCATTCACGACAATTGGACATGCTCATTGAGGATGATGAACCTGATGAGTATCTCTCATTGACTCGGGAGACACCAAACCTTGACGCGAGTCTGACTGTCTTATCATGCTGGTCTGGGAGTTTTCTGATTTCAAGTAGGACATGTGATGGATGAAGATTTCAAACGCCAAGCCAACCCGTTCCGTGGGCGGCAACATAGTGGCGCACCATTAAGTTTTAGGGGAGGCTAATTAAAACTCCGATGCAGTTCTCAATTCTCAAAGCCGCATTAGCCTCAATTGCAACATGGCCGGTTGGAACAGCATCATTTTTGAGGACCCGACGTCTGGTCATCCTATGCTGCCTCAGGTCGTTCAAGTTATGCGATGCATCTATACTGCCATCAATCCAGAACGTCCACCACCATTTACGGTGGACATCTGGTGGCACTCGTTAAGCCTATCATACCAGGTACAGGAGTCTGGACGCGAACCATCAATTGTCATCCTCAATCTTCGAGAAGGAGAACCACATCAGCCGGCTATGGACACCCATTTTATGATCAACTTGAACACCATGCGTGTCCATGATAAATTTCAGGACCATCGTTTCCCGGTACCCCAGGAGATCCTGCCCGTCCTAGGAGAACTTAAAGAATACGTGAGGAGCACTGTCCGAGGCAGATGGGAAGCGAAAGAAGCGCAGAACCGCGAGACAGCCCGTCGCCTTGAGAAAGAGCGAGAAGAACAACGAAATCGAGTACAGGCGAGTAAAGTACATAGTTGCAAGTGTGTTGCAAAATTCATTCCTTCTTGAGCACAGGCCTTTTGTCGTGGTCTTGTTGAGAACGGTTTCATTGATGAAGATGATGCGAGTCACTTCTCCGGTGACAGTCTGCATTGTCCTGTCTGTTCAGCGAGGCAGACATCGTGCAATATGTGCAAGGTCATCTCCTGCTCCAATGGTGACTGTGAAGTCTCTTCCGCCATTCCTATCGTACAGTGTTCCAATCATCACAACACGAAATTCTGCACCTCGTGTTTGGAACTTCCAGGCTCTCTGCCGCGTCTGGGCAAATGTCCCATGTGCGCACGCTGGTTCTGTTCATCAGAGCTTCAATGGTGTATCGGGCGCCCAGTTTCTAATGACGGAACCGGACTTTCCCCACCAAATATTGATGTAACCCGATTACACTCTGCGCGTCCCTTGTCTTGCCGGACCATCGCCTGTATGGATAATAGCCGAGAGAACGGAAAGAATGGGCGTCGCTGCTGCAATGCTCGTTGTTGGTCTCGGGTGGGTACCGCAACGTGCCCTGATTGTATCACACAGGATAGTTTCGCCTGTCCCTGTGGTCAATACTGGACTTGAGGTGGCTGTGAGTCACAGGCTTCTTCCGCTAGTCGGTTTATCACATGCCCTGGGTGCCACCGGCGTTTCTGTTCATCGTCGTGCTCATACATCGGGACCTGCGAGCTGTGCAATCATGTGGAGCCCTGTCGCGACTGCATCAGGGACGGAAAGAGCGTAGAAGGAGAGCACATCATGTTTATGTGCCAGGGCTGCAGAGGTCTCCTGTGCGAGACATGTTCTGATCTTGACGAGAAAACATGCTGCAGATGTGATCAGAGCATTTGTAAGCTTTGTGCACAGGAAGAAGACGACAGCGATTATCCTGATATAGTCTGTGATCAGTGCAGAGCTTCGAGTGATCAGTACGATGATGAGGATATGGTTTACGGTGATGAATGCATGGCTTACGGTGATTACTTTTAATGTGGCGCATCGTTCACGAACTATCTTGTATTATAATCTGTGTCTAATGTTACTGTAAATCTCGCTAGCACCTCATACCCGCGGTGGCCTCGAAGGAATTCAACGGGTACAGCTGAACACCACGACCGTTAATTTACAACTTTTCTGGCCGTTTGAGACAATTCAAGTTCGTGAGCTCAAGGTGTCCCTGATATTGGAGGGTGTGGCTCATGTGGTCCATCACGACTCGATGAGCCAACTGAAGTGCGGGAACATGTAAGATCTATGTATAACGGAAATCACATTGAGGATGTACTAACAATATACAGTATCACGTGCGATCCAAGAGAAACGGGCCGAACAAAAGCAGTCTCGAAACGATCACGAAATCAGTGGGGCAACGGGAATTATCATCAAGTGCGATGTATATGCGGGGAGCCTATGCTGAGGATAGCAAGGTAGGCAATCCCCAAAATAGCGTCTTGCGAGGAAGGAGGTCTGCCAGTTGCGGTATGAACACCTGTAACCCTAAACTGCAAGATTGTTGGGGTGCCTTCTCCAACGATACTGGATGTTCCCGCTGGTGGCGTGTTAGAAATGTCAGATTGCTATACCTTTATTCAATGGTGGTGCGATGCCTTAAATATCATCAACATGGGATGGATCTCCTGGTCCCGAGTTGGGAAATATATGTACCTTGAATTGCGAAGATGCCCACAATTACTTTAACTTATCCCTCCAAATAAGCATGCGCTGCCAGTGCAATGTAAGCTTGTGACCAACCTGGCCCACGGACAAGTCGAGTGGCGAAGCCTGTAACATCAAATATGCTAGTCCAAACTGATTACGAGTCCAAGTGCAATGTACACGTGGGATTGCTGTAGGGTTGAAATCGGGATTTAAAACGTGTATTTTTGATCATCGTTCGAAGATTCAAAGTGCCTCAGGCCTCCTGGCAAGAACCCTCTGACTTTGTGACAGTGGCGGCGCAATGAGGATGCAGCGAGGTGGTGAATTTCCAGCTGACCGGCCCAAAATTTCCACAACCATAGTATTGCAAGGTCCATGAGTGCCGGTGAAAGGTGGTTATTGTTGTCCCGAGCCGCGTGCCCTTCAGCATCGATGGGTACAAGATGGGAGGGCGCTGGATTATGTAACTCGTATAGTTTCGAAAATTGAAATACCGCAATGACCTCGAGGCATGCACATTGCACATGCCAACTTGTCATGATACTAATCAATCCATCATTGAGCGCAAGCCTGCGCACGCTCCAGGCTTCTACGCTGTACAAATTTGCCAAGATTAAAATTCAAGATCGAGTCAAATCAACTAGTCCTTGAATAACACCTTGCCAACCTACCGTGACTGAAGTACTGATACTTAGGTTCACACCATCAGAAACAAAGTATCGTTAGGCGTCGTGCTTTGATGTTCCGTTTCAGGTGTGTATATATAGTGTGTTTCACTTCGAACTCCCTTGACCTCATGATATGAATTAGGAACGTCCGTCGTCTTTCTCCCTTCTATCAAGGTTTGACCAGGGGAGATTAAGACCTCACCCTGAACCCACTCTACAACGAGGTGTTGAATCTCCAGCCAACTGGTTCCCAACTTCCGTAACCATATAAGTTCCGAGCGTCTTTCTACCGGTCTAGCAGTCCATCTTTCACCTCTTGCAGTGAAATGTGCCTCGCTGTGAGCTAGTCAGGCGTAATGCAACAAACAAGCTATGACATGCAACATCTCCAACGGTCTGATTTGGTGTTTGATCTTACACCGTGACGGAGCTCAACTTACTTTGCACCTTAAAACGTTCAACACGAACTAAGTCTATATCAACTCGCAGTTCCAAAGTTTTTTCCATCATATCATTCGAAATGTCGCATTCATATCGTGATGTTTTCCAGACCTTTCCCGCGTATCGGATGGGATCGCCTCCAGTTACGTCTGATGCTGACCGTTCTCTCGAGTTCCCTCGCAGACCTGGCTCGCCGTACAGACCGAAGTTGAAATGCCAATCGGTATCTCAAACAATCAATGCCAGATCAGATAGTGACAAGGAAACTTCATCACTGCCTCTAGTTTGGGTGAGTGATCATCTACGTTCTATCTGGCGGACAAAATCAAACTATGACACAGGTTGAAGTCCGAGACAACGTTATCCCGCCTCACGCTGTTCCATTCGCCTCGGACAGTCACGGTCCTCTTTTCATAGCCCGAGCTTATCTAGAAGTAAGTCTTCTCATGCAAAAGCTCTATCATTTGTGACTTATGAGTGCAGGGAGCATTTTGTAAGTCAGCTCCATCAGGCATCGATTTTGCTCATTCGTGTCACCCGCAACAGTCCTGGGCAAGGCTGGTCCTCAGCTCACTAGCGGTGCTATCATTAGCTACGGAAGTTTGGAAATAACGGTAGTAACCGCAACTTTTGAAGTCGTAATTTTGCTGAACGTATAACCTAGGTGACCCGGTATGATGTACTCGTGTGCGCCGGACGGCTGAGTTGGGAGATCCCGTATTCTTCTGGGACAAGCGTCATGCGCCAGGACACCGTCATCACAAAATATCACATCAATCACGGTCTTGAACAAGCTCTCACGTATCATCAGGATATTCCTGAAAACGCCTATAATTCCGCAGATAATCACGACGAGGTCGATAACAACCAGCGTTCGGCGACTCCCGATCCTGACCCCGCCATCGTCGCATCGCATACCAGGGCCCGCAGCTACTCTACATATGGCCTTTCGTCAAAAGAATCTTTAGATGTTGACATATTGAAAGCTCGCGACACTTTCGTTCCCCTGAAATCTCCTCTTGAGCTAACGGAACGGTCACGATCACTCCCTCCCCGGGCAAGACGTTCAGCCGAGTCAAGCTTTGACGCTAGGGCGGAACTGGGTGCTTTTCGGTGCGACAGTGCACAAAGTGCTGATGTTACTACGGTCATTACGTCCGCTACTCACAGGTCTGAGCATGCACCGGTGTCCCGCCCAAGTGTGGTAACGTCATCGAAACCTCGAGTCCATCTCGATTGCACCAGTCAAGGATCTTACAGGCTCCCTACGTGAGTTGACGGTGACAACTGGGAGACACTTTTTAACGAGGAGTTTTCACAGCGTGGCTAGTGCTGTTGAATACTCAGCAAATGAGCGAGGCACCCCAGTTGGTTCGTTCGGTGGATCTGAAATCACAGGGTTCCGCGAGGTAGTGAATGTCGATGGTCGGAGTGCATATAGCAGTTCACCTCGTGAACCTCCAGCTCAATCGGTACATGCTGGTTTTGCCCAGGATGTCTTACCGCGTCGAAGATATTCAAACACTGGTATCGCTCCTTCCACGCCTGTAAATCACCACACAAACCAGTTCTTGTCGACTTCGGCAACGAGCCATTCATTGGCAAGCAATGTCCTTGATTCTCGATTCACCAATACTCTCAATCCTTCGTCGAAGGACGACTCTCAGTTCACCCCCACGCATTACTCATTTTCCTCGCACAAAGTGTCGAGTGATTCGCCACTGTCTCAACCATCTACAGTTTTCTCTCGTGGTACTTGGGCAGGCACCCAAGGAACCCTTGCTCTGTGTCTCTGCATCCTTGATGATGTCGAAGACACGAGCAAACATCAGTCAAAACTGGTCAACTGTCCCGTACACCCTCCTGCAGACACGATCGGCATCTCTGGCAATTTGAGCGATTTCGGGCATGTCGATCAGTACGATCAGTGGGCATCTCCTGTTGCCAAAACGCATGTATGGCAACGTGGTATGCAACACCAGAAATCTCACTTGAAGGATAGCCCAAGTCACGTTCCACAATCTCCTACATTTCTATCCACCGATTCACCCCCAGCTCAGAACTCTCTCGTTGGTGATCATACAGGTATTGACCTACGTTCGACTCATTACTCACGTCATGACGTGCAAAGAAGGCCCGCCGAGACGTTATCCGAGGACGAAAACACGACTGTCTCGGAGCATGTGTGTGGCTGTGAGTCGGAGCATGTATGCGACTCCGAGCATTGGCAGCTTGTCTCCCGAACAACCTTTGGCATCGAAGCGCAAACCTGTGATGGTACTGGAAGCGATGTAATCGCCAGCGAGCTTCCCGCACCAATCACCATTAACCCGTCGAACGCTGGGATCGTGACGAGCGAAGTCAAACTTCTGCCTCATCCTATGCCGCTCATAACCTCTGCATCTCAAGTAGCTGGAGACAGCAAACGGGAGCACAGTCGTGGCGTAGTGCAGGAGAGCACTCTTGAACGGGAGCTCGTTCAAGAGAATCGGGTCGCAGTTACTGCAGTATCCCAAAATATAAGCACGGGGGAGTCAACATCGGTTGTTTCCTCTCGCGGAACCCTGGTAACTGAAGAATGTGCACCATTGTCGACTGTCACGTGTAGTCCGAGCTTGCCTCCTTCACAACAGCAGCCTGCCCAGACAATCTCATGTAATGACGGCTCAGTTATGGATGACGAGCTCCATAAGCATCGCGAGTGCGCAGATTCATCTGTCATCGTCTGTGCATCCGTGGCACATGAGGAAAACAATAGTTCAACCAGAGTCGTCGCGGTCGAGAGCACCCAGAAGACAAGTCCAGCATCGAACGATATTCGAAACTCATCTTTCATTCAAAGTACACTGACGATAGTCGAGAGTCCCTCCCTGACTTCTAACAGACACGAGGAACTCTACGATCAAGACGTAGCCAGGGACAAGCCTAGTCAAGTTACCCCGTACGTCTTCCCATGTTGTGTTTACTCTCAACTGAAATTGTCTAGCACTCCGAAACTTGTGGATGAGAGGGAGGATTGCAAGCGCCAAACTGTGGAGGGCAGAGAAGACTCTCATGATCAAGGGACGGAAAGCGATGTTAAGCAAAATCTCACATCATATTCCCGTACTGTTAGGATTGTCGAAGGAAACACGTCGAAGTCCACGGTGTTGAACGATGATAGGACGATAAATGAGGGCGCCGACGGTGTCGCATTGTCCCTGTCCAATCCCGGGTCGAAAATGTATCCTTCGTACGTGATGCACTTTCAGTTCTTTACCCTCCAATAAACCTCCTTTAGCGAACCGGGTGTTCCGCAGGACTCGGGGATCAATCGCATTGAATCTGGATACGAACACCAGTCTTTGAACCTCGACACAGTTTCAAGGAATTCCATTCAGATATCCAGCCATGATTCGGCCAAGAGCAGTGAAGAGCACATCCAAAGACAGTCAGCCCTAAATTTATCCCTCAGGAACGAGTGAGTTACTGATGATAAGCTCAACAGGGGTCGTGAAGTAGACTCCTCTGTTCTGGTCCAGTCGTCCTTGATACCTGCGGCGAACATTGGAACACTAGCACCGGCCCCACGCGGGGCTGTCGAGAATACGCGGAATTCGAGTCTAGCATACAATGATCTCAGGAACTCGTCTTCAGCTGAAAGCACGTGCATGACGGGTCAGACTTCTTCCCTAGTAATTGACCTGAAAGACCGATCCTGTGGTCAAATTGTAGGCACGAAACTACCTACTCAAAGCTTCTCGTACGTAGATTCTACGCCGTATTTGCCCCACTGACATTATCCAGGACTCCGAATGTTTATGTCGACGACAGAGTGCTTGTATCAGCAGATTGTATGCGCCAGGATCCTCAGGGCAGAGGAGGCTATCATGCACGGGAGGTGGAGAGTGAGGCTACACTCAACTCGGAGTCTTATTCCACTGCCGTCGAGAGTGTCAGGCAGTCAGAGAGTGCCATAATATTGAAAGCTGGTGGACGGTCAGATAAGGACGCTAACAGCGATGTCTCATCCCTGTCATCGACTTACGCTGAGCATAAGCTATCTCTTTCGTAGGTGACAATCCCATTCAAGTTTGAGCTACTGACAATACTCCTTTTTCAGTGAACCGGACGTTCCACAGGATGGGGGAATCAATCCCATTCAGTCTGCATGCGAGCACCAGTCCTCAGAGATTAACGTAGCTTCGGATGACGAGCTCTATAGGCATCGCGAGTGCACAGACTCATCTGTCATCGCCTATTCATCCGTGGCACACGGGGAAAACGATACTTCAACCAGAGTCATCACGGTCGAGAGCACACAGAAGACAAGTCCAGCATCAAACGATATTCGAAACTCATCTTTCGCTCAAAGTACATCGACGATAGCCGAGAGTACCTCTCTAGCTGCTAACAGACACGAGGAACCCTGTGATCAAGATGTAGCCAGGGACAAGCCTAGTCAAATCTCCCCGTACGTCTTTCCCACGCTATGTTTACTCTCAACTAAGATTGTCTAGCACTCCGAAACTTCAGAGTGAGACCGAGGATGTATTCACGGATTACAAGCGTCAAACTATGGAGGGCAAAGAAGACCATTATGATCAAGGGACGGCAAGCGAGGTCAAGCAAAATCTCACATCATATTCCCGTACTGTCAAGATTATCGAAGGAAACACGTCGAAGTCCGCCATATTAGACGATGACAAGAGGATAAATGAGAGCGCCGACGGTGTCGCGTTGTCCCTATCCTCTGTCAATCCTGGGTCCAAAGTGTCTCCTTCGTGCGTGATATCATTCAAGTGCTTCACCCTCCAATAAACCTCTTTTAGCGAATCGGATGTTCCGCGGGACTCGGGGACTAATCATATCGAATTTGCATACGAACATCGCCTCAACATAGCTTCAAAGAATTCCAACCAGATATCCAACCATGATTCGTCTGAGAGCAGTGAAGGGCACATCCAAAGGCAGTCAGCCCAAAATTTATCCTTTAGCAAGGAACGATTTACTGATGATAAGCTCAACAGGAGTCGTGAAGACGTAGACTCCTCTGTGCTGGTCCGATCGTCCTTAGTAACTGCGGAGAACATTGAAGCACCAGCATCAGCCCCACGCAGAGCTGTCGAGAGCACGCAGAAGTCGATTCTAGTATACAATGATCTTGAGAACTCGTCGTTGCCTCAAGGCATGTGGATGATGGGTCAGACTTCCTCGGTAATTGACCTAAAAGGCGGATCCTGCGGTCAATCTGTTGTAGGCGCGGATCTATCTACTCAAAGCTTCTCGTACGTAGCTCCTACGTCGTGTTTCCCCCACTGACATTATCTAGTACTGCGAATGTTTATGTCGAGCACGACAGAGTGCCTGTATCGACAAATTGTATGCCCCAAGGTTTGGAGGGCAGAGGAGGCTATCATGCACGGGAGGTGGAGAGTCAGGTGACGTTCAAATCGGAATCTTATTCCAGTGCCGTCGAGAGTGTCAGGCAATCAGAGAGTACCATGGTATTGGACGCTGGTGGACGATCAGATAAGGACGCTAACAGTAACGTTTCATACCTGCCATCAACTTACGCTGAGCGTAAGCTGTCTTCTTCGTAAGTGATAATCCCGTTCAAGTTTGAGCTGCTAACAATATTTTTTCAGTGAATCGGGCCTCCCACAAGATGCGGGAATCAATGTCACTCAGTCTGCACACGAGCACCACTCCTCAGATATCGACGTAGCTTCGGCGACTTCCGTGCAAACCTTGGGCCATCGCGCGATTGAGAACAGAGTCGAGAGTTCTCTGGTCACTATACAAGAAGGACCTTGCTTTCAATATGTGGCGATAGACGAACCTTGTCAACACTTATCGTATGTAATCCCTATGCTATTTATTGTCCTCGACTAAGGTTATTCAGCGCTCCGAAAATTGACAGCAACGAACCATCGGAGTGCGTGCACCAGGCTGTGGAGAGCAAGGGCGACCGTCATGAACTGGAGACGGAAAGCAAGTTCAACCTCAGCTTGACAGCAGATTCCCATCCTGTCGGGATTGTCGAGCGATCCACGTCGAAGACTGTGGTATCGAAAATTCATGGTCAAACGAATCAGAACACCAATGTCCCTCCGTTTTCTTTGTCCCAAATGGCCACGCTGTCTCCTTCGTAAGTGACATACCATTTGAGCGCCTGATATTGAGATAAACCTCTCCCAGTGACCCGGGCATCCCACAGGATGCGGAAGCCGATCTTATACAGTCTGGATGCGAGCACCAGTCTTCTACTGGGGTAGACGCAGCTTCAATTGACCTTGTGCAGACCTCGAACTATGATTACTCAACTGAGACCCAAGGGTACCGATCAGCTCAGTTATTCTCTTGTAGCAACGTGCCTGGATCAACCATATCTACCCACGTCTACCTGTCCTTGGAACAGAACAATTCAAATTCACCACCATCCATCGACAAAGCAGTTGAGAATACGCAGGAGTCGAGTTCGGTCAATGGAATTTCGAAATCTCTGACATCGACGACATATCAGAGTCATTCTCTTGTCGCTAGCGCGCACGAAGAATCTTGTGGCCAAGATATGACCAAGGACCAGCCTAATCAAGGTTCATCGTACGTAGTTCCTACTATACTGCGTCCACCCTTGGCTAAGACTGTCCAGCTCCCCAAAATATGAGGTTGACGAAGAGGGTGTAACAGCAGATCGCATGCAACAGGCCATCATGGAGTTGAGATGCGAGTCCCAGTCTGATGTCAACGAGGTTTCAAAGACTTTCGAATCGGAGCACACCTGGAGTTATCACTCGCCTGTGAACAGTGAATGGCACAGCCAACGACAGTCAGTTTAGACATTCTCTTCTAGTGATATGTCAGTTACTGATTTGAAGGGCAGAGGAGACTATCATGCACGGGAGGTGGAGAGTGAGGTTACGCTCAAATCGAAGCCTTATTTCAGTGCCGTCGAGAGTGCCATAGTATTCAACGCTGGGGGTCGATCAGATGAGGACGCTAAGAGCGACATCTCATCCCTGTCATCAACTTACACTGAGCGCAAGCTGTCTCTTTCGTAAGTGACAACCTCATTCAAATTTGAGCTCCTTATAATACACCTTTTACAGTGAACCGGGTGTCCCACAGGATGCGGGAATCAATTTCATTCAGTCTGGACGAGAGCACCAGACCTCAAAGATCAACGTAGCTTCAAAGACTTTCGTGCGAACCTCAAGCCATCGCTCAATTGAGAACAGAGTTCAGAGTTCTCTAGTCACTGTGCAAGAAGGACCTTGGTGCCAACCTCGTCAATGTTTTTCGTATGTATTCCCTATGCTGTGTATTTTTGTCCTCGACTAAGGTTAACTAGCGTTCGGAAACTTGACATCAACGAACTACCAGAGTGTGTAATTCCTACTATACTGCGTTCACCCTTGACTAAGATTGGCTAGCTCTCCAAAACATGAAGCTGATGAAGAGGGTGTGACTGCTGATCGCATGCACCAGGCTATCGTAGAGTCGAGATGCGAGCGCCAGTCTTTAGATGTCAACAAGGTTTCGAAGACTTTCGAATCGGAACCCACCTGGATTCATCACTCGCTTGAGAGCGGTGAATGGCACACCCAACGACAGTCAGTTTTAGACATTTTCTTCTAGCGCCAAGACACTTACTGATGATACACTCGGCAGAGGTCGACAGCAAGTATATTCATCTGGTATCGTCGGACCTCAAGTTGGAGAGAGCAATACAACTCCACAATTCTTAAACATCACAGTCAAGAACACACATACGTCAAGTACAACGCCTGATGATCTTTGGAGCTCACCTGTGCCTGAAGGCACATCAGCGATGGAGCAGACTCCTCCTGCAGGTGATTCCTTACAAGGGGCTCCTGATCGTAATGTGACCAGGGTCCGATATAGTAGTCGAAGCTCATCGTACGTAGTTCTTACACTTAGTGATATTAACTTGACTAAAATTATCTAGCATCCCGAAATTTGAGGACAACAATGTCGACGTATCAGCAGGTTATATGCGCCAGGCTTCGGTGACCAGAGGAGACTATCATGAACAGAGGATGGACAGCGAGGTTGAGCAAAATTTGGCGTATCATTTCTGCAGCGTTGGAATGCTCGGGCGATCGACGTCAGACACTGTGACAGCGAACAATGATAGGCGGATGGATAAGGACGCCGAAGACACTGCATTTCCCCTGTCCTCGACTACTATAAGGTCCAAACTGTCAATCGCGTAAGTAGTGCGCTATTCGAACTTCTTACAGTGGAATAATATCCTTGCAGTGAGCCAGACATTCTACGGGATGTGGCTACCTCTTCAAAGGTCATCACGACCTCAACGAATTCTACGCAGACTTCGAGTTATAGGTCGACTGTGGATAATGAACACATCTACCAACAGCCAGCCCAAACTTCCTCCTGGAGTAACGAGTCTCCCGTCAACCAATCGCAAACAACTACCCCCGTCCACCTGTTCTCAGTACCTGGAGAAAACAATCCAACACCAGCACAGCCCTTCAGCGTAGCATCATCCAAGAACACGCAGCAACCGAATCCAGCCTTTAATAGTCCAGATTCATCTTTACCTGAAGGGCCCACGACAGGTCAGACCTCTTCTTCGGCCACTTACGAATGCGGGGAACCCTGCGGTCGAGATGAGGCTAGAGACCTGCCTAGTCAAGGCTCCTCGTACGTTGTATCTACTTCTACGTTGTGCTTGCCCTCGACTGAGAATTGTCTAGTACACCGAAACTCAGGGACGACAAAGAGGATATATTGGCATATTGCACGTTCCAGGGTATTGTCTCGAATGAGGGTGACCGTCCTGCGCCATGTGCTGAAGGAACCCTAGGTGTAGAAGACCATTGCCTGAAGGCAGGACCAACGGTCACATCTGTGACTTGTGATTCAATCACCGTCCAATGCTCATCCCAGACGAAGAATCAAGAGAATACTTTATGTGCTGCTGACACGAGACGATGTGGTGCGCTGGGGACTGCGTGTGACACTTGCTCAACACCGTCAGATGATTGTACAAACACGGCGCCTAATGATTGTCCCCCGGCCGATGGACAATTAACGCAAACTGCTGCTATCGATTGCGCATATAATTGTCCTTCGACCATGGACTCCAAATCATGCTGTCCCGAACCTAAGGGACCTCCGTACGTGTCATACATTTTGAGGCTTTATATTGTAATAAACTTCGTGCAGAGAGCCCTGTGGTGACGTCATCAAGAAATCGTGTGCAAGCGATTGTTGTCCTGCGCCATGCGCTGAAGGAACCCCAGGTGTGAAAGTGCGAGAAGGCGATTGCACGAAGGCACAACCAACAGTCACATGTGGTGTGACCTGTGATTCAAACACGGTCCGATGCTCATCTCAGACGGAGAATAATACTTCATGTGCTGCTGCTGACACGAAACGATGTGATGCGCGTCACACCTGCTCAATACCGTCGGATGATTGTGGGGCGTGCACAAACACGGCGCCTAATGATTGTCCCCCAGCCGATGAACAGTTAGCACAAACTGCTACTACCGATTGCGCATATAAATGTACTTCGACCATGGACTCCAAACCATGCTGTCCTGAACCCAAGGGACCTCCTTCGTACGTATCACACATTTTGAGGCTTTATAATGTAATCAACTTCGTGCAGAGAGCCCTGTGGTGACGTCATCAAGAAATCGTGTGCAAGCGATTGTTGTCCTGCGCCATGCGTTGAAGGAACCCCAGGTGTGAAAGGCGATTGCACCAAGGCAGGACCAACGGTCACATGCAGTGTGACCTGTGATTCAAAGACCGTCCAATGCACATCTCAGACGGAGAATAATACTTCATGTGCTGCTGCTGACACGAAACGATGCGGTGCGCAGGACACCTGCTCAATACCGTCGGATGATTGTGGGGCATGCACAACCGCGGCGCCTAATGAATGTCCCCCGGCCGATGAACAGTTGGCACAAATTGCTGCTACCGATTGCGCATATAAATGTACTTCGACCACAGACTCCAAATCATGCTGTCCTGAACCTCCTTCGTACGTGTCATAAATTTTGAGGCTTTATATTGTAATAAAATTCGTGCAGAAAGCCCTGTAGTGACGTCATCAAGAAATCGTGTGCAAGCGATTGTTGTCCTGCGCCATGCGCTGAAGGAACCTCAGGCGTGAAAGTGCGAGAAGGCGATTGCACGAAGGCAGAACCGACAGCCACATGCAGTCTGACCTGTGATTCAAACACTGTCCAAACTTCATATGCTGCTGACACGAAGCAATGTGGTACGCAGAAGTCTGCGTGTGACACTGCTTGCTCAGTACCGTCAGAGGATTGCGGGGCATGCACGACCACGGCACCTAATAATTGTCCCTCTACCGACAAACAGTTGACCCAGACTACTACAACCGATTGCGCACATGAATGTTGCCCGACCATGGACTCGCCAGTGAAATCATGCTAAAATATGCCTTCCATGTACGTGTCAAAAAATTCGTGATCTGATGCTCATTATGATTCATTTTCTCAGAGGAAGAAACGCAAACTCGTCTTTCAAGACGTTTACATGTGAGGAAAACGAGAATGGACATGAGGAGTTTGGTGTTGCATTCAAGGAGAACTCCACTGATGGACGAGACTATCGTAGATTGAACTTTCAAGTTTCTTGTTTCATGCTGAGACAAGCACCGACGTAATGTAGAAAAATGCATTGAGGAGTTGGCGGGTATATAATTACGTGCCTGTATTTCATAGCAAGACTCCCATGACAACCCGTGAGCCGTATGAGTGAGAATGACACAACGCAATCCTAGAAGGGTACGACGGAGATTGCATGTCCGTGGGGCCCAAAACAGAAGCATGTCCTTTAATGCATTTAGCGCCCATTCGCCATCTGTCGGAATTCTCACTGGTGGCTTTCGCATTGGAGTAGTGATTTCGTCAAGAAGTGCGGTACTGCTAACAGGGGCGTGTTCTAGATCCATGGCAAAATGAATAGTGTTGGCGAGAATGAGCATGACCGAGATGCGGTGTATCAAGTCACGGGCATGCCACCGGAACGTATGACAGGAATGGTCAAGGACAGCGTGTTCAATCAAGGAACATTAGTTGACTGTAGAAGGGGTGTTATGATATAACAGATGGGTACGATGATACAGATCGGAATCAGGTGGCTGGCAGTGAGTTTTTTGGGGGGCGTAGATTGAATGCGTGTTTTTGGCTGTTAGTAGGCCGGTCAAATGTTCCTAGTTATAGATGGTTATTGGCACTGCAGGCGAGCTCCGGACGGCAAGGATCATGTGCTCACACAACAGGACGACTCAGTCTCGGAGGAATCGCTGGAGATCTTCCATAAGGTGAATGGATGCTTCGCAACATTGATCGGACTGAACCGGGTGGCTGTGCTTCCTTACTTCCCGCTCAACGAAATGTGCCAAATTTGTGGGCTAACTTAGCTATGAAGTTGTATGAAGTAGATGACGATACCGTGACAGGTCTAGCAGCAGACACTCTGAGACTCGTGTGTCCCCTTGGCGGACCACTTTTGCTGAAAACTGACCGTCTACTTATATTCAGCACAGATTCTTCTGCTATTACTATTGATCCTGGTTAGTTATTTTGATTCGTGCATTGTACTAGCGTTTATCGTGCTGACTCTAAATTTATATGAAAATCTAGGTCTGCTGCCGCATGGCCTGAATCCTCAACCTCCTCAGCCTTACTCCATCCATGGTCCCCACATCCTCACCCCCATATTCCCCTCCCGCTCATTCCGTCCACCATTCAGCACATCCCCATGACTCAGCCCATCCTCGATCCTGCATCGCACCATCGTCTCTGGTAGCTTAGAAAGCCTATATATCAGACTTGAAGGTGGGTCCATCCTTATTACCTTACCATCTGTCTCGTCATCTTCACACTCTATCTACAGCCATCAACCGAAAGGATATTCACGTCTCCTCCTGCATTTACGTGTTCATCAATGTCGACTCGAGGAGACGTTGGAAATCGGACATAAGCCTCCTCTCATCTTGTAGCGTGAGGGGATACTGTGACTTGTAATGTCCATGAAGACTTTCCCGCACAATGGGAGAACTGATCATGGTTTTATAGATCACCACAGGCGTCACCTGCATTATCAGTGCAAAACAACGCATCCTATGGGGTCGATCGAATGCTAGGCAGTGGAGAGGTCTTTGGAAACTTCAAACATCATGAGGCGAGCTGCTCGATTATGGTGATAAGCCATTCGGTGAGTAACCTACTTCTCATCTATACACATCTACTAACATCTCGAAGGATTATCCTTCCCACCTGTGCGTGGTGTCCACCCTTCCCTCACACTGAAGGCCGCTGTTTTACACCCTTGCGACCATCAGGACGAGGCACTGTCTGATTTGTGTGACGCTAGTCTCTCTTTTGCTGACAAAACTCCAGCTCTAGTCCCTCGTAGACCGCAAGATCACTCAAGACATGGATGCAGGCCACGCACGATTTGCAAAATACGTGACGAGCAAAACGGAACCCGCCATTTGACGCTCAACATCCATATGATCGCCCGTGTGAGTTGACGGAAACAGCTGCGATACACTCGATTAATGAACACCTTTCGCAGCGCAGTCGGTATCGCAGTCCAGAGATCGCTGTTTCCTTAACATCACGCGTGACCCATCTTCCTCGGTGCTCACACTAAATGTCAAAGCGACGAGTCACTTCTTTATCTGTCTGGAGTCGGCCCTTGATCAATCAGGCTTCCTCTGCGGAGACGTGAATGGCATCTCTGTTGGTTAGGATGATTCGATCTGCATGACGATCTGCAGATCTCATTGACAGAACCGTTGTCCAGCCACAGGTATCGCAACAGAATGCGTAGTGACAGAATTGTTGTCTGCGTGAGAGCCCTACTCGCATTTTACAGTTACCGTCACCATTGACTAGACATCGTATCATGTAAGAGAACTCTACGCGAGAGATTCATAAACTTTCATTCATTGAGCGATCATTCCATGCTGTACAGTCTTTCCTTGTAATCTATATTTATGAATCACACTGGAGCGGGGGACCCCTAGGGAGGGGTTAGGTCATAGAGGTTGTTTGGCGGTGTTTGGAGCGCAGGCAGGGCATTAGGTAGAGTTCCGGCAGCAGTAGCAGGCATCACTTTGTTGTAGAGTCCAGCGCACACATTCTAGCAGAGCCCACTCCAACTGGTGAACAGAGCGAGAGTGTCCCAATTTTCCCTTTTCTTTCCGTTTTAGAGCATAGAGCATAGAGCAGAGTATCGAGCACCGAGCATAGAGCAGAACCAGAGCAACAGAGTCAAGCTGAATCCAGAGAATGTCACACCTCGTGTCAGAACACGAGGAAAACGCACCAAGCATAGCCTTTAATCAGTATAAAGACCTGGTTTTTTCGCTAACACCCCCAACTGCAGTCAAACTGAATCCTCCACGAGAACCACTGCCCAGAGACAAGAAAGGGCGCTTCACAAAGAAAAAAGCCATTAACCTAGAACTTTCCGATACCATGCTTCCATCCTCACATTCATTGCCCTTAGACACTCCAGAGATCAACCAACGAGCACTAGAACGAGAACACGAGGAGTCAGAACACGAAGTCATCCAACAGCTAGCAGACGACGAAGAATCTTTACCAGGAGTGCCAGACCCGTCCACGCTAATCTTCCCAAACCTTCAGTCTCCTAAGCTCATACCAATTGTCATCCCCCCACCCACGCCAAATAAGCCAGTCAACGTTATGACAGGTGTTCCACTACCCGCATTGTTCCATGGGAAAGAGAGCGAGAACGCACAAAACTTCCTGCGAAGCACGGAAGCATACTTCCTAGTTAACCAAATCGCAGATGAAGCTATCAAAGTCGCACTATTCGCAGCATTGATTTCAGCAGGCTCACAGGCAGACCATTGGTGGACGAACCTTGATGCACAGCACAAGACTTTGTGGAGGAACGTCAAAGCAGCCTTCAAAACAAAGTGGCCAGCAATAACCGTAGCAGGAAAGACTCAACTTGAGTATCAGAAAGAGTTATTAGCACTACGGTTGAAAGAAGAAGATGTAGGAGAACACCTCACCTTAGCTGAAATCACCACCTGGTCCCACATACACTTCCATAATCAACTCACGACGCTGGTACAAGATGCAGGCGTAGCAAACACACCAGTCTTGATCCACCAGGTCTGAGATGCACTCCCGTGGGTCTTACGAGACCTCACAACGCCCGCACCAGCCGATTGGAATACATTCTTATCGGAGATTGCAAGCGTCAATGTGGACATCCTGCAAGACAAAGCAAAATGTGAGAAAGAGAGGAAAGAAGTAGAGAGAATGCAGAACACACATATTGCATGTCTAGAAAGCCAGTGGAACGATCCAGTAGAAGTGTTACGTTTGCAAATGCAGCAAGCAACACTCGGAACGAATAACCCTACATGAGCAATGGGAGCAACAATGTCGCAGACAAGAATGACGACAGGAAACTCCGACATGCAGCAAGCACAGGTCGCCAGAAGGCAAGTATGCTACACAGCAGCCAATCAAGCACAGTTAGGACAAAGACCAATATGAAGTGCACCTACACAAGAAGAACGAGACCTCCTACGAGCACGTATCAATGACTTGCCGCACCATGTAGACACAGATGCAGGACACACGGCCTACAACAAACAACAACGACAGTGGGCAGCGAGATGGGGAGAAGGTGCAAGGAGTACAGAGAGCACACCATTCCCATTAATGCCAGGCACAGCACAAATATGTTCAGGGGAGTGCTTCCGGTGCGGAGCGCACGGACACATAAGCCCAGCGTGTCAACTGCAGCCAGACATGCAATTGCCAAAGAACGAAATGATATGGCGGGGAATATGCACCAGAATGCTGGGAGCATTCAATAGAGCAACCACGCCACAAGTTAATTATGTGCTTGAAGAAATTTTCACCCCAGATGTAATGGAGCAGGGAAAAGGCCAAGGGTCGTTGGCGTAGAGGACAGCCAAACAACCCTAACACATATAATACCTCAGTACAAGGAACAATCCGTCCTCGTGTGCCAAGAGGAGACACATGAGGACAAGTGCTACACCTCCGTCGAGAATGCAAACCGTACAGAACATGTCACTATGCAGTCCCATTCTAGTGAACAATATGATGTCATTGAATTGTACTCGACGGACGATGAAGAGACCCACCGTAAATGCCAACCATTCCTACAACACGTCGCACTTAAAGGAGCACAAGGGGAAACCATACAAATCAAGGCACTCTTCGACGAGGGCGCCATGGTCAATGCCATGTGCGCAACGGAATTCGAACAAGTGAAACATAGGCTAGGAAGTTGGGGAACATCGACGAAGCGGTTACACATGGCGAACAGCACAATAGTACCCTCTAAAGCTGTATGGAGAGGCAAAGTCATGATAGAAGGAATCAAAATGCACAGAGAGTTCGAAGTATTCGAAAGCGGAGGCGGGTGGAGATTCCTGTTCGGGAAGCCACTATTACGCGCATTTCAAGTGATACATGAATATGAAACAGACGTGGTGCACATATCAGGGGAAGGAGGTTCGAAGACAATCTACAACCAAAGTCAAGAGGAAGATATCACACAGAGAGAAGAACATATCCTCACAAGAGAAGTCCCAGTGCACAATCATAACTCAGGTCCAAAGATTTATACTGACCGAAAAACGAATTTAGGAACATACATCCCAGTCTGTGTCACGACAGACGACAAGGATGAGGCAGCAGTCTTCACGAGAATGACAAATCCAGGAAACCCGAAACGGGTAGCATATATCGTAAAGGCGGTACAGTACAGAAAGGAACTGACAGAAGAGGAACACAAACGGGTTGAAGATTTAGTGGAAATATATGCAGACATATTTGCATGCTCACTTTCAGAGGTCCTCCCGATACCAGGAGCCCAACATCGACTGAACATACCAGAAGACACCACATTTAACCTACGCATTCGTCAACGAGCGCTTACACCACCGCAAGCTAAGTTCTTACATGGCCGGATTGACGAAATGCTAGCGGCGGGGATAATCGAAAAGGCACCAGCAGAACAGGTCAAATGCTGCGCCACCACGGTATCAGCGCAGAAGGCACACGAACAAGGAGGACTCACGCTGGAAGAACTACAATACAAAGTCAACGAACAGTATACGAAGCACGGACAACCGCCAGCCTTCATCTTACCAGAACGCAAAGTACAAGAGGCACCTCGAGAAGCATTAGAAAACAAGCCACTGTAGGTATACAACTCAGAGTGGTGCTAAAGGCTCCAAACTGATATCTTTATGTTGTAGGTCGTGCACTGCCTATCTGCTATACTTGTGGGACAAGTGCGTTCGACCCTAAAGGGGAAGCTAGTGCAGCAAAGGTCTAGAAATGGATGCAGAAGGTGCTGCTTGTCGGCCGATGCGAAGTGCAGGAAAGCGACGGGTGCGCGCACATAGCGCGGGAATGTAGCGGCGGGCGAAAGCCGAAAGCACAGGAAGAAATGCGGCTGCGAAGTGGCCGATGCGCGAAGGGTTCGGATGATAATGGAGATGAAGGACAATAGGAATAGATGTAGAGCAAGCTGATAATGGATATGATGCGAGCGGTAAACGGATACTGATTACCAATAGCTACCAACTGTAGGCTAATGGGAGTTTGCTACTGGAACGTCCGGAAAACAATCTACTGAATGATATGTACTGCTAGTGCTGAGTATTGCACTAAGCGCTGTCACACGGAACTGAGCCGACGTGCTACCGAGTTAGGTATGTAAAGCTATATGTAAATAAGGGTCTATGACGAAATAAAGGTGGTCCAATGTGAAAATGGTTTGATATGTAAATATAATCATGAAATAATGTACCATTGGGTTGGTTTTGGACTATGGATGGGTGCTGAACGTCGGCCGATGAAGCGCGAGAAAAGCGGCTGCTAAGCGCGGCTGTGCGCGCGCGTGGGAACGTTGCGGCCGTCGTGGGAAAGTTGCGCTTCATATAGGAAACCAATAGGGTGCTAAGGGATACTGCAAAAATAGCCTCTTCGAGGCTATAAGGACTTCCAGTCCTACACCACAGAAATGGAGAATTTGTCAGAACTTCAACGAAGTAAACAGACATACCGTTATAGCGCCAATGCCACAAGGGGACATACAAGCCAAACAATTGAGGCTAAGCGGCCATAAGTATGTGTCAGTATTTGATTTTGCGTCCGGGTTCTATGCTGTCGAAGTTCCAGAAGAATCCAGGCCCTACACAGCATTCTACGTAGAAGGCCATGGTTACTTTTGGTACAAGCACATGCCGATGGGACTCACCGGAGCGCCCACCACATTCTGCGAAGTAACAGCCACTCATCTGCATGATCTAATTGCTGATACCACTATGGAAATATTTGTAGACGATGGAGGGAGCGCAGGCGACATGTTCGACGACATGTTTTGGAAACTAGAACATATCTTTCAGTGTTGCTGAGACCGGAAATTATCTTTATCACCCACGAAATGCCGACTCTTCATGTCAGAGACAACTTTCGCAGGAGCAACAGTAGGTCCCAAAGGAGTTCAACCTGATCTCGAAAAATTAACTGCTATCGTAAACTGGGAAAGGCCAGCAGACGCTACTTAACCTAGAGTCATTTTTAGGACTAACAAGTCATTTTAGGGATCTAGTGCTAGGATACACAAAACAAGAAGGACCATTGTGCAACTTAGTAAAGGAAGCACCACTAACGCACCTGTACACCAAGAATACATATCGATGCATCTTAAGAGGCCACAAACTGGACAACAAATGGACGCAAGAGCACACCAAAGCATTCCTAGACCTAAAAGCCGCATTAGTAATGCGCCCGATCCTACAAGTGCCAAAGTACGATGTATCATCATTCGTTGTCACATCCGATGGTTGCCAAGAAGGACTAGCAGCAGTGTTGTCACAACGGACACGCATGCAAAGACCATCCGGAAAGTGGATAGAACATTTGCTACCAATCACATTCGTGTCAAAACGGACATCAAGCACAGAACAAAAATACAAACCTTTTATATTGGAGTTCGTGGTGCTAAAGTTCGGACTAGACAAGTTCTCGGACGTCGTATGGGGCTTTCCGGTAGAAATCGAGACGGACTGTCAAGCGCTAAGGGATGTATTGTTAAGCGACCATCTCAACGCGGCACACGCCCGATGGTGGGACGGAATCCTAGCACACAACATAATAGATGTGCGACACGTACCGGGTAAGCTAAATGTCATAGCGGATGGCCTTAGTAGGCAATGGGAGGGTCAGCTGCGAGATGCAGGACTACGAGACGGGAGTACTTGGACAGTCAGTGAGGACTGGGAAACGGAAACAGGTTTGATTAATGATATTCTACTAACCTCTATGATAGACAAACAAACGGTGAAAAGTCTCCTCGAACATTTTACTAATGAACCAATTTTTCTAGAAGTTATAGAGTCAATAGCACAGGTCAACTCGAACAAACCATTAAGAGATCGTAAATGTGTGCACCATTGAGCATCGGAGTACCTAATCGAAAACAGGAAACTATGGAGGTTGCATGGAGGAACGACAGTTAGAGCTCGAAGCAGGACAGAGTGTGTTACCCAGGAAGAAGCTGAGCAAATGGCAACAATGCAACATGAACAGATGGGACATTGGGGGAGAGACACTATCAAAATAGCACTCACGGACCGAATATGCAGCCCCAAACTCGACACATCAATCATGAAAGCTATAACAAATTGCGCTAAGTGTAAAAACTTCGGATCACAACATTTGCACTCACTATTAGAACCTATAACACGCAGACATCCTTTCGAGCTCCTCATTGGCGACTACTTAATGCTTCCCAAAGCCCAAGGGTACAACACCTTAGGCGTCTACTTGGACACGTTCTCACAGCACGTATGGGTCTTCAAGTATAAATCCTCCGGTACGGCGCGCACAATGATAGACAGTATATCGCGAATCTTCCAGAACTTCACGTCGTCAGAAACGTTCATGAGCAATGGGGGGAAGCACTTTAATAACACGGAAGTTCAAGAATATTGCGCTAAGTGGTCATGTAAAACACACGTTGTAGCAGCTTACTCACCATGGGTCAATGGACTTGTAGAAGGCACAAACAAAATCCTATTGCACGTACTCAAACTTTTATGCGCCCCAAACCTCGGCGAAGACGAATATGAAGCAATATCGTGGGACACCTTGCCAAATAGTTGGCCAAAGCACCTGGAGGAAGCAGTCGCAGCCTTGAATTATAGAATCTTGCCGGCTCTGAAGTTCTCACCAAAAGAACTTTTGCTGGGACAGGCGATCAATACTCCAAGGACAGACATAGCTAACAGCACATCAGCACTACGAATATCGGATGCCAATATACACATGGTGTACGTCGCGCAGCAACGTCTAGACGGATATGAGGCTACAGTACAGCACACTATCAAGAGGAAAGCGGCATTCAACAAACATGTACTATCACGCTCACCAAGGGAAGTGATCTTTACAAAAGGACAACTCGTTCAATTTTATTATAGCAGTGCGCACAATACACTCGAAGTGAAATGAAAACTATTGCCGAAATGGTCACATCCTCATCGGATTACTGAAAGGATATGCAACTCGTACCGTTTGGAGACCATACAAGGAGAATTGCTATCAAGCGAGTTCCACACAAGACAGTTGAGAGCGTTTACACCGAGGGAGGGCACAAAGTTGTGGGAAGAGCAGAAAGAAAAAGAAGCACAATTAGCGCAAGAGGAAAAAAACGTCCAAGTCGATGAAACCCAAGTCGATGAAATCCAGAATGAAGAAGAGCAGCAGATAGACGAAGAGGAGAGTGAGAATGAAGATGAAGATAGAAACAAAAACGAAGATGTAAACGACATAGAAAGGTGCGATGCGGTTGTCGCTGTTTTTAAGGGGGGCACATGGAGCGGGGGACCCCTAGGGAGGGGTTAGGTCATAGAGGTTGTTTGGCAGTGTTTGGAGCGCAGGCAGGGCGTTAGGTAGAGTTCCGGCAGCAGTAGCAGGCATCACTTTGTTGTAGAGTCCAGCGCACGCATTCTAGCAGAGCCCACTCCAACACTTAGGATCTTGTGAACAGCACCGAGATAGCAGTTTACAAAACAGCAGTCAAAACGCGAAAACATCCAGATCCTTCATATCACCATCAGCAAATGAGAGGTTCTTCGAAAATAAGACAATCAGCATGGCATCACGTATTCTGTGCGCTGCTTGTCCTTCTTACACTGGAATAATCTTCTTGCAGTGAACCAGACATTCCGCAGGATGTGGCGACCTCTTCAAAGGACATCACAACCTTAACCACTTCCATGCAGACTTCGAGTTATAGGTCAACTGTGAACAGTATACTCTTCAATGATGTGCCTGTGTTTCATAGCAGGACTCCCATGACAACCCGTGAGCAGTATGAGTGGGAATGACCCAACGCAAACCTAGGAGAGTACCACGCTGAACAAGGCTATTGCAACTGGTGCGTATCTCGAGAATTTTGGTGACCGCTATTATCTCATTCACTTTTTTTCAAGTATACGAATTCCAATGGTGGCGTTGCCTCAGAGTTTGTGCAAAAGCTGCAAGCGTTGAACTCGATTGCGAGTCGGTGGGACCCAAAACAGAAGCATGTCCTTTGGTGCGTTCGTCATCTGTCTGAATTCTCACTGGTGGCTTTTGCATTGGAGCAGTGATTTCGTCAAGAAGTATGGCACTGTCAACAAGGGCATGTTTCAGATGCATAGCAAAATTAATAGTGTTGGTGAGAATGAAACACAGAAGTAAACCTGTCGGTATCCTCCATCGATCCCTCCCACCAGGGATGTTCAAAGATGCGGTGCATCAAGTCAAGGGTGTGCCACCGAAACGTATGTCATTAATGGTCAAGGACAACATGTTCAAGGCACATTGTTTGATTGTTGCAGGGGTGTTTGTGATATAATAGATGATTTGGGTAAGATGGCATCAGGTGGCCTAGGGTGTAGATTAAATGCGCGTTTTTGGGCTGTTAGCTGGCCCGTCAATGTTCCTAGTCATGGTTATTGGCGCTGCAGGCGAGCTCCCGACGACAAGGATCATGTGCTCACACAACAGGACGAGAAATCGCTGAAGATCTTCCATAAGGTGAATGGATGCTTCACGACATTTTTCGCACTGGTGGCTTTAGATAGAAATTGAATATCAGTAAAGATGGTATGATCAATTGTATGCCCATGTTCGAGTCTAAGAAATCCGGCCCAATAACTTGAAGCTGTCAATGTTAAGATAAAGAAATATAGGGTACAACTCTCGTATATCCGAGTCAGGGCAACCATGACACTAGCTAGCCTACATTGTATAAAGACCAAGATAGTGGTTCCTTCTAGTTTTGATGATAGTGCCTGTCCATGCCCTCATCAGATTCTCTCTTCCTTGAGGCAACAAGAGAGTAAAAGTGGCACAGGTGTGAGTTCTGGAGGGGCCTTTCACCGCCACGTTGAGTGTTCGGGTCCTCGGGAAAGTCTCACTGTACCGGGTAACCGCAAGGTAACCGTACGTTCAAGTCTTCTTCTACTAAATCAAACATTGACCGTATATATCACACTACCGGAGTCGCTGACAAGGGCCTGTGATATTCTTTCGGAAGTCATAGTTATATGTAATTGAAGGTCATTGAACTCATCATGTCACCCTCATGTTTTTTTACCCAATGCGCAGCTGCAGTGCGGTTTCAGGGTGCAATACTCTAGCCCCATGTAATTTTCGAACAGGGCCTCAACCTCACCATGGCCTTCTAGCTGGCCGTTAAATTCGTGGGATCGCTGAGCACTCACCATATCATTTCCCTCGCACTGGTAGTTCATTAGTGTGCCAGTACTGCAGTTTCAGCTCACTAAGTAAGTATTCATTCTGATTTCACTCGATTTTGCACTCAATTGGAGACCTTTGACAGTGAGATGGGGCAGTGGTCATCTTCCCTTGTTATCCTAGTGTATCGAGCTGCATTGCAGCTTAGTCCTCCAGATCCTTGGTTTTCAACGAACTCACCCTCCACATTCATCGCAGATTCCGGCAGCAGGGCATCATGTCCGACCTTGATGAAGCCATTGAGCTCAATTGTGCTGCATTACTCCTCTGTCCCCCCAGAAATTCAGATCGATCCATGTCTCTCAACAATCTTGCAAATAGCCTTATGGACAGATTCGAGCAGCGGGACATCATGTCTGACATTGATGAGGCCATCGAGCTCCATCGTGCTGCATTAGTCCTCCATCCCCCCGGTCATTCAGATCAATCTATATCTCTGAACAATCTTGCACTCTGCCTTCAACACAGATTCGAGCAGCGGGACATCATTTCTGACCTTGATGAGGCCATTGAGCTCCATCAAGCTGCATTACTCCTCCACCCCTCCGGTCATTCATATTGATGCTCATCTCTGAACAATCTTGCAAATAGCCTTCTAGACAGATTCCTGCAGCGGGGCATCATGTCTGACCTTGATGAGGCCATCGAGCTCCATCATGAGGCATTGCTCCTACTTCCCCCTGGTCATTTAGATCGATCCATATCTCTGAACAATCTTGCAAACAGCCTTGCAGCCAGATTCCGGCAGTGGGGCATCATGTCTGACCTTGATGAGGCCATCGAGCTCCATTGTGCTGCATTACTCCTCCGTCCCCCCAGTCATTCAGATCGATGGATGTCTCTGAACAATCTTGCAGATGGCCTTTTGCAGAGATTTGGGCAGTGGGGCATCATGTCTGACATTGATCTAGCCATTGACCTCTATCGTGCTGCATTACTCCTCCATCCCCCCGTCATTCAGATCGATCGAGGTCTCTGAACAATCTTGCTGGCAGCCTTCGAGACAGATTCCTGCAGTGGGGCATCATGCCTGATCTTGATGAGGCCATCGAGCTCTATCATGCTGCATTAGTCCTCTATCTCCTCGGTCATTCAGAACGATCCTCGTCTCTGAGGAATCTTGCACTCAGCCTTCAAGACAGATTCCGGGAATGGGGTGTTCAGTCTGACTATGACGAAGCATTTAGCTTGTACTCTCAACTCTCCCACCTGTCCCATGCAGCATCTCCCACACATCTTGATGCTGCCAAGTCATGGGCGGCCTCTGCCTACGTCCTTAATCACCCGTCTGCATTGCTTGCTTATCAGGTTGCCCTCAAATTCTTAGACCAGCGAGTTGCTCTTCTGTCGTCCTCTTCCCATCACTTCAATGTCGTCAGGGAGGCTGTTTCTTCCCTCGCCACGGATGCTTTTTTGTGCAGTGTTCGTCATGGTGAGCTGACCACTGCGGTGGAGCTGGTGGAGCAAGGTCATGCAGTATTCTGGACCCAGTTGGCATGCTTCAGCACACCACTCGATGAACTTTCTCATTCAGGTGACATTGGCAAGGCCTTGGCAGAAGAGTTCAAACGGTTGAGTTTTTACCTTCATAACGCGTTTGATCAGTCCACTGAAGACCAGTTTCCGCAAATCCGACAACTGACCATGCAATGGGATGATGTCGTCGCACACATTCGCATGCTCCCCGACTTTCCACGCTTTCTTCTGCCTCCACTGTTTTCTGACCTCCAGAAGGCGGCTGAGGATGGTCCAGTTATCGTCGTTAATGCAAGTCAGTATGGCTGCGATGCCTTGATTGTCCATAATGCGGAAGATCCAGTCCATGTTCCGCTTGACATCACACAAGCTGAAGTGTCTGAATTGTCCTCCAACTTCCACAAACTCGCAGAGCAGTTTGGTTCTTCTGATAATCAACTCAAGCTTGTCGGTGTACTTCGCAAGCTTTGGAATGATGTTGTTGACCCCATCGTCCAAGCTCTCAGGGAGTCAAATGTTTGCCCTGGTTCGCATATATGGTGGTGTCCCACTGTGGAGTTCACGTTGCTTCCCCTCCATGCAGCAGGACCATACGAGCTGAAGAAAAAAAATATGTCTGACATCTACATCTCATCTTACACCCCCACTTTGACGACTCTCATTCGTGCCAGATAGCAGGTTTCTCGAGATGCATCCTCGCAACATTTTGTTGCCATCGGTCAAGCCAACCCGGCACATGGGAGGGAGCTCAAATGTGTCGCTTCTGAGCTAGCCGCCGTTGCTGAGCATGTTCCTCCCACCGTCTCCTTCACATCCCTCGAGGGTGCTGAAGCGACAGTCAAGAATGCACTCGATGCGCTCAATCATAATCAGTGGCTCCATCTTGCCTGCCATGGAATGCCGAATCAGACACAACCATTTGACTCTTCCTTCGCCATGCGCAACGGGCCTTTAATGATCAAGGACATCATCCGATCCAACTGGCAGAACCCCCAGTTTGCATTCTTATCAGCCTGCCACACTACCGTTGGCGACGAGAAGAGACCTGATGAGTCGATCCATCTCGCTGCAGCCATGCAGTTCTGCGGATTTTTCAGTGTGATCGGTTCCATGTGGTCTGTTGAGGATGAGGTTGCACGCCAGGTCGTGTCCACTTTTTACCAGAACCTCATTGATGATTCGAAAAGATTGGACTGCACACGTGCTGCAGTAGCGCTACACACATCAGTGAATTGGTGAACAGATGACAAAGCTATTTAAAGCAATATATTTTGGAGCATCACAACATTCTATGTAAATGTGCTGACCGCTCTCACATGTAAATGTTTGGCATTGTCGAGAAAAGACCAATTTAAAAGTACACCAGCAAAGTAGCATTATTTGCTGAGTAGGTGTTTCCACTAGGATGGATCTAAGAAAAAACGAACCGGCGCATGTTCATGAAGTTGAATACATACCGAGGTTCAAAGGGAACAAGAAGGAGACTGTGATGTATGAAGGTGAAAGATATGCTGGTGATGTCCATAGTAGTGCAGATACATAGTGTTCGGTCCCCAAGTAGTATTTTGGTACTAGCTAAGAATGACCATGACCTGCATCTGACTTGTCCGAGGGTTCAAAGTGTAAGCTTATGTTGCAACAGGTTAGTGGCAGTAGAGTCTTGCATATTGCATTTTTATTTGCTAGCCGTCACTCGCAGCAATACATTACATGAGGGGCAAATAGTATTGCAAAATATACTACAGTAAATTTTATCTCTTGATGAACACCGAGATGTGTTATGCACTCAAATAGATCTGTTAGGCGGAGCCCTAAGAGGGGCGTCGTCCGCTAACGTTCGTGACGTAACCGGAAGGATCCGGTATAGCAAGTGAGACTGGCGACGACGAGTCGGCAGCGATCACAGTACACGCGTGTCACGTGACTTCGTAGACGGATGTCTGTGAAGTCGCTCAAGGTAAGGACTGTCTTGTCCGTATGATGAGGTCGATCGAGGTAGACTTAGTCGCGATGAGCAACTAAGAAAAGATACTAGAGACTGAAGCCAAAGGGGCGTTCAGAGAGGAGTATGTTCCAGGGAAGATTGAGTAGATTCAAGTTAGAGAATCTAGTACAGGGTGACCGACTACTTATACTAAGTGGAGAGGGTTAAGGGCAAGGCTACCGCACAGTAGGTAAGGGTAAAGGGGAAACGAGAATGGTATAGGTGCGTTGGCAACATAGCCGGATTAGTGATGGGTGGTCGAATGTGGAATGAGACCGAGAAACGTTGGAACGATCCAACGGTAAGAATACAACGTGCGGGAATCCGCAGTCAGAGAGAACAGAAAGAGGAAAGCCACATTGGTGGCACGAGTCAGACCGAGTCATAGGTGCGGGACCACATTGGTGGTCGAATCAAGGGAGGAACGTGCGTGCACGTGCATAGAGGCGGGCGATGCGAGGGATGGGAACTGGTCCCGAGGATCCGGTCAACGGAAAGTCGGTAAAGGAGGACGAGCCGGTAGATGGTGAGGGCGAGGATGAAGGGAAAATGATAGGGGGGCCACGTGACTGATGTTACTTGTAACAACATGTTCGCCACGCTAGAATTGAGTTACAGATCGACGCTGGGCAGCCTAATGGAATCCGTGCTGAGTCCTTGCTGCTACTACTAGTAAGGCTAGCGAGGAACAACTTCAGTTGAACAAGCAGTAAGTACCCGTCAATTGTTCCCTTCCTTTTTGGTGATGAATCGAGTCAGTCAGAAAATTGGAAAGAAGCCTCATCATAAGCAACAACCTATATCTCCCGAATTCCTTGCGACGCCTGTAGAAACAGGTCACTCCTGGCTTCAAGTGGGGTGCTTCGAATGCATGAGTCATGATCCTGGTGTGTGTCAATAAAATTTCAATGTGTTTTCAGAGGTGACGGGGGTCGTAGAATGCTGTACACTGTCAGGTGCTCGTACCATATTCAATTCTAGCGAACTGAAATTTTTTGGACGAGTAACAGGTACGCTAGACTCGAGCATAACCATCAGACCATTCGCTTGGCTTAGGTTCTTAACTTCTATTTTTGGTTCCACTGCTTTGGCACACAATTCCTAATAGAGGAACGAGCTCGACTCACATTTGGGCTGTCGCCCGAGACTTCTGTTTTGGAATGTGATTCATTATGTCACTTTAACTGCTTGTTTCTAGACCTGGACCGCTGCGTAGAACTCGCCAGTCTATCGGATGGAGTCGCTGCATTATTGTGATCATCTGAATCAATTTAACATCTGACCATTCTAGTTTAATGGCCCCTATTACTCTCTACGGGGGCAATGGGGCGGCCTCATTCAAAGGGAGTCGTGAGTCAATTTGATTGTGACCTTGAACAGAATCCTACTAAAGAGTATGCAATCATATTTTACGTTCAGGCTACCATTCGAGTCAGGCTGCTCAATTTCTAGCCATGATTCCTCCACTGAGTCACCAGTGGCAACTCGGTCACAGTGTCGATGAACAGTTTGAGAATCCTGAGAGTACTACTAACAGCGGCGGGTCTCCAGAAATGACTCTCGGTGACTTGGACTCTGAGGAAGATTACAGTATCACGGAAAGCACGTACTTTGACACTTCCACAATGCAGGCCCTGGACAATTCAGACTGGCAGCAGTTGCAGTGGTGGACAAGCTTAATGGAGTCACCACTGCCGCAGGAAGCTGATCAGGATGATGACTTCTCGTCCATGGCGCTAGCACATCCCAACTATGCACATTTTTACAGAGAAACCGGGCAATCTCAGCCTACCTCCTACTCTCAGGCTTCCCAGTCAGGTGGATTTGATTGGGATGCTGAAATAGCAGCAACAGAGTCGTATTACAACCAGACTGGTTTTGTCGACACACCTGTGGCAGCAACCAGTGGAGGTCACCTTGCCCACGACTCAGAGATGCCGCAGGCTTCGGGAAGTTCACAGAGAGACGGTCGTGAGATGAACTCCCATCTATCTACCACACGCTTCGATCCTCCACTGCGATCAAATCGATATATGCCTTATTCCATCCCATCTAGGTCTCTTCGACCTCGTGCTAGCCCGATCCATGATCAGGGTGACATGAATGAGGGGTCTTCTTACTCTCTGATGTCCACCACACCCATTCCTACCGCGATAACACTACCGCAGCTTGTCACGGTGATACCTCAGATCCTACTGCCACCTGTGGCACCTCAGGTCCTACCACCGCCTGTCGTACCTCCTGTAGCACCACCAGCACCCACCGACATCATATTTGGTCCCGAAGTTTTGTCGCAGGTGCAGTCGCGGTCCTGGGAACTTATGAAGACACAGGTAGTCCAAGATTCCTTCTTGATGCTATCGAGCACCAGTATAACCTTAGCACGACAAAGTCTCGACCAGACGGTGTCGAGTTATAACCATTGTAAGTGCGACAACTCATTTACTCAATACCGACAGCTGATACAGAGAGCAGCTGACATCACCGAATGGAGCAGGGGTGTCGCAGCGCAAGCACACGTAGTCAAAATGTCCAACACTGTCAAGAATCTACGGGACAGTATCAAGAGCATCGTATGGATCCATGTTATTTCGGCTTATGCGCTACTCAACGCGTTGACCTTGCAAACGCAAACGGAGATAGGGATCATCATCCAAAACCTCCTTCAGCATAACAACTTCCTTTATGGAAATATCAATGTGAGTAATTGGGTCTCATCTTCTTCACAACTGTTCTTACGGCGAATCAGGTGGGAGGACAACTTGTAAGAGTGCCCTTTGGGCACCCCACAGTACGGGACTTCATAAGGCACCTACTGTTTCATGATCCCAATTATCAGCGCTATACCAGTGGTCCCACAAGAAACATATGAGCCCTGCTGGCACTCATGTGTACACTATTTGCACGGGCGTTGAATCAATTCTCTACTGGCATTTTCATGGATGACACCTTTGAATTGAATGCCCCCAGGCAGGCATATCACAGGACGCTAACTGACCTCTATGATTCTATGTTGGAGGAGGAATGCCTTGTGCTGATTGCAGACATTTACACCTGTGGGGGGCACTAGAAGTTGACTTAGGCGAGTCGGATGTGTGACCTCCGAGTCAGTGACTCGGTGTACTTAATGTTAATACTCAAATAACGGCAGCTCTGAGTTGGATGAAAGCGGTTTCAATGTACTTTATATTTTCACCAACTACAATGATGTACATGGTTTCTTTACTACTACTGTTAGCATCATTATCATTACTGGAACGGTTACTAGTAGTACTGGCTTCATTGCAAAATTTCCGACAATCACTGGCTGCCAGTCTCAGGCTGGTCCATGCTAACGGTAGTACTATGTCCTGTGGGAACTATTACTATCATATATTGACATGTGTCATGGGCCAGACTCGTGCGTAACGTGCATGGTGTCTCACTGTGAACATCCGACGCGACGAGTCATCTTGATAGACTCGGATTGTCCAGTCCGAGTCTGACGAGTCAGTTTCATCACCTAGTAAATTCAGTTGCACAGAAACCGACTCGGCTTTCAAGTTGCGGCCGCCACATTCTTCTAAATCGATTCCATCCAGACTCAGACTTGTCCGACAGGGACAACTTGAAAGCTATCATGATTCTGATCATCCGACGAGCAGACTTGACTTTGCAGCCAGGTGGGTGCGGCCATCCATATGCAGCCATCACCGTGTTCAAGCCCAGTGAAAAGTCCTTGAATATGGAATAATCAAAGTAGCAATTTGTAAATCGAGTGTAATGATCGTTGAGAACCATGAAAACGGGAACAATTCACACGCTTAGCTTGCACTTCGCAATGTCAATCTCGTCCTTTGCAAGACATCGCACGAATGCCTCGCAATATTAATGTCCTTGCAAATTTGCATGACAAACTGCAATATGCACGATGCAGAGCTGGGAAATCATGCAAAGTCCATTTGCATCTTTCTCCAGCCCAACTGCCGTGTGTCTCTGAGTCCTCCCAAGCCTTCTTACCACTACTACTACTATGCCTAGAGCCCCCAAAGTACAGGAATCGTCTGCAACTGCTTCTGCTACTGCTATGGTGTTCTCACCAAAGTCAGTAAGAAAACCTATGACAAACACACACCATTTTGAACACCTCCACAACAACCCCAGTTCAGCCAAAGTTTTCGTGGATTATCTCCAAGGTCATCGCCCTCTGTGGAAAAAGACAGTTCCAAAATGCGATGAAAGCATTTGACCTCGCATTCATGTACGTGGACGCAGACTTGAACAAAACTCGCCTTTCACTCTTGATCAAGGTATGTCAATTGTGTCTTGTGTGCTCGCTACTTATGCAACAGCTGTCAGGTCGTCGCCCTTTTCAATGCAAACCAACGTGACGAGGCAATTCTACGCGTCCAAGAGCTAGCTACCACTCGTCCAAGTGTGAATCCTCTTGCATGTGATATCGTGGAAGTGAGTGCTTTTGGTACAATCAACTCCTGATTCATATGTCGATGCTGATTTTACGAACCTAGTGTTACGCTGACCGTCGGTCGGCGTGTGCGAACTAGGATAGGTCTTCTCAGCGACGACTCGAGTGAGTCTACTGAAGCTGAGCGTGGTCTAGCCTTGACGGAACGTCAAGGATTCCTCCGGCGATCTCAGGTAAGATGGCGCTCGTCGAGATGCAGGGCTAGCGGATACGTGCTAAGTCGTATGGGGGCGACTTAGAAGTGCGGTCTCACACAAGGAAGCTGGTAAGCTTAGATGAGCAAGTTCTGGGGATGAACCTAGTAGATTAAAGTGAAGTATAATCTACAACAATGTGTCTACTTATACATAGTATATGTAAGTGTTCAAGCTCAGTCTATAATCTATAGTATATCGGTAATCTAAGATAGCTAGACATGAGGTTAGATAAAGTACATGAGGCTTAACCTCTGATCATACATGCAGCGCCAAGTGCGACTGCGCAATCAACAGGAGGCGCATGGAAGCGCTCCAGGTTTCCTACATGAGGCGCCAAGGGCGCTCCGGATCTTCATGAAGCGTCATGCTGTATACATGCGCTGATCTAGGGAGTCCATGAGGCGTACAGCCTCCATGGGTCAGGTACAAGGCCATCTAGGCCAGGGGCGGGGTCATAGCGCCAGGCGGGGTCGTAGCGGTCCAGACCACTGTCTTTCTAGGTGCAGGTGGCGCACCGCCGCGCGGGGAGTCTAGCAGAGCGGGGGCAGGCGTAGGGAGAGCTGGGGCTCTAGTAGGTGTTACAGATCCCTGTAACACCTAGCATTTCAGGCTTATTCCCACATCCAAGTGGGAATGAATGCATTAGACGACGCACGTCACAATTATCTGCACTTCGTTATTGCTCTTACGTGGAATATGACTCACTGTTGCATTCAAAGTAAGTAATTTTCTATCAAAAAAGTGGCCACAAGTCTCAAACTTGTTCTCGACATGGAGTTCTGTATCCACGTTCTTCTAAAAAAACCCTGAAGTCGGATATAGTTTCAAACCTGTTTTGATTTCTCTGACTTGCTTGATGGCACCGGCAAGAAGTATGTGTCACTCCTCTGGGCTACGGAAGTTCTGTTCATCCTTGCATTTCAGATATGCTCCCCACATAGTCAACACTATTTGGGTTGGCACTGATCAACCCTTTTGACTGTAGGTGCCAAATCCACCAAAATCACGCCTTTTTTCCTAACCCCTGAAATGAAATTGAGGTGGAAGAAGATCATAGGCCATCCAAACCCAGTAAGAGGGCTCCCGGCCAGTGAAACCTAATTTTACCTATGACCAATCAAATTCATTGGCACCGGACGAGCCTGAGTCTACCTGCCAGAGGTTGGTTTCCACTGTGGTGATTGAGAAGCTAGTAGTACGCGTCGTGTTGTCAATGGTGAGAATGTGATTAGAAGGAAGGAAGGATTGGCGATGAGACCTGTGCGCTTGTATCTGCCCCCATAAACGTGCGTCAGAAATGGCTTGTTCGTTGAGGAACTCGACTCGCTTACTACGTCTCGCAGGTGCTCGTAAATTCAAGCGTTGTAGGGTCGTTCTGAGGCGCCAGTACCCTTCTCTCCTATCAGCTCCCTTTTACCAGCAAAATGAGGCGCTCGCCAAGCAATCCACTTTCCCAAGCCATCCTTGGCGTGCTCGCCCACATCTCTTGAGGCTCGTGAAAAGAATTGGCAGTGGACTCGGAAGGGCTGGACTGGAGATGGGGAAAGTGCCAAGAATCGGATATCAAAGGACTTGCATTGAAGTCCAACTAGTGCTATTATGATGGTGGCGCTGATCTTTGGGTGCGTGATTTTTTCAGATATGATGGCATGCACTGGTCACTTAATTCTGAGTCATCTAGTACTAATACTGCTGCAGGCCAATTTCGGAAGTCATGTACGCACTTGGCCATTGGCCCGGGTGTACGCAATCCATACACAAACTATTCTTGAATGTCACAGTACTTACTATTCTCCGCTGAGGACTCGAACGAGTCAGACTTGAGACTACCAGGTCAAGTCTAGCTTACTCTCCTCCATCAAATGATTTTGAATTCAAGTTCCATACCGACAATATCTGTCCCTAGCAGCATAGGACTGAGCACTCATTCAAGTTGGTTTGGCAGGTGGCCCCCGGGGGCCTGTCAAGCCGTGAGAGTGTATTTTGTGTACGTACTACTATGACTGTGACTAGTACGACTCCGAGACTCGAATTTCAGCCTGCTGCAGTGCGGCAGCCTGTCACGACTCTGACTTGTCAAGCCTTGAATGCGCGAAAAGCTTCTATGCGTCGTGCTTCTTTTTCTCTTCATTGATCTAATGTCATTCTGCAACACTGCGGGCTGCTTCTGGCAGAGCAACGGCAGCAACAGTCAAGGCCTAAGTAGGCATCGCGCAACATGCAAATACCACCTTCACTCCAGCGTCTTAGCCAGCCAGATCTCCTGGGAGTCTGGCACGATTGGCGATGACACCACTGGCACTGTCGGGCTCAACCAGTTCAAGTTCTGAGTCGGTAAGCACTCCTTAGAGAGTTATCCACGAGAAATTCTGACAGTTCAATGATTATCGCACCTTGCTAGAAAATACTGCCTGTTTATTGTATGTCAGTCACCCGCTCAAAACCTGTTGTTCCGTGCCCATCGTTATGGTCAAATACTGGCAGACACCAAACACTGGCTAGCAAAGCACCTATTAGTCACGGTACCGGCGCAGAGCAGCAATCCAGTACTGATAATGATAGGTTCTCAAACGCATTCGAGGCTAATTCTGCTTTAGGTGTGTCCTGTTTGAGTCACCCACTGAGATGGTTAACTAATAACTCACTCAATTTTGCTCATCAGAAGAACCTCCACACCTTCAAAGACGAACACCAAGAGATTTTGAGGATGTTCCTCTTCCCGACAAGGACACCGATAGCTCGTATGATGTCGATACTTCGCCTATTCGAAATCCAGCCTTGCCTCAGTCTAGAATCCAGAGAGTCCTATTGATATTACATGACGCACTTCAAACCCCCTTCAATTCTCTTGGAATTTGCCTGACTGTATCCCCGTCGCCCATCGTTTGAGCCGAATAAATTCATATCGTCCTAACTACTTTTGACTACATGTCCAACAGCCACGCAAGAGGCTGATTCAGACACCCTCCCACCTCCATACCCTTTTCAAAACATGACAATTTATTGACTCATGTCTTGGATGAATTCTGGCAGCAATAAGAAATCCGAGCTTGAAGTTGCCCGTCTCATCAAGGAAGTGATGCTAGCGGAGGACTTTGACGCAAAGCATCTGGAGAACTTCTCGGTGAGGGGAAGTTTATGGAAATTGGACAACGTTCACAGCGGAAGCAAGGTTGAGTTTCCAGATGACTGGACCCATACCACTATCACCATCAAAATTCCTACAAAATTGAAGGAGGAGGATGGGCGACTTTTTTCTGTTCCAGGGTTTCATTTTCGCCCCCTCATCGACGTAATTCGGTCCGCTTTCACTGATATCCAGGTGAGTGCGTTTCATCTGTCACCTTTCAAGCGTCTGTGGAAGGATCCATTAGACGGCCATGAAGAGCGAATCTTTGACGAGCTGTATACCTCCAACTCTTGGCTGGATACCCAAGACGAACTGCAAAAGCTCCCAAGAGAGCCCGGATGTGCACTGGAACGGGTGATTGCTGGTCTCATGTTTTTTTCGGATGCTACGCACTTGGCAAATTTCGGAACAGCAAAGGCCTGGCCCCTCTATATGTACTTTGGAAACCTCATGAAGTATGCTCGCTCTGCACCAAAGTCTGGCGCATGTCACATTGTTGGATTTCTACCTTCAGTGAGTTCTCCTACTTTGCTCTTCAGTATCAATATTGAAAATATTGCCCATCAGCTACCTGATAAGATTAAAGATGTTTTTAGCTGTTTGCCGCGCATATCCAAAAGTGGCATGGCTGCGCTTCACACCCACTGCAGATGTGAATTATTTCATGGATGCTGGGACGTCTTGCTAGACGAAGGCTTTCTTCATGCATACCATCATGGTATTGTCCTGAAATGTGCTGATGGTGTGTTGCGCAGGATATTTCCTCGAATATTCACGTACTCGGCCGATTACCCCGAAAAGTGTGTTCTGTCTCTCACTGATGAACTAATTATTTGACGAGTCGCAGGGTTTTAATTGCCACTATTAAGGACATGGGCTCATGCCCGTGTCCTCGTTGTTTCACACCGAAGAGCATGTTTACTTCTCTTGGTCTCCTCAGGGACATGCGGAGCTGGATATCCAATCTTCGAGTCTACGTCACGACTAACATTGTTAGGGCACGAGAATTTATTCATTGGGGGGAAAATACTGTGGATGGTAAGAAGGTTGAAGAAATGCTTGGCGGGGGCTCTTGGGCACCTATCCTAGTAAGTGTGAAGTCTGTCTTTCGTGCCGGCTCACACGAGTTACTTACAGAATAAATTTGTCGAGAGGCTGGGGGCACTGGGCCTTAACCCATTTCAGATACTCATCATGGACTTGATGCACGAGTGCGAGTTGGGTACTTGGAAGGCGCTATTCACTCACCTCATTAGGATTCTGTATGCACTTCCGAATGGAAATCAGCTGGTCACAATCGTAGACTCAAGGTAAGTGGAGTTTGCAGATTGCCTCTCAGTATCTCTTAACAAGCAGCAAACTCTATCCCATCATAGATTTCAGCAAATCCCAACTTTCGGCAATGGGGTAATCAGAATGTTTGCTAATAACACATCCGAGATGAAGAGACTCGCGGCACAAGATTTTGAAGACATATTGCAGGTGCCTACTGCTTTACTCGACTACTTATACCTAGTTCGCTGATGGCCTCTCCTCAGTGTGCAATACCTGTGTTCGAAGGGCTGTTTCCCGCTAGCCATGACATGGTGGTGCAGTCTCTGTTGTTTAGATTCGCTCAGTGGCATGCACTTGCCAAGTTAAGAATTCATTCAGAATCAACACACTCTTTTTTCAAGGACACATTTAAGAAGCTCTCAAAGCAATTGTGAAAGTTTTGTGACTTTACCTGCACCGTATCCGACACTGTGGAATTGCCGAAAGAGAAGGCAGCTTGTCAATGAAGGGTCGCCCAGCATGCTGGACCTAATAGTATCTTTTCGGATTCTGGGAGACCAAGAGTGAAAATATTCAATTTGAGCACCTACAAATTCCACGCAATGGGAGATTACCTGCGAACAATTAAGCTCTTTGGTACTACTGATTCATTCACCACTCAGATCGTAAGCATCATTTCCTATCCTCAAGGATGCTTCGAAACTTACTTTATTGGCTAGGGAGAGCTGGCCCATAGGGCCCTTAAAGCATTTTATCCACTAACTAGCAAAGTAGATACTCCAGCACAGCTAGCAAAGCACAAGCACAGACATCGGGTACTATGGCAAGCTGCGGAAGCAGCAGGTACCTCTTCCTCAAACCAACAATCACCAGCTGATTCTCACACTTCATCATTGTCCAAAGACCATCATTTCATCGCGATCAATGGCAACAATCCGGTGTCTTTGTTCATATTCCTCCGGGAGCACAATGGCAACCCAGCTACCAAGGTAAAACTAGCATTTCTTTTCAGCTGGTCATTGGTCTGCTGATGATGGTTTTCAGGACTTTATCCTGAAACTCAAGGATCACCTTTTGTATAGGCTAAAGAAATTAGATGTCACTCATTGTGACCGCACGTTCACAGATGAGGAATGAAACTCGCTCATTATTCCTAACAACACAATCTACTCGGTCCAGACAATGCAAATATACTACACTACCTATGATATGAGGCGCGAATATGATACTATCAACCCCAGGACACATGCAGATGTCATGGTACTTTCAGGAGAAACCTCACCAAGCCACCCATACTGGTATGCTCGTGTGCTAGGTATATATCACATCGACGCGTGGCTCGAAGGGGTTGGTCGAACCGAGAAACAACACATCGATGTTCTGTACGTTAGGTGGCTTGCACCATTTGCATCTTCAGACTACGAGTTGGGCATACAGCACGCTCGCCTTCCCAAATTGGCCTTTGTGGAGGAATCGGACCACAATGCATTTGGATTTCTTAATTCAGGCCAAGTGATTCGCAGAGCTCATCTGATTCCTGCCTTCGTGTCAGGGCGCGGTGTAAGTTCACTTCGCTACGGAAAATTATTGGCACGTCCCAAAGAGGAATTAACTGACTGGGAAGCATATTATGTTGGGATGTGAGTGTAATGTGTCTTCTTCCTGCTTAATGTCTCTTACCTGTTCGAGCTAGTTTTGTCGATCGGGATATGTTCCTGCATTATACATCCCTAGGTGTAGGACACCCAGTGGCTTTGCAGAAGATTGTCAGAGACTGTTTTGGTCTCGAGCCAGCTGCACTGGCAGTAGAAGCTATGGACGTCGATGAAGATGGAAGTGATAATGAGGGTCATGATGAGTGATGGATGGATGATGGCCTTGGCGGAGAGGAATCAGATGCCCTTGAAGGTATTGGCATTGAGAAAGAGGGAGACAAAGGAGAGGGAGACAAAGTAGAGGAGGACAAAGGAGAGGAGGACAAAGGAGAGGAAGACAGGGAGGAGTTTGATGACTCGGATGAGCCTGATGACCTCTCATTTTGAGATAGGAAATATTTTTCCGACATGTCACGTCATTCTCATATAATACGTTCTTTGCTGGCGCACCAATCTTACTCTCCAATTGATTCTCTGTTGCAACTTACCGTACTCAGTGAATTTGTGGCCATCTACGCTAACATAAGCTCAGGTAACTCTAGGTACCTCAATGGCTCAACTACCAATGAAACAAAAACATTCTGTGAATGCAAACCAACGTCTGAAATTAAAGCAAAGCTTGCAAACTTGTTGGTAATAGGTACACATAAGTGTCCAAAGACTTATATGCCACCCTATCATCAGAAGGAACGGCATTGAGTCAGAGATCTTATATGTCGTGAAAACGGGTAGTATAGTCACATGCCTGAGCGACTACCTGCCCAAGTGTGGGAAGAAATGAACATGGCACACTGGATTTGCACTGGATGCATCGATGAGCGACAAACTTCAATAGTCGGAAGTGTCGTCCTCATTGCGCACGACATGGCTGTATTGGCCATCATCTCCTGGATTTGAATTCAGGTAAGACTTCCTAAGCTGTGATTTTGCACGCCTCACAGAGTAAGACAGATTCTTTATCACAGGGCAAATGCACGGAGGCACACAAATTTGCCTTGCCCACGACTCAGAGAGCCGGCCGTGAGATGAACTCCCGTCTATCTATCACATCGATACACGCCTTATCCCATCCCAGCTAGGTTTTTTCAATCCCGTGCTAGCCCGATCCCCACTGATCAGGGTGACTGTTGGGGGAGGGTCTGAAGCCCACTATGCCCTTTCCTACCACGATAGCAACTTGTCAGTAATACCTCGGACCCTACAACTGCCTGCCGTACCTCCTGTAGCAGCACCACCAGCGTCTCAGGATCAAGTTCATGAATGATTGGAGTCCCCCCAATTGGTTGAATATACAATGTCATTCGTGTCACTAAACATGCCTTCTTGTCTCCTCAAACACTAAGGATCCTGTGGTCAGGATCAAGTTCATGAATGATTGGAGTCTCCCCAATTGGTTAAATATACAATGCCAGTTGATCAACCTTTGGAATATTATTCACATTTGCCAATGCTGACCAGAATGCACTGACTTACTCCATAAAGGTCATTTGATGATTACGTGCCATGACATTAGTTCCCAAAGGCTTTGCCAGAAGAAGATTTCTCTTGAAGTGTTTTGAGTCCGGCACCAAGTTGTGAGTCTTCAGCTGCATGCTGACATTTGATACCATTCTTATCTGTTCACCGATTTACTGATGTGCATCTTGGTGTTTGGTCTTGAAGTTGTGTCGCAGATCAGTTGCTGGCCCGGGAACTTATAAAGATAGAGATAGTCTAACCGTCCTTCCTAATGTCATCGACTGCCAGTGCAACCTTGGCACGACAAAGTCTCGACCAGACGTGTCGAATTATAACAATGGTAAATGCGACAGCATCTACTCAATCCTGACAGCTGATAACGAGAGCAGCTGACATCACCGAATAGAGCAAGGGTGTCAAAGTGCAAGCATGCATGAGGTTTCGGTTAAGGACTGAAGGTAAAGCTTTTCAATACACCCGGTCAGTGCAGATCATGCTCTTTGCGGCATTGAAGATGTAGGTGTGGTCTCCATCACACCTGTTGTTCCCACGTACCTGATCTAATTAGATGTGACAGCTGGGTGTGATGGCGTATCTAAGTTGATATGTTTCTGCCTCTTCCCGCCCAAATGAATAATTAGTCGATAAAGGAGGGTCTTTAGAACTGTAGAAGGTGCTGGGTAGGGTAGGTACGTATGAGGGCCTCGGCTATATCCCTCTCCGAGTGCCTGGGTGCCATATTTGGAACTACGGCTATTATTATCACCGGCGGCTGTCCTAAATAGGCCATGTCATCACACAAACCTTTGTGCTCGCTGTGCACGACAGCGAGCTCATGTATCTCACCAAGGAGAGCACGGATGTGGGGGAGACTTTGATAGACATGTAGCTAGAGGTATATACATGTAATTGCAAAGGGAATAACAGGGTTTTTGAGCTCAAAACATTGCAAAAGCTAACTACCTCAAGTTAAACTTTGTCCTCGCTGCTCTCCTCCTCCTCAGATGAGTCAATGAACTCGGCGCTCTTTGGAGCCTGTGCTGATGACCCTGGTGCTCGCGCCCGCTTTCTAGGAGGGGCATTCTCCTTCCCCTTTCATTTGTGAGGCACCCCAGCGTCGGCACACTTCTTGTGTGGTTTGCCAACCTTTTCTCCCCTCTTATGGCATGCATCCAGTAGAGCATGGAACTCGTCACGCTGATGGGGAGTCATGCGGAACCAGTGGCAGGAGCCATCCTTCAGCGCACCTCGAAGCTTGAGGAGAGCAGGGAGATCATTCACACTGGTGGGCGATTGAAAAACAACGCCTTCGGGCCAGCCCTTTATATCGATCGACAGCTTCTCCTTTATCGCGGTATCGAAATTTGTGTAGTTGATACGGATGTCGCGTCTCTTGGCTAAAGTCCCTAAACAGAAGAAGTCAATATTGGTTTCAGTAGGATAAGAAAAAGTGTACTAAGTCCTGAGTTGAGCAGGCGAGTACAGACGCGCTGCATGTTCTGCACTGTTTCACATTCGTCAATGTCTAATGTGATGTGAAAATCAGCCTACATACAAAGAAAGAATATACCATAAGAAATATAATGTACTTCGACCTATCATGCATGCCCATTGCTCCAGCTTCCATATGATCTCATTGGCCTCCACTTGCAGCACGTCCTCCCAGAAATCCATAATGTTGTTGGTCCCAAACCATGTGGCTTGTGTGGTGTCGTAAACATGACCACGAGAGGTGAATAGGCAAGCATATATCCCGGTTCTTACAGCGAGACCGTCAAGCTATATCTATGCAGTCAGTGGTAGAATCATTCGGAGTGAATACACCTTACCATTTTGAAGATGGTGTCTAGAGTTGACTGAACATCACGCATAGCCACCATATTTGTGGCACGCACGCTCATGTTGCGCAAGGCTCGGTGCTCACTGAGCTTGTCAACGAGCTCCTTCTTTTCCTCTTCTGTCAGATTTTGCATGTTCCTATTGTCCTTCACCATCTGACGGATCTCTCCAGGAGTATATTTGGCGCCCCACGGTAGATCTGGTGTGCTTGTGAGGCGCCAGTCCAATGTTCAAATAGATGTAAAACATTACCTTTATTTACTTCCTCAGCTTTGGCGTGCATAAGAGCATTCTCCAGTTGTGCACTTCGACTCGCTGTATAGTGCTTAGTGCCTCCCATCAGCTTCTTCACCTTCTCCACAGAGACGCCATGCTCCAGAGCAATCTCATTCATCCTCTGTGCCTGCTCCGCCAGAAGCTGCCGAATCGAACTGTGCAGTGCTTCCTCGGATTCTTTGCGTTGCTGGGAGGAGATTTTGTGAGATGCTCATTGAGCGTTCACACGTGCTTTCTGTGCAGGATTAAGTGGGACGCGTGGTTCAATGATGGGCCTGTTGGGATTTCTTGCTGCCCAAGATGAATTGTTGGCATCGGATGCGAGGCCCGTTGCTGCACCGACTAGAGCATCCTGTGTGTTAGTGTTACCTTGAACATGTTCAGTGTGCCATTGTGCAAGACTTTCCGGAGGTTGACTGATAGCGTGGTGTTGTGCAGGACCGTTGGCAGGTTGACTGTCTTGGGTCATGTGACCCGCGACCTGTAGATTCTCCAGTTGGCTGATATCGTTTTCAGTGTGGCATTGTCCAGGATTATCAGTGGCTTCTAAGAAATTATTGAGGGGAGGTAGTTGAGCGTACAGAGTTGGATCATCCCAGTTGATGTTGAGTGGAGGGAACGTGAAAGAGAAAGGAGCAGAAGTTTGGGACAATCCATCCCAAGTCTGGTATTGAGAGTGTCCTGTTCCGAAGTCTCCTGCCATTGTCAACTCTCGAGCACAGACAACAAGAAAAAAAAGTGTCCATCTTACCTGACTGACGCTGAGAGTATAGTGATCTGAAGTCTCCCAACATTGTCAACTCTAGAGTGCAAAAAATGAGAAAATGAAAGAAAAAACACGTCCATCTTACCTGACTGATGCTGAGCACCATTCTGCATTGAATCTTCTGAAGTTCCGCAACCAGAAAAGTCGAAATCATACATTGTGAAGAGATTGAATTGAGCACCTGCCAGTAGATGGAAGTAAACAAGGATGCGACGTGGTTTTCAAAACATGTCAATTTTCAGAAATTCATTAAATAATTGAACTACCTACAAGCCAGAATAACGGTAAACAAAGGTGCGATGTCCCTTTCAAAAACACGTCAATCTTTCAGAAATTCGTAAAATAAATAATTTACCTGCAGTCTATCATGATCGTCACGTGCACAAATGAGGAGAGGAGTCAGAGGACGTTCTCTCTGGTATGCCGAGGCAATGTACAAAGGTCTTCGAATTGAGCATCATTTTGGTGGAGGCATACAAGGCACTTGCATAGCAAGTACCCCGTTGTGGGCTATAATGTTTGTTGAAAGAAAAAGTGAGCATAACATTAGATGGGCGCCAGTGGCACATGTGACATACTGATGTCTGAGTATGGACTCGTGTGATTAACAGGGTGGAAGCACAATGTAAATTTATATTGGTAAGTCAGCAGGTAAGCAAAAAAAGAGGTGTTTACAAGCATACTGGTGAAGTTCATAGCGCTGCGGCCACGGCCAGTGGCTGAGAAACACGCCACGTTGAACTAATGTAGAAGTGCTGTTCCTCGACTCCTTAGACATATTGAGTGAGCACTAGGTATGAATACTCATGAGATGGCGGAAGAGAAGAGAACCTCAAGTTGGTGGAAACTTGACTTTCAACATGTGCTGACAGCAAGGCGTGTTCAGTTGATACTATTTTTAACACTATACTTGTGCCTTCGATTACAAATACTATGCTTCTGCCTTCATTTACGGTAGCAATCAATTATGTGACATCACATGTCGCATCCCACCATGTTCAATGTTCAACATCGCGTGTCACTGGTTAACCCTCCCAAGTTTCATCCCTCCCAAACCTCAGTCTACTCAGCCTACAACAATACTCAGACCCGTTTACAGCCACAAGCAGGCTTTGGGGTTTTGCACCTGGTTTGTTACCCATCCTTCATTCCTCCATACTAACCTTCCTCTCATCCTACTCCAGTGACTCAAGGCTGACTTTCTCCATATTTGCTTTCATGCTCACATCCAAGGTCATCTGTGACGACACTTACTCCACTCACCATCCGCTTTCACACTCACATCCAAGGTCATCTGTGATGACCCTTACTCCAGCAAGGTGAGCCTTGCCCAACTACATTCTTCCCTCTGCATTCTTCGCTCACCGTCTTTTCGTATCCACTTTCATGCTCGCATCCAAGGTCATCTGTGACGACACTTACTCCAGCAAGGTGAGCCTTGCCCAACTACATTCTTCCCTCCACATTATTTGCTCACCATCTTTTCATATCCACTTTCATACTCGCATCCAAGGTCATCTGTGACGACACTTACTCCACTCACCATCCGCTTTCATACTCGCATCCAAGGTCATCTGTGACGACACTTACTCCACTCACTGTCTTGTCGTACCCGAGGTCATCTCCAACGACATAGGGCATGTTCGAATCAAGGGAACTGCAAGGCTGTTACCATTCCATTTATACTTTTTGGAGACACTCTGATTTTCTTGTGATTTCGCTGTTTCGTGATAGTCATACCATTTCATGTGCCATGTATTATTGTTGCAATTTTATTGTGATTCGAGAACACATGAATGACGCTGGTTATCACTCACGACAAACCTGAAGGACAGCAAAGATACAATGCATGAATTTGCTAAATAGCGTCTAGGTAAATTGAAATTCTTGGGTGCAAAGTACTTTCACGGCACAGCCTGTGGCACACATGTTAATCATCAGTATTTTGTCTTGGTTTTGAGTTTCTTCGTCTTTTTTTATTGTGCCACTTAGAGTGATAATAAAGCATGCATCCTTGACAATTCAGTGCAGATCCGAAGCCGCGAATGTGTGTTGTAGTTTCAAATGAGCGTGAACATGAGTTTACATTGAGTTTACATATGGCAATTGTCAGTTGTGCATGAATGACGTCGTGACAATCCACAGTCCAATGTTCAATCTAGTATATGATCCTAACACTTGTAACGAGTATTACACATGCGTCATCCACAAACAAACTCTGATACATTACATTAGTACTCTTACATAGATTATAATCATTCCTCTTGAGGTCTGAGTGCAGCTATTGTATTCACAATAACAATAATGTCATCATGTTCGTTGGCTCCGTCACTGCTTTATCAAACGGTGCCGAATCGAACTGCACAAACACTGCGAACTTTGATATGGTCTCTGCATTAAACATATCATATCATCATCAGTGTCTGGTACCATCATGCGCAATATTTAACATGATTGCAAAATGTCGATCTTAGATTTGAAGCTTTAATTCACTGGGAGTGCACGAGTCATTGACATTCTTCATGTTACATCAATAATCAATACATTGTATTCTACGTGCCCTCTCCCTCACTCAAATTCACGACATTCATATACTCTGAGAGATCCTCAAGCTGCACCCACAGTTCCTCGCTTGACTGGCTTAACTGAGCTGGGCTTGCAAGGTCAGATTGTGAAGTACCGGTGACGTCGAATACCGTCGATTCGGTTGGACTCGAGGGAGCTGATGCATCTGGGGTCTCTATCACAGTATTCAGGATGGGGAGATCGGACTGCCGGTATATGTAAGAGAGTAATCCCCACAACAGATGTATAATGGTACTCACAGGGCCAGAGATGGTATGAGTAATGGCGGAGTCCACAATTCAAGTTCTCTCCTTCACGGTCTCAGTTTCAGTAGCATCGATGGTCGTTTTTGTAGAGGTGATGATTCGGGAAGTATGAATCTTCACAGTATGTGTGGTCCAAGTTCGAGTCACCATCTTGATGTATCTGCGATCATGCCCATTATCTGATGCTGTATGGATAGATTAGGGTTGTCAGAGTGAACAAGGTAAGGGTAATATGCACCTTGTCTGGTTGAGGTGTTAGTGGAGCTCATCACACGATAAATTGAGATAGATCGAGCGAGCACTGAGTGATGTCTTAGATGCAGCGCTGCAGTGGAGAACATGAAAGAGTCATGTGCATATGTCTATTGTCCCAGAACTTCCGAAAAACCTATGGCACAAGGAAATATCAACAAACGTCCGAAAAATCGAACAGGACTCACTTCACAGAGGATTCAACATGTCATATCTCACTGAGATCCGAACCATGGGCTATGTCCAATGCAGGAGGTACTGGGTCCGAGAAAAATAGCTGCACATGCAGCAGAAGTAAGCATCTGCAAAAAATCTTGCATTCAAGGTACATTTCATCAGTAGCATTGATTCCAGAACTCATGAAACTTACTTTGGAAGCGATGACGCTGGAGGAAAAACGTGCCCTCGAGGCGCTGCAAGAGCATAATGATGATGACATCATGTTCGATGGGTTCAATGGTGACGACGATTTCGGAAGTAGTGTGTTGGACGGATCAGAGTCAGTTAACATTAGCCATGCGGGTGGGGAGCTGCATGAACTCACCAGGCAATTAATCAGTGACTTCTGGAAAGGGTGAGGGTTTATTATATAAATTAGGCATACCACTGCTAACAAGACTCGGCAGAAATTCGCAGACCCATGGTCATCGAGCTGACTATAGGACCAGGCGTGACAGGACCAGGCGTCGCACAGAAGCCTTTGACCAGCAAATGTCAGCACTAACGCGCGCCTACCTGGACTGGAATCTTGCTAATGGTGTTTCAGATGGTTGGGGGTTCTTCTTACAGTATCGAGACACATTCGGCACATTCGGAACACCGGTCGACGTAAATGCAGGATCGATTGTCATCAAGGTTGTGGATGTGTTTTGTAAGGTTCTCAGGCTATTAATGGTGTAGTTGTGTTGATGCCGTCACGTTATGCCGCATTAGACGCTGAAAGGCTACCTTTAACTATTCTATCGACTGACTCTTTCATAGCTTCAGCACTCATTTGGCAAGGTGTTGTCCCGTGTTCTCCAATCAGCCCATCAACTGGAGTTATGATGCATGCCCTCAATTTTTATCATATTGCACGCCAGCGCAACCCACACTTCTCTATTCAGGCATATGTGAAAATGCTATGTGACCTACAAGGTGTAAGTACCTCAAGTCCCGCTTCCTCATGGTACATTGATGCAAGTCTGCCTTACTAGGTTCAATTTCACCCATATCTTTCATGCCAATTCTCAATCGCGCTTGACGTGTACTTACAGATTCTCTCTAATGTCAAATCACTGATCCACGAAGCCATCGGACGCAGTAATTCTAACTGGCATCTGATGCACTGCGTGCCCAGCATGTACTTACATGCTCAAAGATGAAGACACTTTACAATTCCGACTACTCTATACGATGGACGGCAACGACTCGCTCAAGCGAGTACTTAAAAAGGTCGTGCAGGATAACACCGAGTATCTCGATGACGACAACAACATTCCTCTACCAAAGTCTGCCGAGCTACCTTCTACACAATCTGTGGGTGGTGACCGGTACTTAATGAGGGACTACATAAATACCTTTGCTGGTGATTCTTCAGTCGACATGCTCTCAGTTGACGACAAGGTAAGGTGCCTCACTTTTTGTCTACAGCCTACTAACTCATCCTTAGGACAATCCATGCACTGGCCGTTGGAACAACATGAAGGACGAAAAAACGAGAAGAATGTGGGGTGTATTTGACAAGTCTGGAATTTTCATGGCCATCTGTCGCCATGGATTCTCTCTTGTTATCGTGGACATGGTTCAAAGCGGCGAACAGTGAGTCATTCATGTTTAGATTTCTCTATTTTCTAATGCTGTTTTAAGATCCAAGTATCCTTTGGCAGTTGTATCAAAACTCCTCGAGGTTTTCGGCAAGGACCTAGGTGGTGGCTATGATATCGGCTGTAGGTTCAAGACTACTCTCAGTCGAAGTGTGCTGGGTCAGTCAGTGCGGGAGCTCAACCATACGTCACTTGTTGGTGCCTTTCACAGTGTAAAGAGTAGATTCTATGTGGGCGCTACAAAAGTGTTACCTTAAGACTCAGAGTGCGAGTAAGATGTTCGTCCCAAAGAGACTGCCTATAGAAATGCTCCTTGATATAAAGCAAGGGATATCTTGTTAAGATCGAGGATGAGAGAAAGGAATGTTACCAAGAGCACTGCTCAATGTTCCGAGGATGCGTCCGAAGAGGTCTGAAAGTGGTCCGAAGATGGTCCTGACGTCAAGAAATGAAGGTCCGAGGTTGCGCGAAGCATCCGAAGAGCTTCCGATGAACAGCAAAAGTTCTGAGAGAAGTACAACGGTGTGTCGAAGTATAAGACTTGCGAAGTATAACTAAACAAAGCCTATCGAAAGTACTTTGAGACAGCGAGATGCGAAATGGCAGCGGTCAGGCCAAACAATCGTTCCGAATGAACAAAAGGTCGATTGTGCGAAGTACGACTATCCGAAAGTGACTCTACTAACTATGACTCGTAGCAGGGAAAGTGAAGTGAAGTCTGGTGCCAGTAGCTAGCGAGGCAGATTATATCTACAGCGTGAAAGTTCGGAAACTGCGTAGGCGAAACCAGTAGCGAGATAAGACATCCGAAATGTAATAAGACTCAAGGTGAGCTGCTACAGAGATATGCATGTAATAAGACGCAAGGCGTGTATAACCGACGGGCCGACGACATATGTGCCCCTAGACATAATCAATAACAGATAACCAAGTGAAGAACGCACCAGCAAAGTCAAATGGACACGGACGGGACATGGTACGGAGGATCGGAACTGTATACAAGCCTCGGAAATGGACGGACGACCTTTGGATGACTCGGACAAACACACGGAACTCTCAGAAGGTAAAATGGAGTGCCGAGGAATGTGTATGTGGAATACCTATGAGTTTGGCAGGATACGAGCCCAACGCCGATCCGAGTGCTACAACGGACATGCCCACAAACGCTTGTGTCAACTCGATCATCTAACTACATATGTCAAAGGTCTAGGACTTGAAGATCTCGAGGGCTGCGAACAAACATTCTCAAAATCAAACGCACTCACATCTTTGGTTTGTTATTCGAGTATTTTTCACTGACGCCAAGCTATTACAAATTATTTTCAGCATACTGATGACTTCGAAGTATACGCCAATCTTTGTACGTAGCAATTCATACTTATTATGAGCGTGAACTGACATGTTTGTAGCTACGTTCCTATATAACAATTATAAACAGGCCCTTGGTATTCTATGCAATGGACAGTCAACGCTGCCACAACTCATGTGTGAGCTTGGCATCACCAATAATAGTGTCTTCGAAAACTGGCTGGTCAAGGAACGTGCTTATCTAATGTCATTGCACCAGGAACCAAAGCACGAAACATTGCAAATGGAATACTGGCAGAAGCTTGTCAACATGACTGCAAGCAAGTAAGTAGTAGTTTTGTTCTCAAAACCAAAACACTCAAAAAACAAATAGGAAAGACCTGGATGTTGCCAGTGCGCCATGGAGCATATCCACACCATCCAGTGTATCATTTGGATCACGTGATATCACTATGACTATCTGAATCGAAACTGCATGTCGGCATGCCATCGAGAACTATGAAAAAGATCTCAAAGTCATCCAAGAGCTTGAAGTGAAGCTTGGGGTGACTCGTCGATGGACGTCAGATGATCTTGAATGGAAGGATGCAGGTCGCCTTGTAGCAAATCGGAAGTTTCAGCGGGCCCTGGACTCTTTGGAAGGTTTAGTAGTTGCTCGTATCTTTGAGCTATCGAAGATGAACCGTGCGGGGACAGGTAAGTCACAAACATTGGCATTGGTGTGAGCTTAGCGTTTACCATTAATCTAGGCTACAAACTACGAAAACACATTGGGAGAGCTTTGCAGGCTCGCTCTGCAGCTATTCAGACGGCCCTTGACCGCTATAACACTGCAGCATGTGCCCTTTCACCACCTCGTCCATCTCTTTCCTGGGACGAGGTCGTTGAATATGCATTCCTCTCCGACTTTGATCTCCTTTGAGATGCCCATCAAGATGTGTCTCAACATGCCTGGGCCACCCCCACCGGTCGTTTGGCCATGGATACGTACTTCAAGATGCAATGCGCACGAGAAGAGCTTCAGCGACTCGATATAGAGATCAAGAGAATGGTCATGTACCTTCGAGATGAGGACCTATACCTGCGCGAGTGTGAAAAACAACTCCAAACCATCCATCCTGCACTTGCATATCAAGTTGGCGTCCATCATAACAATTTCGCTCACTTCACTGAACATCATTTTCGCCGTCTAGTCAGCATAAGCAAGTTACATGGCTTTACAGGATCACTGTCACCTGGGGTCAGCAGCGGAGAATCACCTGGGGCAAGTGGCAGTGCACCTGCTGTGTGTATCCCTGCTCGTCTGCTGGTCCCAGTGGTTCCTGTCATTACAGAAAACGTGGAAGATGGTATAGCGGATCTGGATGACGAGGAGGGTGCGGAAGTTGATGGGGAAGAGCAGTCGCACATTCTTGAGGACATTCTCCAGGTTACCTTTGATGTTTAATTACTTTTCAACACTGACAATATGCTCAAAACTTACCGTATACACTTGCTGCTGCATATACAAAAAGGTCCGCCATTGTGAAGTGTGTCCGCTGTCGAGATACATGAGCTCGTTGTCGTGCACAGCGAGCACGAAGGTTTGTGATGATGTGGCCTATTTAGGACAGCCGCCAGTGATAATAATAGCTGTAGTTCCAAATATGGCACCCAGGCACTCGGAGAGGGATATAGCCAAGGCCCTCATACGTACCTACCCTACCCAGCACCTTCTACAGTTCTAAAGACCCTCCTTTATTGACTAATTATTCATTTGGGCGGGAAGAGGCAGAAACATATCGACTTAGATATGCCATCACACCCAGCTGTCACATCTAATTAGATCAGGTACGTGGGAACAACAGGTGCTCCATCAGTTTTTTTTCGGGATCTAAATCTGTTTTAGGCTGTTCCTCGCGTGTTCTATCTGAGAGCGGATTATAACCGAGGGAAGCACAGGGTAGTCGGAACGTCTCCGCAATCGACAGCTTTAATCATAAGTCTTATGTTTTTACCATCATGGACGAGCACGAGAACTTCAAGGGTATTGCCGGCTTTTGCCACAATCAAATGAAGTGACTGTGACACTTATATATCACACAACCTGCTAGTTCACCATCACATAGTCAATCACACAAGCACACGCGATGAATATCAAGATGAACTCAGAAAATAACACTATGGACATTGATCAAGTCGAAAATGGTTCATTCTGATATTCGTGACTGCAGGGAGTTCAAATTGATGTACTTGAAGACAACTATCCGATGGACATCGACAAAGCATGGGAAGACAATGTTTCGATTGACAACGATGAAGCCCAGGCAGGCGATCACTCATCTGGTTAGTTTTAATTCACTCTAATTTTTATCATTGCAGGAAGATACAATTTACGAGGAAAGTTATTCTATGGATGTCGATGACAATGGAGGTGAACAAAAGATTGTACGTTCTTATATCTTTTTGTCCTTTTCATTTGTTCTAATTTTCTCCGCCCCAGAAAGATGTAGACATTGGCGACGTGAACAAGGGGGACTTCATGGAGGTTGATGATGCCCTCATCGTTATCTCGTAGAGAAAGACCGGGCGGTTGTAGTACTACATAATAAGAGAAGCGGTGAGTTATATCCAAATCATGCGCTACTAATGTTTCGAAATTCAACCGCAACGTCACGTACTTATCCCTCGGACAACGAGAACTATGCTTTCCAAGCAGTGTGATGCTTCAGCCTGTCCTAGTTATGTCCGAATCCTATTGTCTATTTGATAGCGCGGTAGCTGGTGTTCCCGAGCTTTGCGATGCTCTCAAAGTCCGGTGAGCTTGAGCGGTTCCTTCGAAGCAATTTTTAGCTAATCCTTATCCAGGCATTTACATCAATCTCAACTTGTGCTTCCTTGCTAACAAGAACTCCACCGTTCAGACATGGGTAAGCAGGCGTTACTTGTGAGGAGTCCACAGGGACGAAAAAGAAGGAACGTCGACGTCAGAAGTCTTCCTGCGCCAAAATGAATTTAGATCATCCACGAAACTGGATGTGCTGGTACAAAACCTTAGTAGGTGTTCTGTTGCATAGTCCATCCCACTCTGAGCTGAGTTGGTTCCAGGACGACTTCGAGATCAAGACCCATACTTCCGTGCTGTCGTCTTCTCGCAGTTTACGTCCTTCCTTTCGCTTATCTCTGTGGCACTGGACCGTGAACGCCTGTTGTGGTACTGTTTTGATGGCTCAAGAAGCGCAATGCTGCCATAGCAGAATTCAAGCAGAACGAGCAGAAGCCTAAGGTTCTCATTGTCAGCTTGAAAGCAGGTGGCGTCGGTCTGAACATAAGCGCAAGTCACCTGCCTCTTGAATCTCCTGAACATTACTTCAAACAATAGCTGACGAGCGCCAACCACATTTTCATGGTTAGTCCCCGGAACTCGTCGCTCTGTGCCAATGATGAATATTACTCAGATGGACTGCTGGTAGAATGCGGCGACTGAAAATCAAGGTTGGTGTCCGGATATTCCATGATTATCTCCAATGAACACGTCATGATCACCTTCAATTGGCAAACAACTAATTGCGAGTCTCGCAGCATTGCAAGCAATTGATTACTCCATCGTTCGATAAAAAAATATACACAGGGCACAGCCCAAAATAACAATACATGAGAGGAAACTGTCAAAGTGAAGTCCTGCATCATAATGTCAAAGTCACAAGATTAACCTGGAATCTCCTGATAACATATAAAGTATTGAGTGAAGTACCGGTTGTCCCCTGCTGGTTTTCACGGCACCATGGGACAGGTTTGTTATGAAATCGCAGGGAATTAGACACATGCCAGCTGGTGCCAAAGGGTACTTCCCTTGGATGACATCACATGCGCTTTCAATTCTAAACACGAAAATTGAATAGTGAGAAACATCAGAAAGCATTGAATGAAATACCGGTTGTCCCCTGCTGGTTTTCACGGTGCCATGGGACGGATTTGTTATGAAATCGCAGGGAATTAGCCACATGCCGGCTGGTGCCAAAGGTACTTACCACCAGAATGTATTAGATAAGGTTGTGATTTAAAACATAAATGAAGCAAAATGACAATGTTCAAAATAATTGGTACAAGTACGCAATTAACCTGCATCGGAGCTGGAAATGAATTTAATATTAATTATATTTTTTTTATTTATATTTTTTTATTATATATTTTTATATTATAAAAATGCTGTGGTGGAGGAACATCACAACTTTGTCATGGAGTGCTCATGTTACTCTGGATTCGTTGTGATCGATGGCAATGTAGGTACGACTCAAATCTTTTACGGTATAAATGATGATATTTAGTAGGGGCAGAATTCTAGCCTTCTGTAGTTCCCACGGCCACCATATCAAGGAGTCATCAATTCACTGACATCAGGAAATCTCGAGTTTAACTTTTAATCACTTATATCCAACTTTTCACACCAAATAGTAGGGAAGTGGAAAAAAGTAAAAGTTACTTTTTTAAGTAGATCGCTCTACTTAAACGTCACTTATTCTCCACTTATTTCTGAGAGCTGCTTAAAAAAGTAGACTAAAAGTTGTATCACCGTGCTCATAAAAAGTATGAAAAAGATGAAAAAGGAAGTGAGTCGAGTTAGTAGCTTGTGACGGAGAGGATTTACGCGGATGGTGCATTAGTATGATATAGTAGTATGCCATAGACGCGGCTTGGAGTGTGAAAATGTGCGAGAATATGCAAAGAAAAAAATGCTGGAGACATTCTGTCAAAGTAGTAGTACTACATCAGTCACTGGAGCACGGAACAAGGAAAAAACACTCACAGAGCATTGCCCGCTCCCCCTTGGCTGCGACACCTTCCTCAACATTCGAGCCTTTGATGCTACTACCATCTGAGCTTGAATCTTTCACAAATGGGTGTGCCATAATAATCATGTCCACTGTATATTTCGGGCCGCGCCTCAGAAGGGACAGGTAATAGTCTCGAGTGAATGTTCCCCAGTTCGACTCAGAAAAGGCTAGCTGAGCGCTGCTTTCCTTACCAGTAGCTTTGTTGAGTCTGAGGGGGGTTTTGAGAGCCGTGCCCTTCTTTTCCTTATCTGCGACTAACTTAAAAGCACGTTCGAGCTTTTAAAATTAATAATTAGCCTGTTTTCAAGTGAGTTTAAGGATAGGACTCAGTACAGCAACAGCGCAAGCAGCAATTACCCCCTCCATCTGCATTGAAGGCAGAGCGCTTGTGTTAAGTGCTGGCACATCAACAAAGCTGATGAATGTGTTAAGATGGACTGTTGCGATCATTTGCAACATGAACATGGAGCGGTAAATCTCGGAGGTCTGGCAGGTATCGGGGTCTGCGAACAGAAAGGCATATTCTTTGAGAAGGGAGTGTGCCACATGTACCATGGCTTTCTCCTGGGCGTCCAAGTCTGCATTGACATCGATACTATCATTGTCCGCTTGCTCGTCATCGTCATGATTTTCATTCATGGATGACAAAAAATTAGAAACAAGCGCGATCGCGGTGGAACCAAAGTTGTTCCGCCACATACATAAGCGCTGGGTGGCCTATTGAAGTTTAAATAATGGTCAAGGCGGCAAATATATGTATAAAGGACAACACTCACCACACCCATGATGGGGCCCTTGAGTTGGACCTTGTGCTCTACTCCTGGGTACATCGTAGCAAATATAGCCTGCAGTGCACACAGCAAATCGGGGGCCTCGATCGTCCAAAAATTGGGCTGGCTACCTGCCCAAAGGAGAACAGTCGGAATGAATTGCCTGTGCCATGCGCCATTCTCCAACATGATCAGTGGGAGGTCCGTGTTGCGCCACTGGTTTCCTGTTTTGGGCTTCAGTTGCCATGTCCGCCAGCATTGACTCTGACACGGCGGGAACAGCTGGCGTTAGTGTGATTGAGGGTTGGGAAGCTGTCTCCGATTTAATCTTCTTGGCTCGAGGGCCAGGCAGTGCCCTCGGTTTCTCAGAAGCCGTCACACTCATCTGCATGGTTGTCAGGGTAAATATTTTGCCAAATCAAGAAGTCACTTACCATTGCTGTGGTGCGAACCAACTTGGGAGCAGCTTCGATCTCATTGAAGGCTTCCATGATGCTATCATCCCCATCATAAAACTCAACTTCCAAGCCGTCCTCATCTCCATCCTCATCTGACTCAACCATCACCTCTTCAATCTTCCTCTTGCCGATGGTACGTGGTGTAGGTTGCTCTAATGCATAGCTGACAATTTCCAATTGTTTGCTGTAAGGCAAATCAGCAAAGGGAGTGCCAGCCAGTGGCATGTCTGAATCGTCGCTACTAGCCTGAGGCTCCTTGTCAATTCCAACTGTAAGTACGGATCTTGTCAATCATAAGTAGCTGCGACTTACCTTCACAGCGACTCTCTGACTTCCTGTGATAGCAGCTGCATGCTCCTCGGAGTCAGAGCTGCCCTCGATTTCAACAACCGTCTGAAATAGATGGTAAGCATGTGTTTCATCATCAGCTGCAACTTACCTTCATGCCAGCTTTTCCTTTTCCTTTGCTTACAATAGCGGCTGCGCGCTCTTCAGAATCGCTGTCGCTCTGGTCATCGTCTGAGGCATCAGCATTGTCAGTGAACACAGAAGTCTTTGTTGGGGTAGGCGGGGGTTCTGTTGCACTGGAAAAGTAGTTGCTGCAGTTGCGGAGGACAGCTTGGAGGTCGGAACACTTCGAGTTGTCCCACTCAGGACAGAGGGTGCTTGTGAGGATTGCTGCTTCGAGTCTGGTTCAACTTTATCACGCCAGTAATTGACCTGCCCAGCCAGGCTGGATTTCTTGCTTCTGAATTTTGACGTCAGGTTTAGAAAGTAAAGTGTTGACTCGGTGAGTATCAGCATGATGGTGTGAGATAGAAATGTCACTGACACTAAGTTTCCTTTCTGGTCATGTGCACAATTGTCATCGACAGATCTCGGCTGATCCTTAATCTGCTTTTTCATCCTCGCAGCACTAACAGCCTCACACAACAGCATATTCTTTACTTTCTTCCCCTTCCCCTTTGGCTTTGGCTCAGCCTCATCCCCTGCTATATCTGTATCGTCATTAGTGGTGCCTATTGAGGTAAGTGACCTTTAGACTCACTACTGGTCTCATCTCCTGATGCCACACAACTGTCTGAAGGGATATCATTAGTAGCCTTCTTTTTGACTGCCTTCGCATGAGGCTTTGGCTTTATGGGCACCACGTTCGATACTGCTGCTGCCTGCTCTATGTCCATCAAGGCCTCTATTGCTCCAACACGATCAATGCCGTGTTGGGCGGCTTTTTCCTGAGCTTCCTGTGCTTCTTTGCTCCGCTGATTGTCTTCTGCAATTTCTTTAGCAGTACGCCTTTTCTTTGTAGCCGTTTTCAGAATATTGCCAGGGTGCTTTCCTTTATTCGAATCGTGAGTAGAAACCATAGCAGGCAGAATAGAAGCAGTGGCAGACAGCTCAGATGCAGGGAAGGAAAATAGACCGAAAACGAGAGTTCAACACTTTGGTAAGTGCCCTAAACACGCTTTTCTAAACTCAGACAAACAGCGCTGTAACACTTGCTCGCAATACACATAATTCAGGTCGCTCTGCTGTCCATTCAAGTTCACCATGTCACATGCCATCAAACCTGGGTTTAATGCCCTTCGCCTTCCTTGCACCACACCAGGATGCAACCACTGGTTTAAGAACAAGTCTGGTCTTACACAACATACAAACGCTGTCCATTTAGTCCTTACTAGCACTGCACCCTCGCGTCCGCCTCAGTCTAATTGATCCCCTTCGCCTCTTTTCAATGCAGATATTAATCCTGAAGAATATGATGGTGCCAACTTGAACAAAGAGTATCGTGCTGCCACTCCTGGTCCTGTACAACCACCTGCAGAGTTCTTTGGTGCTGGTGACCGCTTGTATCGAAACTATCACCCTAACTTAACTGGTAATTTTCCTTTGCTTTTCGCATTTTCTCTATCTGATGCACCATCAATTTCAAAAGCGAGTCCATGCGATTCGGAGGGGAACTTCCTTCCTCCTGGAACTTCACCTCCACCATTGTTGGACAACGCACCCGATGACTGGACTCCCTACTCTGATCGGTTGGAGTTTGAGCTTGCGGACTATATCTTTACCAAGAATCAGACACCCGCAGTGCAGATCGACCACCTTCTTGATATCTGGGCAGCTTCGCTAATCCGAGGTGGTGCTGATACCAATGTGCTATTCACAGACCACTGCAATGTCTACAAGACCATTGACAGTACTCCTTTGGGCGACGTGCAATGGCAGTCGTGCTCAGTCAAATACACTGGGGAGCATGCAGTTGACGACACCGCACCCTGGATGGAAGACAGCTACGATGTTTGGTTCCACGATCCTCGTGATGTTGTTCGGAATATGCTTGCCAACCCTGATTACGCGCTGGAGATGGATCTGCAACCTTACCGTGAGTTCGTGACCGAAACAGATGAGCGCCAATGGCAAGACTTTATGTCTGGCGACTGGGCTTGGAATCAAGCGGTAAGCTGTCCCCTCCCTTTTCGCACTAGTTGGTCTAATTAAGAACTAAACAGGACAAAATTTCCGATGATCCAGACACTCATGGCTCGATGTTTGTACCTGTGATTCTTGGCAGCGATAAAACACAGTATCAGTTGCAACCGGACAGAACGACTATTACCCACTGTACGCATCAATCGGAAATGTTCGCAACAATGTGCGCCGTGCTCACCGTAATGTGGTTGCTGTAATTGGATTTCTAGCCATGCCAAAGAGTGAGTTTTTCTCCATTCGCACATCTTCACTCGCCTCACAACCCATAAAGCAACTAAACAACATGCTAAGACCGCAAATTTCCACAATTTCCATCGCCAACTATTTCATTCATCACTTTCATACATACTGAAGAACTTGAAGCCTGCGATGATGAAGCCTGAGGTTGCACGCTTTGGCGACGGTCATTATCGTCGTGTTATCTATGGACTTGGTCCGTATATTGCCGACTATGAAGAACAAGTGTTGCTTGCATGTATAGTCAAAAATTGGTGCGCTAAGTAAGTAGTATTTGTCAGTTTCTTGTTGTGTTGATTCTAAATCTATGATAGATGTCTTTCATATCGCAAGAGTCTTGACGACGACAGTCTCCAATGCTCAAGAACATATACTGAGGCACTAATCGAAGAGTGTGACCATTTGGCGCTTTGGGATGAGTTCGGAATTGCCGCCCAACTCGTGGTAAGTCTGGGAGTGTTGTGTTTACTACTTGACAGTCAGAATTGATTTATCTGTATAGCCATTTACCAACGACTTTCCTCATGCCAATATACATGAACTCATCGCGCCAGATCTCCTCCATCAAATAATAAAGGGGGCCTTCAAGGACCACTTGGTGGTCTGGGTCGAAAAATATCTCGTGCAGACGCATGGACAAATGCAGGCTGATGTCATTCTGGATGACATTGATAGAAGGTCCGTCACATATCCTATTAACCGTGAATTCGAGATTTAGTAATACCCCAAATAGGATCGCAGCAGTTCCTGCATTTTCAGGACTGCGCAGGTTTCCTCAAGGACGCAACTTTCAACAGTGGACCGGAGATGATTCAAAAGCGCTTATAAAGGTATTTTAACTTTTATCTAGTTTTATTCGAGACTTTTGACTAATAGCATTTAGGTGTATTTACCAGCGATCGAAGGCTATGTCTCAGTCGAAATTGTCCGCACATTTCGTGCTTTCCTCGAATTTTGTTATCTTGTCCGCCGTAATATTATCACAGAGAAGACACTTGCAGAAATTGATGATGCACTTGCTCGATTCCATCAGTATCGTGAAATCTTCAAGTCCTCTGGGACAATTCTGACATTCTCACTCCCCCGACAACATTCAATGAAACATTACCACGCTCTCATTCGACTTTTTGGTGCGCCAAATGGACTTTGTTCCTCTATCACAGAATCCAAGCACATCAAGGCCATGAAGGAACCGTGGAGACGATCGAGTCACTACAAAGCACTAGGCCAGATGCTTGTGACCAACCAACGCCTGGACAAGTTGACTGCATCACATCAAGATTTTCGGGCTCGCAGGATGCTTAATGGCACCTGTCTATCTTCTGTCATTGCGGCATTGAATGCACAACCCCCCACTGAGGAGCATCACGATATGGACCAACAAGAGCCACCTGCCATCTTGCCTGCTGGACTGGGAGAAGATGATGGGGGCGCAGACTTTGAGGTTGTCAATGACCCCATGTCAGTCCTCGCGCATGTAGAACTCGCCAAGGCACCACGTAAGTATAGCTGCATTCATCAGTTTTCATTTCGCATACTATGATACTGAGAATGAGTACTAGAAGGGACGAAGTGTGCACAATGTATTCCAGAGCTTAGCATCGAGCTTGACATTTGCAACCTGGCCGAGCTTGTTCAATGGTTCCTTTTCAAGCACTCCCATCCCAACAATACTCGCGACCCTACTGAAGTCACTCTCTTAGAGTCCCCATACTATCAGGGTCGAATTTCAGTATTTAACTCTGCATCATCAACATTTCACGCACCCAGTGACCTTAGTGGTATTGGGGGCATGAAGCATGAATATATCCGTGCATGTCCCTCATGGAGAAACGAAGGTGCACGCAATGATTGTGTTTTTGCGATTACCGACTCAGACACTCATGGGATGGGAGGCATGGATGTAGCCCGTGTTATGGCATTCTTCTCCCTTCGACAACATGGCAGACAGGTTCCATGTGCAGTGGTCTGCTGGTTCGATCGAGTTGGTGATGCACCTGATCCTGACACTGGCATGTGGATGGTTAAGCCAGCTTTTTCTGCAAATCGCACCCCACACTTTGCGGTGATTCATATTGACACTATTTTTCGCGCAGCTCATTTGATTCCAGTCTATGGTACAGCGCTGCTCTCACCATTGATCAAATTCCATCACGTCCTTGACATCTTCAAACTGTTCTATGTGAACAAATTCGCTGATCATCACGCGTTCGAAATAGCTTATTAGTGACACCGGTTGCCAGTACATACCCATAATCATGAATAGGGAACTGCATGGGTATTGGAGGCCATACCCGCACCCACACCCGGCAAAAACCCATACCCACTCTGACAGGTATGGGTTTTCAGCGGGTACAACAAGCTCAGACCCGTACCCGCACCCGTGCAGGGTTTACCCGTGGGTACCATAGGTATCACCGCCAGTGCTTAGCACATATGTCCAGCACACGTCAGTGAATGCTGACGTGACTTGAACATATGTGGATGGCACAAGGAGGAGTGGAGGCACAGCGTGAATGACGGACACGTCAAAATAGATGCTGATGTCGTGGCAGGTGGTGTGTCGCGTACAATCAAAGTCGAAGGTGAGCGTGTCGAAATGGGAGATGGTGGTGTGGTGGCGCGAGAGTGTGACGTGTCGGGCGTCGCATCCTCATTGCAGAAAATGGGGGCAGAGTCAGGACGGCGACTTACTGACAAGATCCTTCCTTCCTCCTCTCGTTCCTCCTCTTTTCCTTCTCACTTCCTTCTCTTTCCCTTCTTTCCTCGTCCTCGTATCCTCCATATGTGTCCGAGCCACGCCAGCATTTGCTGGCGTGCTCTGGGCGCAGACGCTCGATGCTGGCGGTTGGTAGCACGAGGTGGGAGCTGCTGGTGGCGTCCTGGATGGAGGTGGTTGTTGCTGTGGGAAGGGAGCTGCTAGCGATGGTGGTGGTGGTGCCGGCATCGAGGAACGTGTGAATGGTGGTGGTGGTTGCTGGCTGAGGGCGTCCATTGATGTGCTTACTGGCGTTAGAACAGGTGCCGGAAGAATTGGCATGGGGGGTGCAGCGAGTGCTGCCGAACGCGAGGATGGTGGTGGTGGCGTGTTAGCAGGTGAGTGCTTGGTGGTGGTGCCGGTTGTAGCGTGCACGCGGGAAGTATCGCGTTTATGGAAGGCACGGGTATAGCTGGGGTACGGGTAAGAGTGCGGGTCTTAGAATCCCGACCCGTACCCGTACCCCAGTAGTACCCGTACCCGTGACCCGTGCGGGTTACCCGTACCTGTGCAGATCCCTAATCATGAATGGAGTGCTGACAAGCGCAACACCTCGAAGTTTGGCGTTGATCTTCACGCCGGACACTACCACATACCCATAATCATGAACGGAGCGCTGACGAGTGCAACACCTCGAAGTTTGGCGTTGATCTTCATGCCGGACACTACCACATACCCATAATCATGAACAGAGCACTGATGAGTGCGACACCTCGAAGTTTGGCCCGGGCATCATGACTTAGTATATTTTTGTGCTACTACTACTTATACTAGCTGGGGCGCCCTAATTTGCACTTTTTCTCTTATTATACTTTTTTCAGTCTTCCAACTTAATTTCATGTCGGCCACTTTCTGCATGCAGAAAATAAGTGAAAAAAGTGAATTTTAAGTACTAAAAGGCTGAAAAGGTAAACTCGAGATTTCCTGATGCGATGCAAGGCCGTGAAATCGTTGCGCAAGAAGAAGATTCCATTAGAGCAGCAGATTGTATTTGTCCACATAGGTGTGTAGTTAGACTCGATTCGCTATGTTATTCCATTTGCCGTATCTCTAGTTGTTTTTGTTCCCTTGCTTTCCTGTTGCTTACTTATCTTTGCATGATACTTTGTTGTTCTGTACTGTACTAGTGTCACACAGCGTCCCGTCAAATCAATGTGATTTACTCCTGCATCATCACACTTATCAGTCGTTAAATGTTGCCATAGCATATGATTCGGCGAGTGGTGTTACCCGTGAACTATTAGTATGCTTGTCATCCCCATGGCGTATGTGTCTGCTCATTTATTTGGCACTGACCATGACACTGTGGGAAGTAGAAACAATGAATTTCAGTGGTTCGAGCACTGAACCAATGAGCCTCAATGTGTGTAACACTGAATCCACGAGCAAGAGTATTCATTGTTTCAGCTAATACCATAGATTTCATTGCCAGTGTGAGCACTCAGTGGTGTAAACAATGATATGTGACTTGAAATATGATAGATAAAACAATAAAATCTGGCGGTTAGGCCAATGAATTTTAATGGCATGACACATGAATTTCAATGGACCACCAAAAAAAATGGGCGTGACCTATGAAATGATGCGGAGAAAACAACAAAATGTGACAGATTAGCCAATGAATCTCAGTGGTGTGAGATATGAATTTCATTAGTGAAACTGACTTAGTGGAATTGTCGCTTCTTCCTCGGATAAGGTAGACATGTTGGCATTTGTTTGTCATGTGACGGTTGGATATATTTGTATTGTTGTTGATATATACAAACGGTCCTGTGGCCTAGCGGTCACAATGATGCAGCTATCATTGTCGGAGGTCTTGGGTTCAATCCCTGCCAATGGCAAATTATCCTGGGTCAAATGTTACGTGCCCACGTAGTATACCTGTGGCCACCCATAACTTGGTGCTATATTGTTTTGCTAAATACATATACCCTATCAAATTCAATGGTTTTGTCGTCAATAATCAGTCACTGCGGAAACGAGAAAATAAACGGATCCGCATAGAGTACGAACATAGCCTGTAAATATACACAAAGCATAATATGCAAATCGAGGCAAAGCACACCAATTCAGATACAGAAAGGTTCAGTTTTGACATGCAAAACCGAGTACGAAACAATGAGATTTCCAGACGCGGGTTTGTTGCCTGCGTGTTAAGCAGACCTCAGTTTTAATATTGATTTGAATGATTTGCACATGAGATTATGGTTGGGTTTTCAACCGAAAGCAGATTGGATTATGATGTACATACAGACAGGAAGCATGTACCATATGGTGCCGACCTAGAGATCCTCCACATCCTGCAGGCTTTCCTACCTCCTCGCTGCTCTCCCTCCACAATGTGCGCCCCCCAAGGTACTACTCAGAGACGCCCGAGTGGTGCCTATGTCATGTCGAACCATCCACAAATGAGCCCAGAGCATGCGCAACAAGATATGACAGGTGCTTACCAGCTTCCTTGCGCATACATCTTGCACTCCGTTTTCTTATGGGGACTCTTAGCAGCATGTTTCTAAAATATATGCGCTATTCAACACATGAATGAAGATAAATTTGTAAGAAAAACTCAACAGATCTTCCGCAGCCAGTCCTGACTCATGTGCAGCGCTAGATGGCAGCTCCGAGCTCGGAGAGGCTCTGAGTCGCATGGATATGTCAATAGCCTACATAGCAGTAGACAATTCAATAGTTAGCATTAGTTCAGTTCGACTAAATGGCACTTATCATATATAGGATGTGGTCGTCTGCATTCGAAAGTGGACTTGAATGATCTTGCCCGGATGGGCCGCTCAGCTGGGTGGTGGTAGTAAATAAGTAAGGAAGACTTGGACAAAATTTCGAAAATTTACCTCGCTGCAAGTCTACTGTAAACCGACGTCGAGATTTTGGATTTGCAGAGCTGAATAGCCGTGGAATAGCAGGTATTTGCGAGGTGTATGCATCGGTCGGGAAAGTTGATAGGGCAAAGTTGGGGCAAAGTCGGAAAATGGTCCGCTTACATTTATGGCCTTCCCAGGATCTCTCAAAATTTGCAGCACATCGATTTTGGGTGGGGTTTACTAGTTGACGCGGGTTTGGGTACGTTTATACAAATTATCTATCTCGGAATAGGGTAGGACTATCTTCTCGTTTCTGCAGTGAGTGGCCGCACCATCAAAAGTCAGTGATTTGCCGCATTGAATTCAGTGGCCATGTCGACAACAATCAGTGATTCCACCACTGATGTCCATTGTCTTTTCGGGGGATTCAATGGCCGTCGATTCATTGCGCTACCTCATTGGTTTCAGTGGCTCTCTCTATTGACTTTCAACGTTTTCTCCTACTTAAATTCATGGGTTTTCCTTTCCACAGTGCGTGACTCAGACGCCATCATGCTGTATCATGGTAAATCCTCTGGGATGGTCCTATTGGCGGAACCGTTGTCCAGCCACAGGCACCGCAACATAGTGCGTAGTGCCAGAATTGTACTAGTAGCTTGCGGGAGAGCCCCAGTCGCGTTCTACAGTTGCTGTCACCGCTGACCAGACATTCGATTTCGTACCATGCAAGGGAACTCCATTGTGCGAGAGACTCATAATATTTCACTTATCGAGCGATCATTCCATACTTGTACAGTCTTTCCTAGTAATCCATATTTATGAATAACACTTATCTGGTGAGCAGCAACAAAACAGCAGTGTACAACGTTCAACAGCAGTCAAAACGCGAAAACATGCAGATCTTTCATATCGCCATCAGCAAACGAGGGGCTCTGAAAAATAAGACAATCAGCATGAGGCTACGCACTCTTCAGTACAACAATAGCTTACTTTCAAACCGACCAATCTTTGCTCATCGATCATCACGCCCGAAAACCCTTCAAGCTCATCCCTTTGACAAACCCGATAGGGCAAATTTGTCTCAATAGGGCCCGGGAAAAGGCAGTCCGAAAATATGATCGTGGGGTAATCAATGACCTCAACACTCGCTTTGGAGTCCGGCTGCGGAGGGAAGACATGCCGTTTGGTTTTGCGTACATTGAAGTCCATCACTTGCATGCTGCTGGATAGTAGCGGAAAGACTACTCGATAGCCATGAACGTATCTACTCAAGGCTGATCAGCGTAGGTCGGGACAGGAATATTTCAACTCCTTCTTACCTTAGCCACTGATATGGGACTTGATGATGGAGCATGCGGCTTTCGTGGGGGCCCCACTCCTCCCAAGGCACCTCGAAGGGGCTTGTTTCTCCTTGTTCACGGTATTTCCGTATATATCTGAGAGGAGTGCTATTCTTGAAAAAGAGAAAAAATTTGGGCCTAGCGCGAGGGATATGCGGGTCCATCTGGATATAATCCACGGATAAAACATACATCCGCTCCTCCTGATTGGTCCAAAAAGGCGTGTTTGGAAGACACCTTGCCACAAAGGGACCTGTATGAATCGCGCAGTGCACGAAATGGCGGGACTTCAGGAGAGGCAGCGATAGGGTCGCGACATGGATGATTTCATTTTCTCCAAATGTGAAAACTTGGATCGAACCCCCGTCTATCCCGCGCGTGATCATGTATGCACGGTTCGAAATGAAGCAAAAGTCGTTGATATGAGTGGGCAAGTCGTCCCCGTCGCGATCCTGCAAAGCCAGTGTTGACTATAAGTTATTCGGTGTTCATAGACAGGCACTTACGACAAGTATTTGACCTGTCTTCCAATTCCAGATTGTGATGCGAGGATTGTCGAGCTCCATCCAAAACATCATCCCAATCACATCATCCACGATTTGTATGAATGCACTCGTCATTATTGACGGGGTGAGGGTACGAAGAATGGGAGATGATGCTTCGGGATGCTTGGCATTGGAGGAGATAGTGCGTATATGGACCGCCGTGTAATTAGAATTGTTCACGCTACATCCAACAATCAGTCATCCGTGCGACGAAGAGCGAAAGACAACAAAGACGCACAAGTCGTCATCAGATTGAACAAAAGCGATGAGATCTTGCGATGGATCAATGGCGAAGTCTCTCGTTGAAATGCCTATGTCGTCCCGAGCCAGCGTGTATCCAGTATCTGACGAGGATGGTAGCCAGGAGGAAACGAATTTTCGTGAACCGGACTGGTTGTGATGAATGCTTCCCGAAGAGGACGTCTTCGCAAATACACCTCCTACAAGCTCGTATGCGTGGCAGAAACCAGGCATGGGCACCCGAACTTCTTTCTTCCACTCGAACAAGGTCCAGGCACGACGAAGGGTCCGCAGTTGTTCCAGACGCTCTAAAACAGTGACAGTGCTCGGAGGGCCATCAAGCATGCAATCAAGAGCAAGCTCAATATGATACTGAAGCTCTGCAGAGGAATCAATCACCCTATTCAATTGGCGGCAGACCTGGAAATTAGTCAAGTTCAAGTCCAGGACAAAAGAGCAGTATGGCATACGTACAGAGGAACACCGCAAGATAGAGCGACCGTCTAAATGACGAAGGATTTCCACCAGTAACTCGGAGGGTAACAGGATAAAAGTAAGCGTTTCAGGATCCTTCATGTCTGCTTTTACAGCGGGCAGGCTGGCCACTGCTGTAGTCTGCCTTTTATCAAGCTTTGGTGCAATCATAGTAGCTGCTGTGCGTAGGCGCTTAAGTTGGTGGGTGCTAATCGTTGAAATGACGCGGCTGCAATTGGACTTTGATTAGCTTTGGACTTGTGGCGCACGTGCTTTTCAATTCAACTTTGAACCACGATGTAATAATCCAAGGATGGTCCGGACCGTTTTCCTTCTTACTGGTCTGTCCAGAGTAGACCAACTACGATCGAACTTATCCGTTTCTCTGAAGACGATTGTGAGTAACGACGTCGCACGCAACAAATAATAGATCGAGCATTGATTCTCGGAAAACTACAATTCATGACTTTGAGCCTCTGGATTCAGTAGTCGCAGTTGTCTCTCTCGATGGCTAGGACCGTCAATCTTGATGGGGTTGCGCAGCTCAAGGTCATGGTAGTCGCCGATCGGATGTTTCGGCGGCATCTACAAATGTGATTTTACTATCTGCATGAGAGATGCGACCCTAGTGAGTACCTAGCGCCCTTCAAGAACCCTGTCGCTCTACTAACGAAATTTAACCGATACCATCGCACAGTGAGATAAGCTTATTTATACTGACGAACAAAACTCCATGCCACATCGATATCGTGAAGTCTGGATGTATTGTTGGCGCAGCACGCTACGCTACAGCACTCGGACTCGGCAATGAGGAAGAGCTGTCTTACTCGAGCACTGCGGAGTTGAGCAACGCCCATTCGCAAACGAAGTCATTTCCGGAGTCGACCGTCATACTGCCCTTGTGACATCGACATGGCACATAGGATGTGATTTTGCCACTGGGTTCACAGAAGTACCCGAAATCGTCTTCGTAGTTGTGACACGAGGCCCGTCGAGCACCCCGCTTCATCTGTGGATAGCCGTAAGCATGCGGTCCAAGGTCCGCATGTTGCCAGCCCCATGGTATGGTTGTGTTCAAGAGTGCAGTCATAGACACATTCACCCAAATGTCACATTTACATGATGTGGCAGACGCGTCCCGCGAGTTCATTTGGTACCTCCGATTTAATGACTTATCCACCCAATTTTCACAATTGCAGTGATGTGGCAAACGCACCTACCGATCACTTGCATCTCAATATGACCGAGTAAATGGTAGGAGCATATGATCAAACGTCGCTACGAGTTATGGAACACGATGCGAACTTCACTTCCACCGGTTCCTTGGTGTACTATTGCAGAATCCGAATATCGATTCAGCAATGCAGGTTAGAACGTCAATTTTCGCCCCTTAGACAATGAAGACGACGGGTGCGGGGTGACAGAGCCAAGGAAAGGAGAAAATGAGCGAAGAAGGCAGCTATCGTTGATGTTACTTGTGGAAAGAATCAGACGGGATGAGGATGAGGAAGAAATAATCCAGGATGGTATGGCTTTTTTCTCGTACAGCTGGAATTTAACGCTTAGTACCCGATTAACAGGTCTTCGGGTCGAGTGGTCCAAAGCTCGCACCAGGAAAGAAGAGATTGAGTTACTGCGAGAAGAAATGCGTCGAGTTCTTCAATATCCATATTTCCAGTGGCATGTGCTCTGGTGGAATGATATGGCCCATCTCTGCGTTCACGGAGGCGCTGAAAAGGAAGGAGTAGTTGCCTATACCTGCGCCACTCGATAAGCTCATAACGTTGGTGCTGAGTCTACTGAATACAAGATGTCACAACGTTCGAATGAGGTACCCATTTATTCTCTGATTTCCATGATCTCTGTATGGGCTGTCATCGATTCATCCCCTGGAGCTACGTGATTTAGAAGGATATAGATTGTTCCCTATACTGGAACTTGAAAGTCTCAAAATAATTCTATAGGTTGATAAAGAATCGTGATTGGTCAGCTGTTCGAGCTTGTGTTCACGGTGATTACCTTGCGGAGCAAGGTCATGTCGGATGGCAGATAATCTGTCAGTCACCTGACATGAACATCATGCTGTGCAATAATCGAAAATGATGGAACTGCGTCAATATGAATACACAAAACTACTTCATAAAGTATCCAATTAGCTACTCAGAACTTGGTCTCGATGAAATACAGAGACTCAAAAAAGTAATGCACAGAATCATTTTCTATGTATCTCCACCAAAACACGATACTTTTCTGTAATGTAAATTGTGAACTGTAGCCTGAGGTGTCCTCTACAAGGGCCTAAAGTTAGTAAAATAAAATATTGATAACTGCTTTCAGTAGAGGCAGAATATCAAAAATGCCATTTTTCAACTTCTCAGGGGATTTATTTTTTGTCTTGTAACCTTACCCAGTTTGTAGAGCATGGTGTTCTGAGTAAAATATCACTTTGAATTGAAGGAAATGTTGAGTCCTTGTGGAGATATATCTGTTGTAAAAAGGGGCTACATGCAAAATTTGGGTGTAAACACTGCTAAATTTTGCATGTAGCCCCTTTTTACAACGGATATATCTCCACAAGGACTCAACATTTTCCTTCAATTCAAAGTGATATTTTACTCAGAACACCATGCTCTACAAACTGGGTAAGGTTACAAGACAAAAAATAAATCCCCTGAGAAGTTGAAAAATGGCATTTTTGATATTCTGCCTCTACTGAAAGCAGTTATCAATATTTTATTTTACTAACTTTAGGCCCTTGTAGAGGACACCTCAGGCTACAGTTCACAATTTACATTACAGAAAAGTATCGTGTTTTGGTGGAGATACATAGAAAATGATTCTGTGCATTACTTTTTTGAGTCTCTGTACAGTCAAACTCTGAGCTCGATCTCAATGTCATGATACAATTTTAAATTAGTGATGTTCCGGCCCAGCTTAGGCTCGGCTTGGGGGGGGGTTTAGGTTCGCTACACCGCTAAGCGCCGCTTTGGCCCGAACCGAGGTAGTGCGAAAGTTATATGACACACATAGCAACATGCTAGGTACTAGTTCGATTGGAGCCTTGCCACATAAGTAATAAATTTAACCTGCACAGGGTACATATGCGGTATCTATGAAAGGTTTTATCCCAATCCTGGATGATGACTTGGTTACAGCTGGAAATTCATCCAAATCAGGGCTAGTATACACCCTTTGCGGTGCATATATCGGACACATCGAGGTCAGTCATATAGAACAGTCGAAAATTAGACCCTGTGATAGACCTGTGACCCAGCTAGTGCTAATATCTGAGTGGCCTGTCTCACATCTGTGTGCATATTATACGCTACAACTGCTGCATCCACGAAAGCACCGACAAACGGATGATCTAAATCACAATCTTGGGCGTTAATGGTACCATTGGCACAGTAGGTAGTATACATATGATGCAGACTAAAATCTAATTAACAAATACATATCGGCGCACAAACAAAAGTGTCATAGGTTAGTCGACAGCAAGAAGAGGCAAGGGGTGAAAGAGCGCAGTATGTCTGTTGAATTCGGCCCATATGTCATTGAGTAGGGCCACGAGAGAATGTTCGCCCTCAAGTTTCATGGCATCAATATCATTCGACCGTCCCAACCACTCCTGAATAAATGTCCCCTCCACAGGAATGCGAGGGTCCCACATTGGCCATTTGCCTCTGGGAAATAAAGGGTATGCTGCGACGAACGTGAGCCAGAAAGCATTGCATCCCCATGTCCATAATTGAGACCTAGTGTCTACATCGTTCACCAACCATTCTTCGATCTCCTTCGATAGTGTGGCCCATTCCATCGGATTAATATAGTTGAAGGTTCGTCGGAGTGGGAGGAATGGAATAATGTCATCCGCTTGGGAGGAAAGATCGTTGTTGGCTTGACTGGGAGTTGACTGCACGAGGTAAGATCTACAAATATTCAGTGCAGAATTTAGAACTCACATCATCCATTAATGGTGAATTCGAACGAGTAGAGCAAAGATCTACTGATATGGCCTCCATAACTGGGGAGGTAAACGGTCCATATTCTTCGGCAACAGAGACCGAAATGTGGACAGGCTATCATGCATAATAAAGAGCAAGCATGTTTATAGCGACAACAAGTACTCACGATATTTTTCCGTCGAACTGTCTGCTTTGGGAGCCGGCCCAAAAAACACACCGTAAGGAGGATGCGCTGCAATGGTGCACCGTCAGAACTATCTGACCAACTTTCTGGATTGATAACAGTCGAAAAATGGGTGACTTTGTTGCTCATTGTGCAGAGTTGATGAAGATCAAGTTGTGATTGGAGACATTGCGCCGTGGGACTTCGGACTTGTTGATTTCAAAGACAAAAGCTCACGTGATCATCAGCGACTTTCGACGCTGATCAAGTCGCCAAGTCCAGACTTCAGTTCGGCATGACACTAAATAATGCAGACTTGGTTGATGGTATTGGTGCGTCTTTCGTCTCATAGTATGAATGTTTTAATGAATTGATACTGCAGTCCTTCGATATTCCGATAACACCCGAAAGCGCATCCAATGCACGGTCTGCCCTCTCAAGCATGGCAAGTATCGTTTGATGGAGTTTCGACATATATCCAAACACATCATACAAGGAGTCCATGTCCGTCACACTCAAATAAAATGTTCCAAGCAGCGCCGAAAAGTCGTTCAGGCCGCCGCCCATACTAATGATGTTGACGCCAATGACCCCTTCAATATGAATACCAACTCTCCGATGGACACGAATTTCTATGACGCGCCATCATCTATGGTGCCTGTGTCAGTGGAAGATAATGGGCCCTCCGAATCTGAACCTGGATTATCTGAGCTTTTGCACGAAATTGGTGACTGGACGTTCGGATTTGACGAGGGACCTTTGGACTTGTTTGCAGAACTCAAGGCAATTATTACTTCGGGTGAAGTACCGTTCTCAATGCCACTTGCCCCAATCAACAATGAGCAAGAACTTTCTGATGACAGCACTGATTTCGGGATAGAGCTTCCTGGTGAGTGACATTATGATTAGTTTGGCAAGCCTACATTACACTACTAGATGATATCTACGAAAGAACGAACATCAAGGACACTGTCCCACTGGATAGTCCAACATATCCTTGGCCGTCAAAAGCGGTTTGTCTCTCTTTGTGTTAGCAATATCATTGTACTTAAATCTACATTAAGCATTTCGTGACCTCACTCCTTTTCAGCTCTCCGCGTCTCCCATTTTCTGATGCCCAGAAGAGGGCCGTTCTCAGTTGGGCACAAGAGCTCGGCGCTCGAGATGTCCCTTCACTTGGCGCCATCAAAAAATCCCATATGTATCTGGATAACATTGTTGGCGGTTTAACGGAGAAGGTGACAGCTCGCTCTGGGAGTGTATTCTATATTAATGATGTTGCGAAATCAATTGCGAAGGTATGTTCAGTGTGTTTGTACGCAACAGTAACTATGACACCATGATTTAGGACTATGCAAATCCCCTCACTCGTTTTGCGATGGAAGATTATCCGGAAGATGGCAGGGAGGGGATGTCGCAAGTGTTCAACGGCAAGAAGATGTTGCTTGACCTGCCCTCACCACCCGCGGCTCGTGTGGACAGAATGATCTATTTCACAGGTGAACTATTACAGGATGATTCTGGAGGGTATTTTATACCAGAGCGCTTTTTTCATGCCTCGCTACCTGTAGATTTGAGTGACTGATGTCTCTGACCCATGCGAGCAGTCAGATGGCAAGGCCTTATATGCGCTTGGTCGGGTGGTTGAACGAACGGAGGTACGTCTCCTTGTTGCGAAGGTATCTGGATATACAAAGTCCTCACTATATTAGGCTGGATTCATCGTTAACGAGCAACGCGAGATCATCTCAATGTCCATGTTTGTGCAATCATTTGAAGAGATTGCTGCAACTCCAGGCGAGCTCGACTGTGGCCTTACACGTGTGTTGATTTACATTCATCGCACCAGTGACTCGCTACTCACAAAACAACAGCTTCAGTCAGGAAAATATGCATCACTATCTCCGAATCCACTGCGTGCTAAGTCTAATGGCCGGATGGTTCATACGGTTCCTCTCATCATTTTTATGGACGATGTTTCTGGCAATGTCTCCAAACAATGGAACAAGCACCACGCAATCTATATGTCAAATGCCAACCTACCGCGCGAGATGCTCGAAAAAGAATTTTTCGTACGATTTGTCACATCGTCACCTGCACGCTGCTCCCATGGAGCTTATGAGGGCCATGAAAGAGTCTATATGGTATGTTGTTTCCTTTATCTGCTGAAGTCGAAGTTCTGACTCAATCTGCAGTAACGCTGCCGAATCAGGTATAATTGCCTGGGATTGCAAGTATAACGAAGAGGTTTTGTTGATTCCATACGCGCTCTTCCTCGCTGGAGACAACCCCATGCAAGCAGAAGAATGTAGCCACGCCGGCTTAAACTGCAATTACTATTGCAGGACTTGCGATACTGGTGGGACGAAAGAATATAAGGCGTCTGGTGACGGGTACAGCAGTCTTTTCACGGTAGGAATATATTTGAACTACATTCTAATAGCTAATATTGTGCTTACAGTCAGGCAACCTACGAACACCTGAAAATACAATGGCAGAAGTCCGAAAACAGTTTGAGATCGCGTTGAAGTCAGGAGCGTCGGAGAAGATCAAGAATTCGGTATCATCGACTGGTATTCGTGATTCCACTTCTAGTTCGATCCTCAATGCGTTAGTAGAGCTCGGAAAGAAACTTCGAAAGCGTGCCGCTGGTACCCAAGCAATGCCAGAAGCCGAAGTTACAGCTGTCCTGGAGAAAGAGTTCGTAGAACTTTTGCAAGGTCACAAGCTCGATGACGCTATTAACCCATTGTTGGGAATGGAAGGTTAGTTGAGTACTCTAGTGATTTTGAACTCTCGTTCACGCTCTTAGCAGGCCTCGATATACACATGGACACTCCAACGGAAATTCTGCACACAATACTGCTCGGTATCGTCAAGTATTTTTGGGGGCAAACCGTGTTTTTGCTCGACAAGGCAAAGCTCATGGGCATCTTTCAGGTCCGTCTTGAGTCTGTTGATAAGGACGGACTCAACGCTCCATGCTTGAATGCAGACTACGTCTGTCATTACAAAGGCAGTCTCATAGGGAAACATTTCAAAAGCTTGGCGCAAGTGATGCCGTTTTTGATTTATGATCTCGTCCCTTCAATTGTTCTCAATGCATGGACCGTGATAGGAGAGCTCGTCGTACTCGTCTGGCACACGAAGATTGTGGATACGGAAGCTTATCTTGTAGGTTTATGCAGAAATATGCGATAACTTTAGTTCATTCTTTTCTAGGCAAAGCTGTCTCGAACAATTCAAGATTTTCTTAATGTTACAGCACAGTGCGCGCCTAGCATCATTATAAGCAAGCCCAAATTTCATTTCTTAGTTCATCTCCCGGCGTATATTCGACGTTTCGGACCAGCAGTGATATTTTCGACCGAACGATACGAGTCCTTCAACCATGTATTTCGTTTGTCGTGTGTATACAGTAATCGCCAAGCACCAAGCCGCGACTCCTGCCGAACATTCGCTCATCAAGATATCGTCAAGCACATTGTCACGGGTGGGTATTGGTACGATAACAAAGCCTCAAAATGGGTCCGGGGAGGAGCGCAAGTTCTAGGGTATCTCGATGAACACCCAGAGCAAGCACGATTGCTCGGATTATCGGTCTTCAATCGTAATACTCCAGTACCTGGTAGTCCTAGCTTATTATTTCACTCTATCGCTACTGATTCTTTTCACACAGGTTCCGGGAAAGTTCAGACTTCTCTTGGTGCCAACGGAAAAACGGCAAGAAATGATATAGTAGCCTGGAAAGAAACTCATTGCTCGAAGATCCTGAAAACTGCCCAGCCTGACATCGCTTACTATCAAGGCAAATCAGTCGTAGCGAGGGAAGGGGATATCGCATATCTGAATAGTCATGTTATTTTCCACCGAACGACTGATGGTCAGGTGAGTGAATTCCTCACTGTATGGTTCTTGATTAATTGTTAGACATGCATTGGACGTGTTCGCGAGATCCTTGTATCATCCGAGAATCCGAACACCGTTGTTCATGTTGGACTCCAGCTCTTTTCATTCGCAAACACTTTACACGCTTCTGTCCATCTACCCTGTCTGAACCTGATTGATGACGAGGTTGTCACACCGGCGGTGGTAAATTTGATATCCCATTGATCGTGTGCGCTATTTCTGACCCTTGCGAGGCTATAGGATATCATATGCGTCATTAATCTCCAGCACAACTGTGTTGATTCACAGTGTACAGACACCATCGAGGAACCTGTGCGCCAAGAACGGCTCGAAACTTCTCGTACAAAACCTATCATTCAGCACAAGTCAACACCACACTACTTCATCAATGCCTACTCTATTCATAACTACGATCATATCAATTCTGTAATTCCTGAGACGCTTCGTGAATCACCACTGAGGGTTACGAATGTCGCAGAGGTTCGGGAAATGGCCGTACGACAAATGAAGCAGAAGAAGACTTTGAAGAAATCTGATGACGTACCTCAACTAGATGCTAATATGGAACATGATACCCAGATCCCTCTGGTGGCAGTTCCCTCCTTCGATCGGGCCCCTCCCAAGTCAAGGACTGCTGCAAAATCAAAGGCAAAGGCAACCACTTCCGGCACGCGAAGGAAGGCAGCAACATTGAAGACTGGTCAAGCAACTGCCGGACCCTCTAGCCAGCTTCCGCCTGCTCAGCAAGACTCAACGATTCATATCGGAGATCACCAAAATCAAGCCTACTTTGCGCCGCCACCAGGATTCCCTCCTCCCCAGTACTACTACCCTCCTCACCATTCACAACTTCCTCCACCACAGCTATATGGTCCGCCGCCACCAGCTCTGTATCTTTACTCCGGAGGTTCACAACAACGTCATGAGGTTTTAGAAAGGTCATATACCAGGTGAGTTCTTCGCCGTTATTATAGCATAAAAAATCTAACTACACTCAGGCTATAACATGTACCCAAATCAACCCGAACCGCCACATCTACAGCCACAGCCACATCAACAGCAGCAACAGCACCTGCAATTCCATCCGCACCCCCACCCCCACCCGCAACATTAGTTAGTGGTGGTGGCATACTGCAACTGCGACAGTGCCTGCTTCCGCTACCGCAACAAGCCTTAATCCACTTCTCACCCGACTGCGACGATGCCTGCTTCCACTACCGCAACAAGCCTTAATCCACTTCTCACCCAACTGCGACAGTGCCTGCTTCCGCTACCGCAACAAACCTTAATCCACTTCTCACCTAACTGCGACAGTGCCTGCTTCCGCTACCGCAACAAGCCTTAATCCACTTCTCACCCACAGCACCAGGTGGAGGAAAAGCAATACTTGCTGCTCCCAGCTGGTATCAAGGTTCTCTGGTATCTGTCGCGCCAACCTGTCCTGTAGATGGAGGGACTTTGCTTTGCAGCCTCAAGAAAGTATTATCATATGTACTTATAATATGAATTTGGACCCCATCTCCCTCCTGTCTGATTTGTCTTGATGTGTGAGAATTGACGAATCTCGGTTGGGTGAATTGAATTGAATTAATTTAAACTCAATTAAGTGTGTTTTAGACTTTTGAACCAACTCGCAGCACTGGTTGTCCTGCTCCCTCACTGTCTGCGACATCATGATCTCACAGCATCCTGTGTGTGCTCGCAGGAAACCACAAGCTAGGCAAACGACAGCAAATGGTCTACTCACACCTGGTGATGCCCTGCTTGGCCGAGGCAGGAGCATGTCAGCCAGCAGCAGAGGATCTCGACCGCCTTCAGCATGTGGTTCACAACCGCGTGGTAATATCAGTCGCGCACGCTCACCTCTAGCAGCCCATCCACCATTGGCCTCAACTGAGATAGCTCAGATTGCTGCCATAGCTCCCATCAGCATTCCATGTACACCATCATCCGATGGCTCCCTCGACGAACCTATAACTATCGGTGTGCGTCGCCAAAGGGTGGATTCCGGTGTGAGTCTGGGTTGCCCTGTTACCCTTACGCCCCGCAGCACGAAACAGCTTAAAGTCTATGCAAATCAAATTGTGGAGGAAGTTGGTGTTCCAATCACCAGTCTTCACGAGTTTATCGATGTATGTATTTTTTTTAACTTGCTGTAAATGTACATGATTTAATGTTCCTTCAGTGTGGAGGCATATACCAGATGCTTGTCAGGATCGTAGCCCTTGTGCTCAAGAACGACGGTGACAAAAAACTTAGATTGCTCGCCAATCTGAAAGAGTTACTGGGCTCTAAAGATTTCAAGGTATTATTTGCCGTGTCTGCACACATCACGAGTCTGACTTATCATTTAATGAGTCTGCACTTCAAAACCGTCTGACCGCATGCATGCTTTCGCCCAATATCACTGCATACGTGACAGATACACACCCGCAGATCTTGGTAGATTCTTTCCGATGCTATGAATGGAAATTGAAGCAAACTGACACCGTGACAGAAATTCATCAAGAAACACCAAGATGTATTCAAAGTTCCGGCATTGCTGTTCGAAGACGTGGAACTCACCGCACTTTTTGCTAAGGTCGTCAGCGAGTCTCTCTCTACAATCCGTGGCAATATGAAATCTAAGGTGCGTAGCGCTAATAACAATCGCAAATTTTTCTGAAATAATATTTTTTCAGTTGACTGCATCTATTGCTAAACGCACCAGTATCACAGACGTGGCCAGATCCCTCGCCCATGGTTGTATTGAAGTTGATGCAGCTCATTGGAACAGGCTCGCATTTTTGGTATGTTTTTATCACAATGAATATTATATAGATAGTAACCTCTTGAGACTAGCGACGCTGCTTGCGTGTCTACTTACTCGGCACTGGTAACTACAAAACCGTGCCTCTGCGTACTCTTTACTCCCCCCTGCTTGTACCTTCTCTTCCGAAAGAAGTCCGCCAAAAAATCGGACCACAGCTTGGCATCGACATCGATGAGATAGAGCACAACATGCTCGACGGTGACGCCGAAGAGGACAACAATGACACTGATGCCTTTCAAGATGATATCGCTCATGAAAATGCAGCCCCCAGGAATGTTGATGGCGACGATGGCCATGATGGGAATGAGAACGTTGATGCAGATGCGGACCACAATAAGGACGACGCAGACTTCGAGGCTGATGTGAACGATGCAGCGGACATTAATGTGGACGGATCGGTCGTCACAGAGAAAGACCTCTACATGGCGGGAAGGTTTTGGAATTTTGTAGACTCCTCGCTCGCAGGCGCGCGCAAGGCTGCGAAGGAACAAGCGATGGAAGACAAGGGTCTAGCGTATGAGAAAGCATATAGTGAGTAAGTTTCTTGTTACCAGGTGTTGCGCCTTGTTGCTGATTATCACAAAGCATCCTTGTGCAGTACCTACAGCAGGATCTTTCTGATTTTCCTGGAAATACCAAAGTCCCAATGCTCCTCTCCACCAACCGCCCCCAGTGGCAATTGACCATTCAGAACCAACTCCTTTGGAGCCACATGTAACGCTCATTTATACTCTGCCTTGACACCATAGTAATCATGCCTGTACCTACTATCTACCAGTAATCTAATATTTTGTGTGGCTCGTTCCATTTATTGTGCACTCTTTCAGTGTGAGGATGGTGTGCAGGTGTCATCTAAGTATATTATATCTGAGAATTCAATCATATCAAGGTATTGAGCATATCTATATACAACATATGAAAGCTACCCTGTGTGACAGGTATGAACGAGATGTCTGTGCTAGATGTGGTATAAGATATATTCAGCACTTGTCATTTCCTATATAGACTAAAGCTCAGGTAACTAATATATTTTGAGTGTCTTGGTGATGTGTCTCAGTGGTCGTTAGTATATTTCTCAAGCCCGGCACATTCTCTCTTCACTAGGACTATAATATATTTATCTCCAATAAGTGGTGCGAAAGTTATGTGACTAAGGTCGTGGAAATATGCGCTACAGCTTACTATTTTTGGGACTGTATAATAGATTTTCGGCAGCAAGTAGTGTAGATTTCAAGCCTGAGCCGTGAGCCCAAGCCGGCCCAAAGCCGGGGCTTAGGCCCATGCAAGCCGCGGCCGTGTAATTGATGTCCGAGCTCCACCATGCTGTTCCCAAAACCATGAACACCATGCGCAAACGCCCAGCACACGTCAGCAACTGCTGATGTGGCTCAGACGAATACGGACGATGGACGAGAGCAGGAGAAGGGAAGAAGACAAGGAGGAGAACGAGAACAAGAGAGAGGATATGGACGATCGGTAGCACTCGAGTGCTTCAATTCTGCTCGCCCGGAAGAGTAAGCGCTGAATACTATAACTCGGATACCTGAAGTGCAGCGTCGAAGAGGGATGTATTTCGAACGGTCGATGAACCACTCGCCGACTTTGGATCTAATTGTAGGTTGGGCACCTAGACCACAGACCAACCAAAATTTGGGCCAGGCGGACGATGATCTTGTGTTCCATTTGAGATCAACGGATCTCTTTCGGTCGCCATTTCGTGCGTATGTAGTTGAAGTTGGGAGTCAAACTTCAAAGAGTGTCACACGATGAAGAGCCTCCCAGTTATGTTCGAGTGCAAGAGCAATCGCATGGTGCCCAGATCTGGAATACAAAACATTTCAGCAGATGCAAAAATTACGGGATGATATAGTGAGGATGGTAAAGCGCGTGAAGCCGCATTGGTCTATTTGCCATTGAATTTGTTGAACTTTCGTACATTTTGCGTGCTGTTATGATGTTTTAATCGGCTTATCGAACATGCTCAAAAGGCAATATTAGGACCAAGCTGAAGACAACATCGAATATGCTAAAGGCCAACCTATTAATTGGCTGAAAAAAAATGACTTATCGCAGTGAAAACGAAAAACAAGCAGACTTAGGACTGCCGTCACGCAGATTTTGGGGTCCGAAAACGACGAGTGTTGGAAGAGGTCGACAAGGCCGATTCCCACGAATTAAAAATTCTCCGGAGCAAGGTCATAAGTTCGCACAGCGAACCCCTAGTCCTCCAAAGAACGATGAGTACTCAGCGCTGAGTGGTGTACCTTCACCACGTTTAATCATCGACAATACACCAGTCAGAACCAAGGACCATCGTGAACTTAAACTCCACTGCTAAACGGATCTCATATCGGAAGGAAAGCAGTTGGATGTATAATGAACCAAAGTACAAGATGACGCACTAATATACATGGTGTTCGAATATGAGATCACGCAATGAGTCTGAGAGAGTGCTACAAATATGCTATCGTACAGATTAATCTGACAACAATAGCGTTAAAGATGAGCAGAAGCATCGACAAACTGGAATCGACATCATACAAGGGTATACGAAACCTGCAACAATGAAATCGTGCGAAAATATAAGTCATGTTGTCATGAAAGCAGGTGGCCTGTGGTGAAGGTGCTGCTGGGCTAACTGTGCGCGCCAGCCTGCGAGATTGTTGATCGAATTCAAGAGTTCTCCACGACGAAGGGGCTCTGCAAAATATAAGTATGCGTGAGACCCGGACAATGCATGGGTAAATGAAGTACATACTGGTGATATGATCGTCCATACCTGCCTGCAGGCATCGCTCGCGATCACCGATCACTGAAAACGTAAGTGAGCAAGTACCATCCCTGAACCTCAAGATTATAACGTACTGGCATGAGCAGTAAGGGCGATGATAGGAGTCGGTAGGAGTCCTTCATGTATCTCATACGCTCGGATAAGCTGAGTCGCCTCCATTCCTCCCATGAAAGGCATCGATACATCCATCTTGGGGAGATAATAATTTACCACTGTGAGCCGCTGAGTGAAAAAGTGACTCACCAAGATAATATCAAATGGCTTGTTCACTTGTACTCGTGCCTTGAAAGCTTCGACAGCCAGACTTCCATTCTCTGTGATCTCGACAGTGTGACCATACTTCTCCAGAATCTTGACTGCTAGTGCCTGGCTAACCGTATTATCCTCGGCAAGCAGGATGTCAAAGACAACACCATTTGGCGCCGAGACAGGTGAAACAGTATTCGGCTCCAGGGCGGAAATGAGGGCAGAAGTAAGGTCTTGAGCTGTGACCATCAGCCCTATATCACCAGAGCACATATGTCCTCGTACTACTCACGATTCAGACGTGGCATCGAAGGCGCCAATACTACGATGGGAATGGATCGCAGGTGTTCATATTCCCTGATGTTTTCGGTTTATAATCTCCAGCGTACTTGGGGAATGTGCGGTGTGATCGTGAAGAACTTCTCTTCGAGACCTCGCTCTCGAGTCTCGACCCACAATTACATCGCTATTATTTATTTGTTTTGTTCTTTCTCAAAATATCGCTACTGACAACATATTTGCAAACAGCTGTAAATTGGGAACAACACACGCAAATAGAAGCGCACAATCCCGGCTTCACCCTTACTCTAACATACCGACGCAGCAAATCGGTCCTTGGCAAAACAGTGTATTGTTCAACGTTCAACCCTACACAGAGCTCTGATCGACTCGGCAATGACATTAATGAACTACATATCCGTATCGCCGCAAGTCCCTGACTTCGATTGGTTCACAATGATGCTTTTGTCTCGATGTACGCAATATTATATATCATCAAGTCAAATGATTATTGGGCCACCTCGTTTATGGACATTTGCATTGCGTAGGCTATTCTAGCTTGCTTCACAGACCTGGCATCTGGTAGTGGATAATAGCACCCTGCGGCGTCATGCTCACTGTCTCATGATACTGTTGACCGGTCCATCTATTCTATCGTCCGTCTCAGGCTGGATACATGCTTGGCTTCATGCACCTGTACTTTGCATTTCTTAGACCCATTCAACTGAAAAGTTCACAGATCTGTAATTTGACTACCAGGCCCGCGTGCTTGCAAATCGGTGTTTCCTCGACAATGCAAAACATTCCCATGTGAAGGTGGTTGGCAATTCTACGTTGATTTTTGCGATGCTCAACAATATACGGCTTTAAATACCAATCTCATCTGTTGACAGGTTCACTAGTACTGATGCATGATGGCCCGCCGTATGACCTTGGGCATACCAGAAAATAGCACATCTGTCACGAAGCACGATTGGAGTCTCGTTGGACCCATCAAGAGAGTTCCACGAGCTAGTCTTCGAGGCCAACGTTAGACGAACAGATTCAACCGGCGCAGTGCGTTCCATCTTCGTATGACCTCTCAATATTCATCATCATCAACAAACACCGCTCGTTTCGATAGCCTGTCGAATTCAAGCCTAGTGGACTACGAGCAAGACTAGACACGGTCAATGATCTTTAGATAAATTCAAACATCCACATTGCTCAGCGGTATGATCATCTCTCCAAAAACAATTGTACTGATTGGCTCTGAACTAGGTATTACACCATCAACGTCAACTATGATGCCAAAGCCAAAGCAGAAAAATGACTCACTGTCGCGACGTGCCGCTCGGGCTGCCGGCTCAATCTTCAAGCGGGTAGCCGCATCGATAATCGGCGGGTCCACCGATCTAAGGCGCGCAGGTGAGTCATATGGTTGAATCCTGGCTACATAGCGATCTGCTCATACTCACGTCAAAATTTTTACACATCATCGGAGGGCAGCAATCATATGTTGTGCAAGTTTGACCCGCGTGGAGGCATGCACTGACAGACACAGATGCTGTCAAAGCAGTAACAATGGCGAGGACGGATAGACGCATTTTCTGTGCGAGGTGATATATGATCTCCTGAGGGGATTCTCGAATGATATCTCTGACAATGAGGACACACTGTAGGACGATAACCAACTTTTATACCTTATCGGCACGGTTCTGATCGATTTGGAAGAATATGAACGTGTAGGAGCGTATTCAGTTGATTACGACCATTGTGGAATAACCTGCTGGTAACATTGAAACCCTCCAGTCATCGTTTCATCATTTGAACCCGCAGTGCCAGCACAGCAACAAAGCTGAAAAGTTACTGCTCATTCTCGTCCACACTTTTCTGATTTGTGCTCGGTCGATATATCATGCCATTATTCTCACTCGTTGCTTCCTTATATGTAATACCCGCAATTGGCCTATACCATTAGTAGGCTGATGACCTTGCAACTGCTGGCAGGTCTGCTGGAAGAAACGTTTCGAATCACGAAACTCAGAGGGCATCTGGGAATTCGAATTTCCGGGTCCCATACGCGCTAGCGGACACACTCAGTAAGTCACGTAGAACAATACTAGATTGTCATGTATCTACCTAGCGGACACGCTAGGGTACATCAGTAAGGATTGAGTGCGGAAACAAGAGTGTCTACACACCTCAGTAAGTCACGTAGAACAATGCTGAGGTGTCATGCGAATGGCACGAACTATATACGACAAGGAGTGAGGTTAGGTAAGAGACCGGAGAAACGATGTGCGGAGAGAGTTCGTGCGGTGAAGAAGCAAGAAGCTGTCACAATAAGGTGTTGCATGTGGTGTCAATGCTGATAACGTCAAGAAGGTAATGCGATATCTAAAGGTAAAAGTCAAAAGTATCAAGAGCGTTAACACACCCCCTCAGCGAGACACCAAGCATAAACTCGCGACATGTTTGACGAAGAGTGGATGAGCGAGGGCTTTGGTGAGCACGTCCGCGATGTTACGATGAGATGGGAGCCAGTGAGGGAGGAAAACACCCTTTTCGATCCATTCGCGAATGGAGTGGTAGCGTATGTTGATGTGTTTGGAGCGGATATGGTTTTTAGCTTCTTTTGAGAGAGAAATAGCACCTGTATTGTCCATGTAAACGACGATGGGGAAGGATAGCGGGATATGAAGCTCTGTGACGAAAGATTTCAACGAAAGACCCTCCTGCAAGCCATGAATGACGGCCATGTATTCGGCCTCAGTCGAGGAGAGTGAGTAGGTGCTCTGTTTTTAGAGACGCGTGCGATCAGGCCACCTGCAAAGAACCATGCATACCCGGAGATGGACAACCTGTCTTCCACGGAGCTGGCCCAATCTGCATCGCAGTAGGCGTGCAGTCCCTCGTCCGCTGATCTAACACCCTCGAAATATGCACGAAGATTCAAGGTGCCACTGAGGTAACGGAGGAGACGTTTCGCTGCCGCGTAGTAGCGCGGTGTTGGTTGAGCGTTTCGTTGAGCAAGGGCATTGACGGCGAAAGCAATGTCTGCACGTACTATGACCTCTCAATATTTATCATCATCAACAAAGACCGCTCGTTTCGATAGCCCCTCGAATTCAAGCCTAGTGGACTACGAGCAAGACTAGACACGGTCAATGATCTTTAGATAAATTCAAACATCCACATCGCTCAGCGGTATGAACATCTCTCCAAAAACAATTGTACTGATTGGCTCTGAACTAGGTATCACACCATCAACGTTAACCATGATGCCAAAGCGAAAGCAGAAAAATGACTCACTGTCACGACGTGCCGCTCGGGCTGCCGGCTCAATCTTCAATATCAGTGCTTGATTACCAGCATATAAAATTAGCTTCATCGAGCTAAGGCGCGCAGGTGAGTCATATGGTTGAATCCTGGCTGCATAGCGACCTGCTCATACTCACGTCAGAGCCATAATTTCCACACTTAAATCCAGGGCAGCAATCAGAATCGTATATGCAAAGTGAAGCTGAGCCGACGCATGCGCTGACAGACATAGATGCTGTCAAAGCAGTAACAATTGCGAGGAAGGATAGACGCATTTTCTGTGCGAGGGGATTCCGAATGATATCTGACAATGAGGAAACACTGTAGGACGATAACCAGCTTTTATACCATACCTATACTTATCGGCAGGATTCTGATTGATTTGGCACAATCGGTATTGCTGTCAGACGAACGTGCAGAAGCGTATTCAGTTGATTACGACTATTATGGAATGACCTGCTGGCAACATCGACATTGGACAACCCCTCGGTCATCATTTCATCATTTGAACCCGCAATGGCCCGCAGTGCCAGCACAGCAACAAAGCTGAAAAGTTGCTCGTCCACACTTCCGGCTTGTGCTCTGTCGATATATTATGCCATTCTTCTCGCCTGTTGCTTCCTTATATGTAGTACCTGCAATCGGCCTATACCATTAGTAGGCTGATGACCTTGCAACTGCTGGCAGGTCTGCTGGAAGAAGGTATTCTGGCGTTGTACGATACGTACATTATTACATAGTGTTTTGTAGTCGTTTGTCTCCGGATTCCATGGTGTCCCCGCGTGCTCGCGAGGGGGCCCTTATTTGCTGGGCTGAATTCTCGCCGTCTGCGTCCTATCGAAACAAGCGAGGACGATTAGTTTAATTTACACAAGTGTGATTGGACGAATCTGTTCCACAGCAGACCTGTTTCTCCTTTCGGGTCTTCCCGTGTCTCGTTGTCTTGGGCCTTACCCTTTGCCCCTGCGGCTCTTGCCCTGTGCAATTCGGCATGACAAACACGCCGTTCGCAATCTTCATATTTACAGCCTGAGATGAATTCGAAATGGCTCTCTGCCTTTTCTCACTCGAGTTTCTCGTCTCGCTAGTATAGCGCACCCACCCTGTTCATCCCATCCGTACATAGTGTTTTAACTTTTGGAGTCGTTTGTCTCCGGAATCCATGGGGTCCTAGACTGGACAAGCTGGCGAAGCCGGAAAACGATAACTGGCTGATTGAGTCATCGCGAGTTGCTTGGGACGTTATTGTCTGTCAGAAATGTATGTCAGTCAGACGTGCATCAGAAACACCGGATATCGTGTGGATAGATACCTTGGACACAACCGACAGGACACCCCATGCTGCCTTGACGTATGGATGGATCTGCACTGCAAGGTAATCGACGCGATCGCTGCCTAATAAAATTCCATACCTCTGCAATCGTATCAACAAGAGAATTGAACTTGGGAAGTTTTCCAAGCAACGGGGTAATGTGGTCGACCGCAGCAACCAGGTCTCCTGCATCATTGATGCCCGACAGCACAGCTTTCACAAGCCCAGAAACGGATTTTAAACTAGAAACGGCACCTGGCAAGCTTCATTTGCCTCGTCCAAACCAGGTTTGTCGGTCACACTGGTTGCGGAGTCCTGATAACAACATATTCTCTGTTATGGACAGAGCAAAGAATGACTTTATTGGACGTACATTCGATTTGGCACCATGGGCTATCTGACCTTCGTGCGTCGATTGGTCTGTTGTGGGAAGCTTGTCGGACTGTCGTTGAGCATGCTGATCTGAGGTGGGGTTCTGCATGGAGATTAATCAAGTAAATTCAAGTGCTCCGCAGGACCGTTCACTCACGTTACGACTGCCATCGTAGGAGGGGTCATTGAGCGATACACTAGGATGGTCAGAGCTCATGTTCGGAAGCTCGTCGGCTACCTCTTCTGGTACCATGAGCTGTACAGAGTCCTGCTTCGTGAATTTGTTAAGAATACTGCAGTACACACACTCAGAAGACACTACCCACCTGTCTTACATCTGTCATGGGAGAAACGAGTTGGGAGGTGTTGGGGTGTCTAGCACGTCGAGTGAAAAGACCTTTGGCCTTGCTACGAAGAGAGGCGAAATATCATCTGCGGGATTAACTGGGCGGTGGTGGGAGATCAGAAGACTGCAGAGATATCAGATACGAAAGCGAAGGAATGGAAACAAGCGAACCTGGTGAGCTTCTGGATGAGTTTTTCTGAAACACGTGAAACACTTCTTGCGGCAGGAGTCATCTTGGGCCATAGTCCGTTCCTCGACCGATAGGATAGCCTATAGGGGCCACATAAACCTGGGACCAAAGTACTTGTGGGCTGGCTGGTACACACCTCTAGGACGTTATGATGTGGTGCAGTTCCAGAAATTAAAACAAAATTGAAAAGCAGTCGACACGCCTGCCGGTTCCGCATAAACCCTCTGAGGAAAGGTGGTTGATAGTCATGTAAGGGAGCTACACACCTCTACTATATAATTCAGAATTCGACTTGGAGATGCTAAAGTACATAGTAGAGTAGTGGTCAACGGGTTTAAGAGGGTTCAAGTTGATGTTCAGGTTAAAAACATTCATGCCTGCAGACTGCAACACGTTTATGGCGTGTGCAGCAGCTGGTGTGTGCACGGTCATATAAATATTAGCGCTAGTGCTCGTACCACTTCCACCGTAGATTCAGATTGGCAAAGCGGGTGCACAAGCTATGCATGTGAGTTGTCCTTCACTTGGTGGTATAGATTGCACTACCAACCATATCCAATGTGTCACGGTCTGGGATACTATCGATCCGGGATCTTCAGACTCAGGTGTCTTTCGAGTCCAGTGCAAGGTAATGAGCAGTCTTTCCTTCAAGTATTATGGACGGTGAGTTCCCTCGTTAGTGAAAAATGACCATGCAACTCACGTCTTTCCTCTAGCCCACTGGAACTCTCGGTCAACACATAAAGTCCACCGAGCTGGATGAAATTGCCGTGCAGATCACCGAACTTGTTTGCTCGGAACGTGAAGCCAAATGATAGGCATGTCATCAACGACTCTGGTGAGTGTTGAGGCTTCGTAGCAGGTTGGCCAATGCCCGACCATATTCAGTGCATTAGTGATGCGCAACCCCGTAACCAGTACCAGTGAACTAACAGTGTCCGACATCCCTGACTGGGCCTATGCTGCATTCGGGCTCCAATTTATCTCGGATTCAAGGGCAGGGAGAGGAGAGCGGAGATGTTGGTTTAAGGGGGAGACGCATCCGCTTGTTGTGATTGAGGCGGCGACTCGGGTTTCGTGGGAGGCTGGGAGGGATCGGTTTAAGAAGCTGGGGAAAAAGCCAGCTGAGTGATGGGAATATGCGGGCACGAATACTGATGTGGAGGATCTGAATACTTACTGCTATTATGTGAGCAGCGTGTGGGATACGGGACGTGAGCGCTTGAGCAAGGAGGCTGGAAAGCTCTTTGCGGATTCGCCCCGTTCCGTATATAGCTATGATACTTCGTACCGATTGCATTACTATATTCGTCCATCCTTGAAATGTTTTCTGTCTTCCATCTCACTCGAGCGTCTGAGCAAGCTGATGTGTCGGCTCCTGGGGGGATGTAGACACTGGAGTTTCTCGCAAGTGAAATCAAACATCAGATTGTCATGGAAGCCATAATGTGGCCCTCGTCAATCGCCTAGTTCATTCGACACCGCATTCACAAAGCATCTTCATTTCTCGGACAACAAGACAGCGTGATCATGACAACACTCCTTCATGCCCTACTCCACGTACCATGCAAATCAGTTCCATGCACTGGCGAAAACAAGCATATCAGCAACTCGAACTCAGAAGACAACTGAGAAAAGACACGCTCACCCAGGCACTATGGCGTTACCAAAGCAAATCATTGTGAACACGTGGGCAGGTTCAACCCACCGCCATCATCATACAATCGACAGCAGCCTTTGCACGTACATGGAAACCAGCGCGTGATGTGGCCGTTAGCTCCGCAGAGATACCCGAAATCGTTGTCGTTGTTGAAACTTTTAACGCCCTTTGAGCACCCCCCTTTATAGGTGGATGGCCATAAGTACGTGGTATAAGGTGTGCACATAGGCTGTAAAAGCGCTCACCTTGATAAGGCTCGCAGGATAAATCCGGCCCAGCAGATGCGATGACTACGCTAACCATCGCTGTGGTAAAGACGATAACGGCGGTGAGTGAAGTGAATTTCATAGCTGAAATTTGAAATTTGAAACTTGCTGGTGTTTTTTGAGTGATGTACATTGGATTTTATAGGGCGCAGCCAAACGATTCGCATGTGCCAGCTCGTGCGCCGCGACATGAGGGCTCAAATAATGTGCCGGGCACATTCCACGAGTCCTTTAATCAATTGGTGCGGTTTGGCGAACGTCGGTCTGTGATGATTTAATCATCCAATTCACATACGCAAAGATGCGGCAGATGAGCTCACCAACCATAAATACATAAACACTTGATAAAGCGATACTCGAGGGAGGTTCCCACTGGCAGGCTCCAAGCTAGGTCCAGGTTCCGAAGCCGGAAACTGATATTTCCCAGGAGAAAGCAACCTAGGTTCCGACTCCGACTCGGAGCGCTACCAGCTATAGGCTATATATACCGATCATATCAGCTTTTCAATTGTGGTGATCACACTGTCTGAACATTCGCTGCCTGCAACAGCCGCCTCGCGTTATTTCCATGTGCTTGGTAAAGCTATGGAATCCCCGACACGATAAAACAGTTTCACTCATGAATTTCGAAAAGTCCCTTGATCCCCACCATATCGGAAACGTACTATTATACGAGTTAAGCGTCCATGTACAACATTATAGCGCAATTATCAACTCTAGTAATCCATATGCACAACACACGATGCACATCCTCAACGTCGCAACAACACTCAACACTCACTCAGAAACATCCTCCCCCATAATCTTCGCCACCAAGTCGTTCCCCTCATGCACAGGTGCCTCATACACAGCGAAAGCCGCACGCTTCCCAGCCCCACTCTCCTCACTCTTCCATCCCTTCTTCCTATCCGTGAACACAGCCCCACTCCGATCAAGCAACATATTGAGGTCCTCATCCGACAACACCCGTTTCTTACCCTCCACGGACGTATTCGTCACCACGTCCATCTGCTCGCCTTCTAGCTTTAAGAGATCAGCTGCGAGTTCTGTCATGGATTGCGGGTTTGATTTAGGTGCTCCTTGTCCGGGTAGCTTGAATTTGCCTGCGATGGAACATGTGAGTGACAGAGCGACACGAGTTGAAGTAGACCAACCCTTAGCTATAACAAGCGCCTCAAGCTTCCTCTTCTCAGTCGCACGATGCATGATCCTCGTCTCAATAGTATGCGCCGTAACAAGTCGGAACACTAAAACAGGTTTCGTCTGACCAATACGATGTGCTCGATCCTGAGCTTGGATATCCATCTGCGGGTTCCAGTCTTGATCATAGAATATCACCGTATCAGCCGCTGTTAAATTGATGCCTAGGCCCCCTGCGCGAGTGCTAAGGAGGAACAACTTCGGAGCGTTGGGAGAGTTGCCTCCTTTCTGGAACTTGTTCATCTGCTCGCGGCGGTCCATAGGTGCTGTTGACCCGTCAATACGACATATCGGCCAGCCTTTCAGCTCGGTCGCCCAGTCCTGTAACAAGGGATTGAGCACAATGACACAGGTGAAAAAGATGGACGGACCTCAAGGACGTCTAACATGGTGGTGAATTGACTGAACAGCAAAACTTTGTGTTTCCTGCGGAACAGTTCGTCTAGTAGGCGATCGAGGACCATCATCTTTCCGCTCGCATTTACCAATTGTTCGTCGAGCACGAGCTCCTGAGTACCTGGGACGACAGGCCAGTGGAACAAAAACGGATGGGAGCAGACTTTGCGTAGCTGCATGACAACGTTCTGAAGCTTCATGTTGTTGATCTGCTTCCCTAGATTCAACCGTCAGTCAGATAAAAGTCAAAAAAACACAAAAAAACACCAACGAGTCGCAAGTTGCTGATGCTGTTTCGCTAGCTCAGAGACATCCTCCTTTGGCTCCTTAACCTTGGCCCCTGCACTGTCTTCGAGCATCTCAAAGTACTCGTCATCGTTGCCATCAAGGTCGTATCGTGTCTTTTTCTGCTTCCGGAGCTTCATCGGCCCGTCCAGGTCGATCTCAGCGACCTTCTCGACTGCTGCTTTTTTGGACATGCCAAGAAGGAAGTCTCGTAACGACCCGTCCAGGATATTATCGTACAAATCACGCTGACCCACACTGAGCGGGGCGTACAGAACATATTCCTTCTTGGGTGGGAGGAGGCCTTCGACATCTGCCTTGAGTCGTCGAAGGAGGAAAGGCTTCAAGATGCCGTGAAGGGTGCCAATCATTTGAGATGATTGGTCTTCAGAGAGGCGAGATTGCATGGTTCCAAGATTGAACCTTAATTTGCTATTAGCTTAAACATCATTATTGCGAGAAAAACAAAGACGAACCATTCCTGGAACGTATCCAAGTCGTCAAAAATATCAGGTAGTATAAAGTTCAACAGTGACCACAACTCTGCCAGATTATTCTGTAGAGCGTGAGCAAGAACAATGTTGGCATGCTGAACAGAACTTACATGTAATGGTGTTCCAGTCAGAATCATCCGACCTGCGCTCGGGTATTTCTTGATCTCCTGCATGAGCTTGCAGTCAAGGTTTTTCAATCTGTGCCCCTCATCTACAACGATATAGCCCCAATTATAAGTGGCAAGGTGTACACGGTCTTTAAGAATCATTTCGTAGGTGGTGACAACAACCGGGAAAGAAGCATGGGTCTGCGGGGGGAGGGTATCGCTAGTAGTGGGTATACGGTTGTCTTCAACATCTGAGGCATCTTCATCGTCATCGTCTGCCTGTAAACCATCGTCCTCATCGACGTCCGTCTTACGTCTCTTAGTAGGTCTGCCTTTTGTTTTACGCTTCGGCGCAGAGGCTTTACGGGCAGGCGCTTTCTTGCTCTTGCCCTTCCGATTGCGTGGCGTCTTGACCATAACTTCGTCATCAGCCGCTTCTTGAGCGTCCGGTGCTCGCATGACAGTCCGGCGAAGATCAGCACGCTCAGCTGGCGTGCCGTGGTACATGCAAACGGGTATCTAAAGATGGTCCGATATTAAAAAGACGAGATGGACGGGTAGAAGACTCACAGTCGGCGCAAATTTCTGAAACTCCTCTATCCAATTATGAAGGACGCTCAAGGGGCAAACGATAAGGAAAGGTTGATAATGACCGAGGCCACGTAGGTGTGCATTGAATGCAATCGTCTGCAGGGTCTGAGGGCATCTGTTAAATACGATTCAAAAGCAAAATTAGTTATATTACCTTGCCTAGACCCATCTCATCCGCTGCACTGTATTTGAGAAAATGGAACGCGACGATTAGAGGTCAAGGGCTTACCAAGGATACCAGAAACGCCGTTCTTATCCAAACTAACCATCCACTCTACTCCTTCTAATTGATAATCCTTCAACGTTGCACCCGTGACTAATGCAGGCTGAGGGAACTTCGGGCGCTGCCCATTCTCCCCCTCAACTACAGGAGGTTCCTGAATCTGTGGTTTCACAGGAGGCGCCTCCTCCTCATCTGACTCCTCTACACGCGAGCGTTTCTTGCCACGCCTCGGAAGGCGCCTTCTTGAAGACTCTGGTTTCGAGGGTGCAGCAGCTTGCATGGCAGCTCGGAGTGCACATGCACGCTTTTCCTTATCCATCTGCGCTCCTAAAAGTTTGGAATATGTAAAAGACTTCTCGAGGAGGCGTTCGAGGCGAGAGAAGCGTTCTTGAAATGCCTAAAATAGATGTGTCAGGACGCGTTCAAATGAGTGATAGGGCACTTCTACTTCGTCTTCTATTGTTTCTAATATCTCTGAGGACTGTCGCGCAAGGTTTTTAGTACAGAGAACGAATGATACACTGGATGCTGAGTTTGACCGACCTCGCGTGTGCTCTTTTGTGCTTTTCCTTCTTCACTGGGGGGAGGTGATGAGGCAGCTGTACTTGCTGGAGCCGACGACATTGCAAACGGTACGGGTGATGATGAAGACGGACTCGAAGACATTGTCGGCTGCTAAATAATATGGGAAAGGGTGAAATGTGAACGGTGGATAGTTCTCTTGGATCAGTTGTTGGACCGCGACCAATAATAATAAATATTGTTGTGGTCTTGGATTACATCATCAACGCGACACAGCCGGCCCTAAACCAGTTCGCGTCGAGTTAGCTGAGCTCGATTTCTCAATTCATCGCTTGTTACTTATACCCCTCGACATAGTTAGCCTTTCCCATCCCTCTTGCTTGATATCACGGCCAGCCTGGGAAACACAAAGGACGATGAAGATAATACGGCCAGGAACCCAACCCTTGGCCTAATGTGTTGTTGCACCGTGCCGGCGGGTATGCTGCGAGTGTCAGGAAATTGGCGTCAAATACGCACAAGGCTTGTAAGGTATGGATGCGTTTGTACTGCAAGAAGCAGTGTGTGGTTGTCATGTTCATCATCGATGTTCATCGAGGCGGTGGACGGACAGTAGCCTCTCTCCCGGCGGAATCAAGATTGCAAGTGGGTCAGATAATCAGACGGTTCGCATCTGGAACGCATCGACCGCGGTAAGCAGCAAATCCAACCACTTTCTCATGGCGAAGCAGTGCGCTCGATAGTCTGCTCTCCAGATAGTCGTCGTCTCATTTCTGCCTGTAATGAAATCTACTTCTGGGGTGCACCGACTGGTGTCTAGCTGGGATCCCCCACTGTGTGCATATCCGACGTTATTAACTTGCTGGCTATCTCACCTGATGGTGAATTGATAGCCAGTGCATCTAGGAATTACACCACGAGGCTGTTGAGCACCTCTACCCGCAAACATTTTGGTCGTGTGCTCCAGCATACTTCTGGGGTAAGCACAGTAGCCTTCTCGTCGGACATTTACAGGTGGCCGGGGACACAGATTCTCCTCCGAAGTCATTCTAACAGTGATTTCCTATCCTCAATAACCTCGCCGTGTCTTTAAACTCCAACTCATGAGAACTGCCGCGCGTTGGCAGCATATTGTAAGCAGCCCCTTCGCTCTCTGTGTTCCTTATGAACTTGTTTTAACTGACCTCTAGGCATCGGAAGCATCTCAACCTGGAACCACAAGTAGACCTCGGTGATGCCCAGCATGCTTCGCGGTTGTAGGCCAATGGTTACTGGCTTCATGTCTCGTCTCGTCTTGTCCGACGTGACCCACAAGAGCCCATCAGGTAATGGAATCATGATATACAGTATAAATAGTCTCATTACCAACGGACTAGCGCAGGCGTCATGGTACGAATTGATCTGAATCGGTCGCCTCCATACGTGGGGTAGCATATGCATAACATACTAAGTAGAGCGCGGCTGGGCAACAATCCGCGAGAACATCGACCTCCAAGCTAGAACCTCCGCTTCTTGTCGTGCTTGGGTTGTTATTAACATCGGCTGGATTGCTTGGCGTGTTGTTTCCAACGCTGCGAGCCTCTCCTGCTCTCTCCTTTGCATGGCATCTACCATCTTGTTCTTCATCCCCTCACGGTCTTCATCCTCCTGCTTCTTTGCCTGATCTTTTTGTCTGTCGTTTCTCTCTCGAATGTCCGATTTGACACCATCCTCCTCTAATACTTTGATTCTACGCCCAAAGATGCGTCCGTATGTGCCTTGACGATCAGCATGTTTACCGGCTATTTTGGATAGTTCGGTCTTGCCTTCCACCCGCTTGAGAAAGTTGGTGCAGAACCAGTAGCATTGCCGTCGAAACAGTTCATAATACCACGCTTGATTTTCAACCTGTTCGAATATTTGGCAGGCTGCGAGAAAGCTAAGTTTTTTCAGGCTAGGCGAGCCAAGATTTAGACTGGCTAGGTGGTCGTAATTATCTGCCTTGAAATTCTCCCGAAGTCTGCTGATCGTGTCGTCGCTAGGAGAGGTTAACAAGAAACCTAGCTTCGAGATACAGAGGGCTAGCTTCGACGATGGCTCAAACTTTTTCTGTTCATCGGGCTTTCGTCTGGATGGCCTACGTTCTGCACACAAGTGAAAGAGCGGGCGGTTAGTGCCGCAATCGAAGACACTAAGAATGACGAATTCGTGTCCTGTTTGTGTTATGTATGGTATACATATATACCAGGTGATTAAGATACTTACCCACTTTGTTCCTTTCTTTGAAGTGAATTATGTCGACAACCCAATATTTCTCATACTGTTTGGGTGACTTCGCAACATCTGCGCACAAGATGGGTATGGGAAGTAGCTCTTGGAAATTCGGGTCTGTCAAGAGTAGCATACTGGCCATTTCCCTAGTTCAGACTGCAGAAGTAACAGCGGGCCACAGACAAGGCGAGTTTGGGAACCACCAATGTACCATTCGCATCATACATCTGCCTTCAAATCACAGGCTCACAGCTTTCCCTGGGCTGTACACCATTTCGGTATGTATTGCATACTGCTGTATTTAATTTATCAGAAGGGTTCTCCCCTCTGCCCAGCTCATAACGCTCTATCTCCCAATCGGAAGATGCCTCGTGTGATGCAGTACTTACTATAACTAAGTGGGCCACTATGATCGTGCGACTACCCGCGCGCTAACTTCTATTATCCATATTCCAGAATGCACGACGCCGTAAGGCAGTCGACCATTCACCAAGATCACGCCAGTCCTGTATCGGCATCAGCTGCGATAACAAAATATGTAATTTGTGATTGAGAAGTCCCTCGAGGCAAGCCTTGCCTCCCCACAACCTTGGCAAGCTACCCTTTTAAACCGGTTTGGTACGTAACGGATATATACGATGTCGCACAACGATTGACTATTCAAGCTAACAAGTTGCAATCCGTTTTGCCTTGATCAAACGGTCACTCTCTCACTCCCATTGTTACTCTAGTGTACGCAGATCACAATAAACAAGTATTACATTGTCCCTCATTAGTCTCTAGCGATTTGTTCATGGCAGTGTAGCGATATCTAGATTATCGACGGCGCTGCTCCATAGGTTGCATAAACATAAAGCAAAAGTAGGTTCAGGCACATATGCAAACTACGCCGGCTAGGATCTCTGGCTGGAGCGAATGTCCAAGCCAAGCCCATCGTCCTTGACACGAACCAGCACAATTTCGTCATTACGTACGCTTTTCTGCAGGATGGCACGTGCAAGTGGGTTGAGCAATTCTCCCTGGATGACCCTCGTGAGCAGACGGGCACCGTATTCCCTTGAAATGCCCCGATCAATGAGCCATTTCTTTGCAGCCCGATCGAGGTCTAGCGTCATTTTCTTGAGGCCATCCCGCTGTCGTAAGTCTCCCAAATGCTTATCCAAAACTTTGTTCATCATATCAGCCGACATGGTCCTCTGTGATAGGCATGCATGAGTACGATCAGCGGTGTAACGCGGTGTAGTGGTTGCGCGAGTGCTTACAAACATAACGACTTCATCGACTCGGTTGAGGAATTCGGGAGAAAATCTGGCCTCTTTAAAACGTTGCATGACAGCTTGCCTGATGTGATCGGATATCTTCCCACTTTCCTTGCTCAAAATGTCTGCACCAACGTTGGATGTCATGATAATTGCTGTATTACTGCGAATCCGAGTAAGCAGTGATATCAGACCGTGGTATATCAGCCAGGACTCACCGGAAATCCACCAGCCGTCCCTGTCCATCCGTCAAGCGTCCATCGTCCATGACTTGCAAAAACAATGTCAAGAACTCTGTGCAAGTTTTCTCGATCCTGAAGGCATATGTAAAGCGGTACAAACAAATCATTGAATGAGTCTTACTCATCTAGCAAGATAATGCAATACGGCGTCCGTCGAACATACTCTGTAAGCTGTCCGCCTTGATCATAGCCCACATATCCTGGAGGGGCACCAATCTGCGTACGTCAGCATGCGTTCCTGCGTCATCGACACCCCGCAAGGGAATATTTACCAGTCGCGAAACGGAGTGACTTTGAGAATATTCGCTGCCATCAATGCGGATCATTGCCGTAGACTGTCCAAACAGTTCCTCTGCGAGCTGAAGATTATTAGTAAGTTTTGGATTTATCATATGGATCGTCAGCTTACAGCCTTCGACAGTAATGTCTTCCCAGTACCAGATGGTCCGGTAAAGAGCAGGCAGGCATTTGGTCGGTTGGCGTTGCCCAGTCCAGTGCGAGATAGCTGGATAGCGTTCACTACGGCATTGATGGCTTCCGGTTGCCCGATGACCTGGATAGACGTACATAGTCGTAAGTCGAGTTTCCGCTCTCGCATGCAGAATAGGGTTTAGCGAACCTTTTTCTCCAGAGTACTTTGAAGATGCAGGAGACGCTCTTTATCCGTGTCCAGTAACTGTCGCACTGGGATTTTCGTTGCCTTCTCTACAATAACAGCTATGCTTTCTGGCGTGATGATATCCGGAGATGAGACAGTGCGCCGGTTTTTGGCCAAGAGGGACACAAATTGAGGGTCCATAATTTCGGAGTCTCCCGAACCTTTTTGGACCGGACCTTTCTGCTCCGTTCGAACAAGGCTATCTCGTAGTCGTTTCATTTCATCTTCCAGCCGGGAAATCTTCTTCGAATCTATCGAAGGTTGGCTATAGCAAATTAATGAATCGCGTGCAGCGTTTGTCACTAGTGGATAAACCAACCTTCTCGCTGTGTTCAACTCCAACCTCTTCTTTTGAATGCCGTCACGATAGCTCGCGATCAATTTCCACCATTCTGTCACTGCACTCTGTTCACGTTCCAGAAATCTCAACTTCGCTTGGAGTTGCTGCATAGCTTTTTTGGCCTCGTTCAGTGCATTGTCGTCACCAGGATGGTTATCGCGCTATGGAAAAGAAGATTAAGCGTCCATCGAGGCTCACATCCGCTGGACGTAAAAAGAGACAATGTACCTCGAGGGACCGAATGTAATGCTCCTGCTGGACCATACCTTGTTCAAGTTCCTCTATGGTCTCTGGCTTTAAATCTTGTTGTACTCTTGCAGAAGCACAGGCCTCGTCCATGAGGTCAAATGCCGAGTCAGGTAATCTATACTAGAGAAATTGATAGCGGTTCTGATATCACAATGTGGACAAATACCTCCTTGCAGTGAGATACCTGTGAGCGAGTTCGACTGCAGTAACTATTGCTTGATCCATGATCCAAACACGGTGGTGATGCTCGTACCGCTCCCGAGAGCCACGTAGAATAGTTTTGGCTTGATCTATTGTTGGCTCGTTAACAATGACCTATGAAGCACGTTATCAACCTATCTCTACCCAACAGGGCAATACAAACCTGAGCAAACCGGCGTGTAAGCGCGCCATCTTTCTCGATATGCTCCCGATACTCTGCTAGCGTCGTGGCTCCTATACACCGGAATTGACCACGCGCAAGCTCAGGCTTCAGTAGGTTTGCTGCATCCCTGTGAATGCAAATGAGCTTCGATGTGTCACAACGATACAATGACAAGACGTACATCCCAGCTTGGCTGCCCTGTCCCTTTCCAACAGATATAAGGTGGAGCTCGTCGATAAATAAAATAGCTGGGGACTGGCTTTCTTGACTGCGTTTCACGTCTTTGAAAACAAATATAAACGAAGATAAAATGCGTATAAAAGCGAAGCATACCATCAATGACACCTTTGACACGCTAATGCAATTATAAGGGTACATCAGTGCGGGAAGATAAAAGAGCATTTCAACGTATCTCTTACCTCCTCATATTCACCCTTTCCTGCTCCCGCAAAAAGCGCGCCCAAGTCTAGATTGTAGAGTGTGCCCTTCAGATTTTGTGGGACCTGATTTGCAGCCATTCTATGGGCGAGACCCTCAGCGACCGCTGTCTTTCCGACTCCTGGTTCACCTGGAGATCTTTCAATACTAGAAACAACAAACATCGTGCAAACAACCCAAACCTAACAGAACAACAGAATTCTTGGTTCTGGTCGAGATGATCAATAAACGGATACAGATCAGATGAGCAATTGTGGATGCTAACCGACGGCACAGGATCTGGATAGAACGACGAATCTCCTCGTCCTGCAATTAAGGTAAATCTTACATTTCCACTAAAACAACAGAAGTGTGGCGCATGAAAACTTGAAGGGACATACCCTTCCGATAGTGTCATCATATTTGCTTTCGCGCGCCAATGCCAACATATCAGTTGCGTACCTATGTCAGCGAGGAGAAATCAAATTTTGCCAAACGGTCCCTGGAGGAACTAAACTTACCGAGTAAGGTACTTAAAGCCATCGTCATCCTTCGTAGTGACCTTGGAACCTTTTAAATCTTTCAATGATCTGACTACATCGTCTGTCGAAATGTCATGATCTTTGGCAAGTATCGTCGCAATCTCCGGGGATGCCACGACCTGCAATGCTTAGATGATACGGATTGGCGTATAAATCTTGCTGTTGGATCGTGATCAGTTAGCTGGTTGTATCATGTAGGTTGATGCTGACCATTTCCCTTCATCACTGCTTGGGCACGCTGAAAAACCTCGATCAGAGCTTGACTAGGCCCAGGGGTAGGAGTGCCTATAGTGTCAACTATGTCAATCCTCGTCCATTTTTGAAAGAATACTGAGCTCACGGGTCGGCACAGGAACATTCAAGTTAGCCTGAGAATGCACCCTGTCAATGCCTTTGGATTGAGGAGCTCGTTTTTGGCGACGCCAAAAGGCCCCATTCTGGAAAGATTCCAGTAAGCAGAAAGGTAGGAAAGGCGAGTCTGATAACTGACTGAGCCTACATGTGCAACCGGAACCGTTTCGGCAGCCTCTGTATTGCCCAAACGGCTACCCGGGCGGGACCGTGGGAGTTCCGAAGATACAACTTGCAGTAGAGTTGTTCTGATGCTTTTCGCAACATTAAGCTGGTCCGAGTCTCAGTTCAGCTTTGTCAAATCAAATGGGATATCTCACAGGCTCAATCTCGAGTTCTTTCAAGACACCCCATAGGTGAGAAGGGTGCACCGGCGAGCATTGATCCAAATGGTCTATGTCAACAGAAACCCCGCACAGGGCAACGAGCATCATGTGCATGGGCGTGACTGATATGAAGAGCCGGGTCAGATGATGCCCCCAAGGTGAACCTTGACTAACCTTCGTTCTGATGCAATTTGACGGCGATGTCAGTAGATTTTTGCAACATCTCGTTGGCTCGTGCTGTGAACTTGAAGGTATCATGATTATCTTCGTTTTGTAACATGATCACAACCAAGGCAAGAGATGTCGAACATTCTTCGACCGATACATCCTTTTGTAGTGACGCGGCCTACTCGAATCTCTGACATAATGGAATGTGTACTAAGTTCAAACTTGACATGCCCCTTCTCGGCAGATCAAGCACCGGCATCAACGGGCTGTGGTCATGCTGAAAGCGCGCGTTCCAATGACGCCCATTGTTTCCATCAGAGTTTCGATCTTGTCCGATAAGACTCTGGGGCTTAGGGCATGCACGCAATAGTGGTCATTGAACTTTCATTCCTGCATCAGCCATCCTGGAATTCTCCGGAGCGGTGAGCCTTGAGGGTGCCATGAGGCCTGGAACTTTCGGCAACTTGCATTTGAATTCCTCGTGCAGTGGTGCTTTGCGGCCCCTAGAAAGGCAAACACACGGATAGATTCTTGGTAACTTGCTTTTCGGCATTTTGTCTGTGTTCAACGCGTCTGCTGTGCACCAGAGCGGTTTCCTTTGACTTTCTCATCCAATGCAGCTTTTCGTGAACAACCCTTTCGGCACGACCGTCACTGTTGAGTTGTCCCCACAGGACACTGCTGATTCTCTCAAGAGCAGGATTCTTGGGACCACCAGGCAAGTCTCTGTTGATAATCTCCCTCCCTGTCTCATTGTTCCATGGATATGAAGCTCGTCAGATTTCAATACTGCAGATGTGCGGTTGACCTTTGCTGGCCACGATCTGCCTGATCGCGCAACGTTTGCGAGCGCGAATGTCTCCAACGGGTGCACGCTGAGTTTTGGTGCGCCCAGGATCGGATCTGAAAAAAGGTTCTTGCCTAACAGTATCATTACTCGTGTTTCAGACTTTCGCCTGAGGGGCGGAATGCTTCCACAGCCATGTCCATTGCCCACCCCTCAGGAATCGGACGACAGAGTTGCTCCTCGTCAGATGGAAAGGGATATAATTAATATGACGGTTCCAGGACAGATCATGATCTCAATCCGGACGATACATGACCAAAAACTTGATATCTTTGCGTCACCCAGCAGCTCCGTTTTGTTCCTCAAACAGAAAATATCGGAGAGTATTGAAGTGGACGCTGAACATCAGCGTTTGCTGTTTTCTGGGAGAGTTCTCCAAGACGACAGTACCCTTGAAGATTATGGTGTTGCAAATGGGAGCGTAATGCAGCTGTGTACGCTTCTCTTCCTGTCTCCAGCCCTGTTGACCTTATGATCAATCGGAATGTCTGTAGCTATCCCGCCCGGCCTTAAGATTGCTGTGAAGACGGAGCCTCAAAGACGAAGACGAGGACAAGAATCAGAGGTGCAGATATTTGTCAAGAATCTGAATGGCAAGACGATGGCCCTGATGATATCGCCGACGGACACGGTAGAAAATCTGATGAAGAAGATCCAGGAGAGGACGGACATTCCACCTTCTGAGCAGCGCATCCTATTCGGTGGGAAACAACTCGTGCCCGATAGGATTTTAGCGGACTACAATATTTCGAAGGAGAGTACGTTGCATCTTGGTGAGTAAATGGTTTCGCCACGATTTTTTGGTCTTCGTTAACCCAGTCTGTTCAGTACTTCGTTTACGGGGAGGATTGTGAGGCTAAAGATCGACGTGCAGCATTATGTTTTGGTTTCCAATTGATCCTCTAGTACGATATGCAGACACTGATGCAGATGTGTAGTGTATGATTATGCCATGGCCATGTAAGCACTCAGGTATTTAACGCTGCTGTAACAAGGTGAAATCGAACGACCAAGATTATGGTCTTAGTTCCCGATATTCAAGAAAATACTTGCCGGTAATGCTCATTCTCTGATCATGCGAAGAACCTGACCCTGCCCGGCCAGAGTGAAGTCACGGTGACGAGATGTGAATTGAGGTTACTGTTTTGGTTGTATATGTATACGCGTTTAGCAATATGATATTGTAGTACGGTGCTAAAGGGACTGTCGGCAACAGTCGAAAGCACTCAATGATTTACATTGGCAGTAGAGGACATTTGAAGACTGACGATGACATACAAGATTACATGATACGAGTGCCTAGAACTATTATAGTCACTTCGCCCTCTTTACGGAAAGAGTCTACGAAGACTTGAAAATGCTGTCAAGAAGTTGAGGCAACACGAAATAGTTGAAATAAAGGTTATTGCCTCACCGTTGGCAAAAAATTGGCGCTTCGGCCTTCTCCGAGTTGGGCGCAAAGAGCTTTGGCTTGAGGCTGATGGCCAAACAGGTGGGAACGGCAATGAGTCCTGTGATTGACTATTGTGGATGGTCCGGGAGGGTGACGGTGATAGTCTGCCCATAGATTGCTCCATAGGAGTTTCGGAGCGTGTCAACACACGTGAATGACTCTTGTGGATGGTCATGGAGGGTGATAATCTACCCATAGATTGCTCCATAGGAATTCCGGGGCGTTCCGACACATGTGAATGACTATTGTGGCTGGTTAGGGAGGGTGAAGGTGATAGTTCGCCCATAGATTGCTCCACAGAAGTTTCGGGGCGTTTCGATATCGGCACAGACCGATTGCCGTGATTCCGAATACCACTACGTTCCATTTGAATGACGTTTGCGCGGCATGAAGGACACGTGGATTGCGATGTTCCAAGAAGCCAGTTGCCAATACAGCTTTTCTGCAGGAAACGAATATTCAGAACTCGTTCTCTATGGATCCGTCTGACTTACATGGAATACGTGAGAACATGGGAGCTGTATAAGAGGATCAGACTCGATCTCGGCGACGGTATGCAAACTTTTGCTCGGAGGAGGGTCAAAATCCACCAAACAAATGTCACATCGTGCATTATGCGCCTCGAGGTAAACATTCTGCACAGGTGACTCGCCCAACCGTTCGGGGAAAGATGTCAAATCATAGTACCCAACGTCAGGTATGGGGACGTATCGAACAACGGGGAAGCGGGCTATTAGCTCGGAACGTAACTCGGATGACATCTGATAATCAAGAGTCAATCTCACGCGTCAGCGACTTTATACTAGTAGACGAAGTAAGAAAGGAGTCTGAGTCGTTCTTTTAGCTCAGCACATTGACCCAAATGCTCGAGTACTTCCACGTGCATGTAGCTATGACTCATTTAAATATTAGTCAAAGGAGGCACCTACTAAACGAGTAGTATTACTTACACGATACAAAAACATGCACATAACACATGTACATACTGCCACATCTACTGCGAGTACTAGCTAGGCAGGACATAAATAAGATTTGGAATTTTGGATAAGAACGAAGTTCCTTCGTGATACTGGAACCCTAGTACCCTCCGAGTAGTCAGGCGAGTCTGGCAGTTGTGTTCGAAGTCTTTTGATCCGAGTCAAGGGTTCAAACGTTCAAATTTGCAAACTTTTAGGGTCCTGTATACCCATAGATTAGTTAAATATGGAAGGAGTTCAAGTTGCACGAGGCAGGAGCTCAAGGCCACTAGGTCCAGGACCACAGCCTTCTAGTGACTTGCCGTGCCGTCACGGTAGCGGTCGGTTCGGAACTTTCCTTTCGTGATGCGTCACAATGTTGTTCATTTGGTAAGTTCAAGTTGCTGCATGTTCTTACTGGTACATAGATCATGACTTTTTTTTTCAATCTCGATTTCGCAGCTTCGCAGGCATTGCTGTGCCGCCACCATACGACTCGGACTCGGAGGCGCTGATGGGCCGCCTTAGTCCAAGTTAGAAATGTATAATCTATGGACCAACTGTGAATGGCTAGCTGGTGGGACCTAGTACCTGACTACTCAGTTCGTCATCAGCGTCCAGCTTTGTCTATCGCAGAGCAACGTTAGCCTGGTCAGGCAAACAGTGGTTGAGTTGGGACCGAGCGGTAGCTCGGTTCGGGCGCTAGCGAGATTGCCGCTGGGTGGGCGGGAAAACTCAACCATGCGGGCTGTTTGAATGACCTTGGGTGAATACTAATATACAATATGACATGATCAGGGAGCGTTCGTGCATATGCAATATAATCTAATATCGAATCAGACGAAATATGAGAAGTGGAATTCTAATGATCGTTGGGAGGGAGAAATTATGCGAGCGAGCAGGAAAGTCGAGAAAAACGAGTGAGTGGGTCGTATGTCGTAGCGATTGGCAGAAGTCGAGAGAATAAAGAATAGACTTGTCGCTGGAAACCTGCCGGGGGTACGGCGGGAAACAGTGAACGAATTAGACAACGAATGATAGGACGAGACCGTGGATTTTCAGAGCGTGATATAAATGAGTAAATGATCACCTCTTCTAACAACCCCGATGCGTAAGGAGCCGCAGGCTCGGCGAAACTTTCCAAGCGGTCAACTTCCAAAGAGGTGCTTTCCCGGGGAGCTTTCTTTCTTTGACGAAACAAGCCAAAGGTTCCTATTCATGAGTAACGACGTACGTGTATAGAGGAACGGTCGGGTGAGCGAGTTTGACGGTTGAGTTAATGTTGACTGTTTGACCCCTTCCCATGCATAGCTGCGTCTACTTCGTATCATGTGACTTTCCCGTGGACACTTTTGACCGCGAACGCGTCCGACAGCAGTTGAGGACGTAGGTGTTGCAACCAGACTACACAGGCAGGGGAGCGACAACATATAGAACGAGGGGCAAGGGTCACAGCTAACCAAGAGAGTATCATATGATACTAAGACAATACCAGACGATACATAAAACCGAAGTCGTAGATCTATTGATGCTAGGTATCATTGGCAACTGCTTGAGATTCCACATTCCGATGCTTGCGCTGCCTAGGAATCAAATTCAGAACATGTTCATAGTTCAGCAGAGAGTCAAGGGTTGCGTACATGATCCTACCGATATGCGGGAATTTCCACCGCTTGGAGTCTACAGACGCTGCAGACCTATTGAACATAGGAAAGCGCCTCCAAAATGACTTTGGAGGCGAGGCAAGGACAGGAGTAGAAACTGAAGCAGTCGGTATTTGAGGATGGGAGAAGCTTTGAGGGGGAAGAGATGGGGAAGGGGATGCAGCTCCGTCACGCGAGTTGATGGTTTCCGGAGGGACTTGAATTCCGTCGGAAAGCTCGACTGGAGAAGGGGTGCGGACTGGAGAAGGGATTTCACGATTAGAGTGACCTCGAAGAGGGAGAGACGAGGAAGGCGAGGTAGCAGCATCATACGAGCCTACAATTTCTGACGAGAACTCGGTTCCATCCGGTAGCTCGTGTGTAGAAGACCCCGAAGGAGAATCGGAGCTTGCTGATGACTTGAAAAAGATTTGCATCAGATATCCTGCTTTATAGAACAGACAAATTTATTACCTGGTCGATGTAACTTGTGATGTTAGATGCCGGGGAAACGAATGAGGGTGACACTGCGTTCGTCATAAGGGTAGACTCCTGTGATATATCCCATAGAAATATTGTGCCTTGCCGACCGCCTGTGGCAACAAGCTGGCCGTTGGGCGAGAAGGCTATTGCGGATACCCTTTTGGCATGCTGAAGCACGCGACCGAAAGGTTTGCGAGTCGTTGTGCTCCACAGCCTGGCGGTGCTATCAGCGGACGCACTGGCTATCAGCTCGCCGTCAGGGGAGATTGCCAACGAGATAATGGCGTCGGAATGTGCACGCAGTGGAGATCCGAGCTGGGAACCAGTCGGTGCACTCCAGAAGTAGATCTGGCCATCACCACAGGCAGAAATGAGACGACGACTGTCTGGAGACCAGACCACAGAGCTCACTAATGTGTCATGGAAAAGTGGTTGTATTTGCTGCCTGCCAGTCGTTGCGTTCCAAATGCGAACCGTGCAATCAAGCGACCCACTTGCAATCTTGATTCCATTGGGAGAATAGGCCACTGTCCCTACTGGGCCTTGGTGATCATCGATGTCGAATACAAGTTCCCCCGTTTCTACATCCCAGATCTTTAGTGTACCGTCCTCTGAAGCGGAGGCGAGTCTTCTCTCATCAGGTGAGAACCGTATGCAAGTGACCAAGTTTGTGTGATGCGACAGACATCTGATGATCTCCTTCGTATCTGCGTCCCATATGATGATCTTGCCATCTTGAGCCCCACTCACAATTCTTCTCCCATCCATTGATACAGCCAATCCACAAGTTATACTAGTGTGTTGCTCCAGCGAGCTTTCCTGCTTTCCTGTTTCCACGTCCCAAATCTGAACAGTCTGATCCGAAGAGGTGCTTATAACTTTGAGTTCATTCCTTTGTTTTGAGAACACTAGTCTGCCTAACCAATTAGTATGGCCTCTGAATGATTTAATTGGGGATAAGGATGGCTCCATGTGGTCGTTGGTAGAGTGAATGAGAATATGGGGGTAAATCACTCATCAGAAAAACCCTCCGGAGGAAAAATGTGACAAAAAGAGACTAAGGTTCGGTGTTGCCGACTTTCACCTTGCTCTGATGCACGTGCTGTTATTTCCTTCTTTATGCATTCCCTTCGGCCGATGACAGGGTAGTTACATAAATCTTTGACTCAAGTATCGTTCTAGAATCTATGCAGCCCAAGTATCACTTGTTGCCAAAATGGTTCTCCCACTTCAATTTCGCTGTGACTTCCGCCCTTCGATTCTTCACCTCGCCCGTTTGCACTTTGCCATTCATCATACGTTCGACTTTCGCCCTTCGATTCCCAACTTCTTTCGTTTGCCCCGTGCCATTCACCTTACCCTCTTCACCCTACGGACAGATGCGTGGATGAGGATGATGCCTCGCTAAACGAATATGAGGATCCGGACAATAATGACCCATACCTGGAACTCGTCTGCACATCCTGGATGCCACTTGTTCTTCCAATTGCCCCCAAACTGAGTTTCAAAGTCAGGTAAGTCGGATCTCCAGCGCAACGCAGTCCGAGAATCAACTCCTTCTGTCGACATGGCGCCCTGGCATGCGCAGCAAGAAGAGTCGCATGTCCGTCGATGAGATTTGATGGCTGACTCGCCATGTTCTGAGCCCGTGGCATGGTGAACAGTGCATCTTCGCTTTCGGGATAGTTGAATCTTAGTTTTATGCGCTATGAGCATGTCACTGAGGAAGGTTGGCAAGTGTTTAACCCTGCTGCTGTTGAGTAAATCAAGGTCTCAAAATCTTTTTCAGTGTATAATCCTGGTGTGGGTGCTTCATGGGAAGCAAGCGCCTCCGAGAACGTCCAGGACTCGGACGCGCTAGCAAAACCGTCGTTACTTGGCCTGTCAGGACAATGGAGCGGAATACTCGAGATAATTGAGATTCTCCAGTTCGTCGCCTCGGTCGATGTATTCTCGGACCTAATCACCTAAACGCATCTATGAGCACCATTTGTAAACTTCAAGCACAGCTTATTCCGCCTAAACGCAGTCAAACACCCACAATCAAACTTAGGACATTTCAATACCTGATTATGGTTTTATAACCGATTCCAAGACTAGAGCGTATTTACAATGGTAAGTTTACATGCAAGTGTGGAGCCTGGAACCTGCAAACAGCGTCGGAATCTGATACAACATTTGACCCATGGTGAAAATTGGTTCCTGCCCCCAGTGATGGTCATCTGGCTCAGGTTTCGTGATCCGAGCGCGCTTGCGACGTCCGATTCTCCAAGCAGCATCATTGCCATCTTGCTGCGTTGCATGAGGAAGTACTTCCATCACGACATCACTGTGAACGTTCGGGGGTTCTGAAATGCTGTGAGTGACACTTCCAGAAGCAATACTAGCGACAGTAGAGCCAGGGATATGACTCGGAGTTGGCAAGTAGTACCACCTCGTAACACTCTTCCAGATCGGATACGTTCTTTCTCCTCTTGTGTACCAGCATCGTGCAGATGTCGGTACCAGGTTGCCATTGAAACAATGTGGGGAACCCCATATTTCTTGCAGACGCACACACATTGACCGGTGTCATTGAGTTGCTCCACACTTGGAGTTGGAAATGTCTTAATAAAACGAGTATGATATTTGGTTGACCCAAATTCAATTGATGGTAACATACCTTGCAACCTGTACAATAATGCGACGGTACACCAGACTATCACACCAAGACAATGGCAAGGTGAGTAGAGCTACCACGGCAACAACACTGAGTACTGAACGTTCTGAACG